GAAGTTGACTGCCTGCGACGGAACTGTCTTGCAAGCACAGGGTGTGCACACCGAAGCCGTTGAAGACATTTGCGCCGACCTCGAACAGCAAACCTGCATTGACGGATACCCATGGGCAGATCTCTGTGCCGTAGATGCCAGCTCGAATGCTCTGCGTGTGCTTGCCCCTTACGACTACATCTCACTATACCCCAACGCCTTTTCCGACTACTGGACTTCATACGTCAATGACGTGTGGAGCCACTACAGCACCACACCCCTCACCATCGACACCCAAGTCTCTGCTGGCCTCGTGAACTGCACAACCACCGGCGACTACCTCAACTGCGAAGGCGACAACAGAGCCTACGCCAAACCCTCCGCTGCTGACATCTTCGGCTGCAACGGCGGCCCTTNNGCCATCATCGGCAGCGACAATGATGTTCACCGTGCCGTGGTACCTCGTCTTTGCGCTGCCTTCCACCGCTCTACACTTCTGCTTGCTGGCGGCAACATTCAACCCATGTCTGATGTCTCGGGCTACTATACCAAGAGCGGCAGAGCTGCCAACTGGTACAGCAAGTACGTGCACGACTACGAGGTTGATGGCAAAGGATATGCGTTTGCATATGACGATGTCACTCCCACTGGTGGTGTTGACATGGCTGGCTTGCTGTCTGTTGCTCAGCCCTCTCAACTTGAAGTCACCGTTGGAGGTGTTTGATCTTCCTTTTTCTTCTCATTCATCGTTGCTGGCAGCGATGTTTGATCTATTTGTAATACTTCACCCCTTCTACTACGAAAAGAGGAACTGGCTTTCTTCTTTGGATATCTTTTATTTCGACTTTTGGCGAGGAATTGATTGTTAGAGAATCACAAAATTTGGAGAAGGACGAGAAGGAATAGATATACCCATACTTTTTATGTAGCCATATAGAGAACAACGAGACACTAGATCTTCTGAAAACAAGAAGGCTGGTAGTCAGATAAATGTAATGAACACTTTCCGAACACGACAAATCCTTCTCGTCCTGTATTTCTTGATCGCCTATAGGCCCAGAGCCTCGAACTGTTTTCATTTGGTGTTCTGGACATGGCTCGTTGAGTAGACGAAAAGACCAAGGAGGTTGACATAAGTGCGCGAGAGAACTCTTGTGGGGTGGCATCACGAATATAAAAGTCTTCAGAAGGCAAAGGTAAGTCTTGACAACCAGAAGTCGCAAAGAGAACATGCGATGTAATGGATAGCAGTAGAGTTTATAGAAATCTATAGTAACCAGAGGCCCGAAGCTAGATAAATGGAAGAGAAATCATAAGAGCCACAGACAAGACACGATAGTTCTCGAATGGCAAGGCAAGAATCATCAAAATACTGATCAAGAACCGAGCAGAGTTATCTATGCATCTTCGAAACAATAATCCTCAAAGACCAGAGATAGACACCTACTAAACACTCCAAATCTCTAGAACAAAAAAGAGCGAATGCCCACCCATGTAGAAACATCATGAGCACAATCATCAGATCTTGTCTCACCAACCCATGTTTACCCCCCCTGCCACATAAGTAAAACTATAATAAAATGAGGATAGCAGTCTATTTAGTCTAGTGGTCTGGCCAGACATTGAGAATTTACAGTACAAGCCTAGTTTTTCCGTGGTCTTAACAGGGCGTCTTCCGCCATCTTCCAACTGATAACTTACGGACCAGACGTTTTTGCTCTGTTAAGAGTGTAGTTTTTTGTTTTATTTGCATCAGTTACCGAGTCCTTGCTTTGACTATAAGGAATGTGTATGGACTGGTATGAATAGGGGAAAAGCGAGTTTGCGTGTGTGTAAGTTTTATGTAGACAGTGAAAGGGGGCATCGGGGTTCAATTGTTGCTGGTGTCGTTTTCCTTTTTTTTTTTTTTACTCCATCACTTTGGGGTTCGGATTGTGCCAGTTGCTCGACGACGAGCAGAAATTGTGTCATATGGCCCCTCATTGAATATTTGACTCATCTCAAATTTGACCAAGCGTCCTTGCTGAGTTACACATTCCCACCACACTTACTCCAGGAGGACGCACTTACTCCAGGAGGACGAGGAAAAGAACGACTGCATGTGGCGATGAAAGACAAACCAGAAAAAAACCATGTCTCTGCTCTAAGAAAAGCAAGTGTGACTGAACGGGTCAATGACTTCCTGCGCGAAGTAGAGGAAAGAGCTACATCAGAATGAATTCCTTACGCAAGGAAGCTGCAATCCATACCAAAGAAAGAAAGGAGTAGCTGGCAAGAGCAGATGCCAACCATTAAGCACAGCTCAACGACCAAACCAAAAGGTAACATGGACGACACGAGTGCAAAACAAAAATGACATGGGAAGCATAAACTTAAGGGGAGGAAAAAGCATTCATTTCTTTTTTGTTCGTTTTGGCAATTAATTGACGAGAAGTGAAGTTGGAGACAAGGAAGGAGGCAAGAGGCACCCAAAGCACAGACCTTGTGCCAGCACAAAACCATGTGTGCCGAAGGAATCCATCCTCTCCTAGTCTTCGTCATGCGTGAAAAGCCGATTGACCAGCAATCATGTTCCTCTTTTTCTTTGTTCCTTTCCAGAAGCTTAGTAGCAGTGATAACAAATCCTTCCCATGCGTGGACAAGCACTGGAACTTTTCTCGTGTATTGCTAAACTGTACTTCCATGCATGTCTTTTTTGAGTCGTGGAGGCCGACCATGGCTACCATACCTTACGCTCATCAGGCCTGAACTTGAAGTAGTCAGGAGTGTGATAAGGTTCGTGTGCAGGAAGATGCTCAGGGATCATCTCGGCAGTCTCAACCATGCGCAGCTTCTCAATCTCAAAGAGGTCGTTGATGAGAATGAAGAGCTGCTGTGCATCAGCAAGGATGCGTGACTTGACGCTAAGCTTGCAAGCTCCAAAGCGGTCAGTGTGCCAGCGCTGACGCTCGTTCTTGAGAAGTGCAAAGTAAGCTTTGCTGAAGGCGAATGATCCAGGTCTCTCGGTGATGCCAGTGCGGAACACTTTGTCGAGGCTGTGGCCGCAAGAAATGGGGATAGGCTGACCGCCGAGGATAGAGGTGTTGGCACATTCTGAGCAGGTCGGCACTGGTGGGGCAGGTACATGGGTCATAGTAGACTTGTCCTTCAGTTGTTCATCACAGTCCTGGCGCCAAAGAGCGTAGACGGTGACGGGGGTATGTCGATTCAATCCGGCAGGAGGCTGAGGAGGAGGAGGAGCAGGGACTGGCTCAGGTGGATGCTCATAGAGGCAGGAGCTGAGCAGAGACTTGTGACGCGGACGCGAGTGGTTGCGTTGCTTCTGCGAAGCATAGAAATGGGCCTTGTGCTCATAGATCTTCCTCTTGAATGTCTCGGGGCTGTCGGGACGGGGCACATCGGGAGCGCTCATGAAGGACTCAGGCAGCTTGGGCCTCGAGCTTGAACCGTGACGGCTGTGTCTCGAACCCGGTGTGAACTGCTTCTTAGACATGGGCACGTGGGGTGAAGAGTGCTTGGTGCCGAAGGAAGAAGCAGTCGACGAGAAGGAAGGTGGCAGAGAGTCGGAGCCAAAGTGCACGTTGTTGTGCGAGAGATCGTCCTTGTCTTCGTGGGGAGATTGGTGACTATCCTTTCTCGAACGGCGGCGCTGCTCGCTGGCTCGGGTTTCGTACTCGCGCAGGAACTCGCCGAAGTTGGGAATGCCGACGACCGTCTTGCGGCGTCGAGATAGAGGAGCATGAGTGCCTCCACCGAACATTGCCTGCTGGTTCAGGATGTATGCCTCCCAATCGGCAGCTCCTTTGGGAATGCCTCCAGGGTAGAACTCGCCAGAGCCGGTAGAGTTGATATCCATGACGGGTGGTTGTTGGAGCAATGGGCCAGCTTTTCAGCCCATGCTTCCGCGTCTTTGACGGACACGAAGAATCTTCTCGTCGAGCAAGCCGCAAAGGGGGGGTCGAGAGACACGGGAGAGCGGTTTCGGATGCTGTGCCACTCGCACCACGGCCTTGGTTGTCGGGTTAGGCTGCGGTCGGGGAAGTGCCAGAGATGTTTCCAGCAAACAGGGACTGCACGTGATGAGGTGCGTATGCTGTGCAACACAATCTTTGCTGCAGTCGTCGTCGCTGCGGTGTCGGCTTGGGCATGCTCGAATTCGCGCAATACCTTTGCGAAATCGTCCTGAGACGCCCTGCGGTCAGCAACAAGCCTTGCACCTTAGCTCCTCGCATCATCGGTCCACCTCCGTCGTACCTGCCTGTAAGCTTCCTTTGCCAGCTACCTACTTTGAGGTTAGTGTTACCTGCGTCTTTGGTGTTGCCATACCGAATGGCCCAAACCATCTACAGCCGTCGGGCCTACACTTCATGGTCCGTGAACCTTGTCTATCAACACAAGTCGAAACATGTGCGAACAGCGCGTTGCTGTTCCCGATGGGACACAGTATTCAACATAGAGCCACTGTGTAAAGTCGTCAAGTGGCGAGCCGGTCCATCTTGCTCAAGAAGATCAAGACCGACCTGCATATCAACATACTGGCAATCATAGCAGGATAGATGTGCGCCTGTCGTCTTGCGCTGCTTGCGTTACCCGGGGAAAGACAATCCATATTTGGTCAAGCCTCTGCGAAGAAAGTCTCTGTGACTAACGGCTGCATGGAGAGAAGACTTGGTTACCAACTCCGACATCAAAACAGGACTTGTTTGGAAGAGTCGCAACGAATAAAGTCGTCGACGCTCAACATAAGCATTCGGCCGTAGCCGGGTATACACAACCGGCTCGTGCGCCGGCTTGCCTGCCAATCGGAGACAGCTCCTACCGCTCGGGAAACTTGCCCGGATAACAGCTGAGGTCAATCTTGCTCTTTGAAGAGAGTCTAGAAAAGTGAATCGTTGATCTGGAAGAGGGAAAAACATCTGTGGTATCTACGATCAAAAGCTAAGCACGACCCTCCCTTCGTCCAAAAGTCCCGTCTCCGCGAAGTGAAGATTAATCGTTTCGTCGTCATCTACAAACGTCCCTCAGTAAGGGCTGTTGACGATGTCGTTTCTGCTCAGATAGCTACCACGGCCAGTCTTTCTAGGAGTGGCCATGATGCTCTCACGAGTTGGTCTCTGCAATGCCCTTCTGGCTACCATGTTGACCTCGTTGGGAAGAGCCACCACAATGTTCTTGTCGCTACCGAAGCGGAAGTTGTCTGCTTTGACGTCCTCGGCGTAACGCTTGATGCTGTACGGATCCTTGCGGCCAGCGAGAACCTTCTTGAGACTCCAAGTAATGACGAACGGTCCAGTCGCGGTGATGATGGTTGTCTCGTCAGCATCAGGTCCAGTGTTGAATCTCGCAGGTGTGAATGACAGAGCGACCTTTGTTTCATGCTGGAACTGTGCAACATGGCTGGGTGTGAGTGCCAAACGACGGGGCTGAGGCTTCGAGTCCTTGGCAAACGACTTTTCGAATCCAAGCTTGCCCTCATTCTTGCCATCGCTCTGCAGAGCGTCGATAAGCAGAAGATAAGTGCGAGTAGTAGCAAGGACCCAACGGCCGTTAGCGGATACATCAAGACCGATGATCGGGTCACCCAGAGCAGGAATGTGTGTCTTTGCGTTGATACCGAGACGATCAAACATACGGATATCACCCTTGCTTGAAGCGACGGCAATGTATCCTTTGTCGGTTGTGGCTGCAGCGGTGAATCCGTTCTTGGTGGCGTACTGCTTGAGCTCTGAATCGACGAGCTTGTCACCTTGCAGGCGAGGATCAATACGGTACAGAGCGTTGTTGGACAGACCCAAGAAGGTTTGCTCGCCAGTCATTTGACTGAATTTCTACACGCCAGTTAGTAAAGAGTTTCAATCAGACTTGGGCCGGACCTTCATACCTTTNTCGGGAGCGAAGGTGTTGACAGGAATGTCATCGTGAACCTTCCACTCATCGACAATCTTGCCATACTCAAGGTCCATGCGGAAGAGCGAGTTGGGGTTGTCACCATCCTGCATAATCATGTTGCGATCCTCGGCGTGTAGCATGATCTTCTTGGGGTTAAAGACTTTGCCGCCGGGTGTTTCGACCTTGGAGATGTTTGTGGAAAATTCAAGATGGTTGTCGGGAGTGTGCTTGAAGACACCAATCTTGGAGCCTCTGACAACGAATGAGCGATCGTGCTTGTAGCCGACGGCGAGCTGGGAGTTGACGTTTCCGTCCTCATCTCTGGTGATAACATCATCTTCCGACTCGTCACTGTCGTAGTGCTCGCTTCTCTGTCCCTCGTCTTCCTCCTCTTCCTGGTCATAGAATTCTTCTTCTTCCTGTTCGTCCTCTTCACGAGCCTCGGCCTCTCTTTCGTCGTCTTTATCCTCTAAGACGAGGTCGTTGAAGGCGTCGAGCACATAGTCTCTTTCCGTGTCCTTTGCCTTGAGCCACTTTGTCTGGTTCGAGTGCTCCCAGAGAGCCTGCATCAGACCTTGTTGGAACTCCTCCAGAGATTCCTTCTCCTTGAAGCGCAGAAGCCACGAGTAGGCATTTCCATCTTCGCTGTAATGATTAAAGATGAATGAGAGATATTCAAAGTTGAAGACGGGGTTGAGTTCGGGAACGACTTCTTGACCGAGCCAGTCTCTGTCGTCGCTGTTGAGCTGCAGCCAGTACTTCCAGTTGCCAACTTCTGTGACGGTAGCGTTGACACCCTCGGCTTGCAGTACAAAAGTACCGGACTGAAAGTCGAAGAGGTGGAGCTCGACGTCTTGATCGGCCAGAGTTTCGCGAGCCTCAGGAGCCTTGTTTGCCGAAGGAGCGATGGTCGGAGCCTCTTCGTAGGCTCGGAGAGGGGCCTTGCCAGATCTGGTGGTTCTGGGCATGGCGTCACTACGCTTGACTCCGGAGTTGGACTGGGTTAGGGATGGCATGCGTGGCGTGGCGGGAGGTGGAGAGACGGTTGGAGAGCGGGATATGGTAGGGGAGCGCGAGGGGCTCTGGATAGGACTGGCGTGTGGGATGGGGTCTTCGTGGTCGAAACTGAACTCGCGCAGTTCTTCGTCGGTAGCGAGGTCACGAGGGCTGCGGTACTTGCGCTCGTATTGGCACTGGGCAGCTACGAGAGCAAAGGATGAGGCGGTTTCGGGAGTTGCTGAAGGGTCGCAGACAAATTCGAACAAGTCTCCGTCGTCGCCGCTGAGGTCGAGCCAGCCAAGAACAACTTCGCCGTCGTCTCTGATGTCTACACGGAAGTGCAGGCCCTCGTCAAGCAGGAAGGTCTTTTCGTCCTTGTCGGATGCTACGCCGTCGAGTCGGTCGTCTTGTGTGCCGTCTTCTCCTACGAGCTCTGCTTCGCCTTCTTCGTATACCCGTTGGACGACGAGCTGGTACTGGTATTCTTGGCCGGTGCGTCGGATTGAGGCAGCAGCGTCTTTGAAGATGAGTTCCGAGTAGCCTTTGAGCGAGCGGGGGCGGACGAGGTATAGCTGGCCCTGGGGCAGTTCGATGATGGATTCTTTGTTGGCGTTACCAAAGAGGTATTTGCTAACTGGATGACAGAATTATTGTTAGCTGCCTTGAACTTGACACAGGAAAAGTGGGTGACGGAGTTGGCGGGGAGACGAACGCGACCTCAGAGCGAACATATTTTATACTTTCTGGCACAGCTGGCGACGATCGCTGTCAGACAGGACTACGGCCACGAAGAAACAGGAGCTGAAGCTACGATCAGGCGCATCAAATATGACAACTGCGAGAAGGTGTGTCACTCTGAGCAAACAGACGCTTTCGCTGGCCATAATTTGAGATGAGACCCCGCCAAATTCGGGCAAGACAACACCCCGTCACTTTGCAGCCTGTCGCAGAAACTTTGATTGCCTTGACGCCTCTCACTCGTCTTGTAATCTCCCTTGTGTGAAACCACTACAGGGCAGTCTTTGTCTTCACTGAGGCCATCCTCATAACAATATCTATACTGCCTCAGCTCATGCAAAAATGTGCTGGTCCATCGAAGGCGCGTCTGACTGATGTTTCACGCGTCACACCGCGACTCCCAGTCCTTCCAACACCACCCTCGTCATTGCCACGACCTTTTCTTCTTCCAACCTGTTGGCAACGAGCTGCAGACTCACCGGCATCCCATGGACTGCCTCTGCATTGTCTGATCGAGAGTTAGCATGTTTTCTTCCCAAGTCCTCTATCAACTTACATTCTGCCTGGATCTGTGCATCGATCTGTGACAATGGCTCTGTGCCTGATACCGCCTTATCCAGCTGCTTGTCCGCCATCGTCCCACATGGGAATGACATGGCCGAATAATCGAGAATGTTGAAGACGCCNCTGTCCTGGAATCAGAGTCCGTACTGGTGCATGCTTCATTGGCTTGAAGATTAAGAACATACCGTATAGCCTACGTGTTTGAACTTGCCATTTTCGACGCCTGCGAAGGGCGTTGTTGGGCACAGAATCGCGTCGAGGCCTGCTTGGGTCCATCTGTCAAGATAGTCCTTGCACAGTTTCGTCCTCTTTATCTGGAGCTGCCACAATTTGTGGACTCCGATTTCGGAAGCTTTTGCGTAGTCCAGCATCTCCTCTCTGAACGGCTCATCTACAGGAGCCAGAATTTCTCTGACTGACTTGGCTCCATCCGCCACGAAGAATTGCCCNCTGTCGGATCTATTAGTCTTGAATATAACTGCAGTAAGTCGCCCACTTACGAGCAGATCAACTGCTTCCGAGTGCAGCTCCGGCTTCCACTCAACAATCTCGTGGCCGGCTTTTTGCAATTCATCAACTGCATGCTTGAGAGCCCGACGAACTGGGGGTGTCGGNCCTAGGACGTTATGATCAGCCTTGAAGTCCACCTAACAATTAACGCTCACTTACATGACCATGCCATCGTTCCATAAGACGCCTAATCGTAGCTTCTTCCCTACGTCAACACCACGCCAGGGTATTGGCAAACACTTCGGATCAAGCTTCCAAGGTTCTGTATCTACGACGTTCTTTGCAAAGAACTCGATGTCGTTCAAAGTACGAGCCATGGGTCCATTGACGGAGTTGACAGCTTCTTGTCCTGCCAGACCTGACTTGCTTTGGATTGTAGGGAAACGGCCGAACGAAGGTCTCAGGGCAAAGATGCCAGTACAAGCAGCGGGTATACGCACAGATCCACCNTAAATCACGTCAGCCACTCGTGTGTTACGGCGCAATAATCTCACTCTCGACTCACCGATGTCAGTGCCAACACCAAGCACGCTGCCACCGAAGCTGATCAACGCACTTTCTCCTCCGCTCGACCCACCAGATGTGAGATTTCTGTTGCGTGGATTCACGGTACGACCGAACGTGTTGTTCACAGACTCTGCAATCATCATTGCCGTAGGAACATTTGTCTTGACATAAAGCACCGCTCCTGCTTTAACCAACACATCCACCAAGACTGTATTGTAAGTAGCCGGCTGATCTACCCAGGCCACAAATCCAATGGTCGAATCCTTGCCGATGATATTGAAGTTGTCCTTGAGGGATATAGGAAGGCCATGAAGCGGGCCAATGGGTTTTCCGGTCTTTTGCAGATGATCATCGAGGGCCTTTGCTCTTTCCAGCGCCTCAGGGAAGAGTGTCTCGGACAAGCAGTTCGTCAGTTGATGGCATACCGCAGCTCGTTTGGAGAAGGCCGATGCGACATCCACTGCTTTCCACTTGCCGCTATGGATCTGCTGCAACAGTTCTGGAATCTGTGTGGAGGTGAACGCCAGTTCATCTTCAGAGAAGAAACCGCTCTCTTGAGGGAAGCCTGTCACATCCAGTTGAGACTCGAGAGGCATGAGGTTGGCTGGGATACGCCATTCTGCAGGAATAGACTCAGACAGTGCTGCCCGCTTCGCCTTTGCAATATCTTGCCAAGTGCGTGTCATGTTTGCCGGATCGTTGTCTTGATGTAGTCTGATCTGATGTTATCTACAACTACCAAGATCGACCAAACATCCATCTTTATATACCCCGCACGTGATGGCTACTGCCCGAGGCCTATCTCATTGATCGACGCGACTCCGGGCAACCCTGTCACTATTATCTGCCCTATCTTTCGCCCCCGCAAAGCTTGGCAGACCACCTTGATCTCAAGCCGAGGGGTTTTTTCTCCATTGGACTTGGAAAGCTCCATTCTCGATATTAGCAACGATAACAGAGCCCTTTATCATCGACAATCTGTGCCGCTATATATCTCATGGCCTATCTTGATACGCCTCTATTCACACTGCCTTGATCATATAAGATGAAGTAACGAACAACATTCAACATTACCTATCAATCTAATTATCAGCCTAATATCTGGAGATCAATTCGATATGGCAGTCGCTAAGAAGTTCAGAGAGTATCTGAGCCCAGGTGGTACCTCTGAGGGAGAGCGGAAGTTGGTACAGAAGCTCGACTTCTTCATCTTGACCTTTTGCTGTTTAATGTACTTTTGAATTATGCAAGTTCACCTCCACGGATATATATGTTTTCGGCTAACGTCGATGCAGCTTGATAGAAGTAACCTTACCAACGCATATGTGAGTCCTTTTCTTGGACTCAACTATCTCTGTTTACTTATATCATAGGTCTCTGGTATGAAAGAAGATCTCGACTTCAAAGGCAATGAACTCACACAAATCAATACCGTCTTCACTGTCGGTAAGTTGTGACAATTGCTCATCCTTGAGAATGGTGCGACTAACATGACGAAGNGCTATGTCATTGGTCAGATTCCCTCAAACATCGCCCTCTACTACATCAAGCCTAGGATCTTCTTCCCTTCCATGTTGATCGTGTGGGGTGCATTGACTATGGTCACGGCTGCCACTCACAACCCTCAGTCGATCATGGCCATTCGCTTCTTCCAAGCATTGGCCGAATCAAGCACCTTTGTCGGCACACACTACATACTAGGAGCATGGTACACCGAGCAAGAACTTGGTAAACGCAGCGGCATCTTCACAGCATCCGGTCTTGCTGGAACCATGATAGGTAATTATATCGTTAGAGACTTCAAATTTGTTACCACAAAGCGACTAATACGTGATTAGNGAGGTTACATTCAAACAGGAATCCATTCCTCCATGGACGGCTTACAAGGACTCGCTGGATGGAGATGGTTGTTTATTGTGGACGGCTTATTGACTATTCCGGTGGCAACCTATGGATTCTGCTTGTTCCCTGACACTCCGCAAACGACCCAAGTGCCATATCTCTCCGAAGCCGAGCGTGAGCTTGCTCGCTCCCGTGTCCCTCGTCATGTCCACCGCGCACCCTTCAACTGGGCTTTTGTCAAGCGAGTCTTTGGTTCCTGGTATTTCTACGGCTTCGTCATGCTATGGATCATTGCTGGCGAGACCGAGTCCTTCTCGTCAAACTCTCTGCTCGCTTTATACATGAAAGCACATCCGGAGCGCAAGTACACCGTCTCGCAACTCAATAATTATCCCACTGGTGTTCCTGCTGTCGGCATTGTCTCCACGATCTTTTGGGCTACACTTACGGACTTCTTGGGCGGCGAAAGATATCTCGTTGGATACTGGATCGGTATTACCGGTATCATTACATCGGCGATGATACTTGCACCTTCTGCCACCACAGCATCGACGTTCGCTGCATACTACTGGGCGGGATCTGTCTATGCTTGTAAGTCATCTGTGTCTACTTCATCCTTTGTGATACGCTGACATGTTTTCTAGGCCNAAGCAACTTTTTTCGCATGGGCAAATGATGCTCTCCGCTATGAAGAAGACAGTCTTCGTGCTGTTGTGATCGCATCCATGAATGCAGGTAGTGGTACGTATTCAAATAGCACAAGTAGACAGCTACCAGATGGTGTTTCGAATCTCATCCCAATAAGATCGAAGCTCCATCATATTGCAGAGTTCTATTCAAGATCGAACAGACAACCATCGAAAGCCTGGTATCACTCAGGCTCTCAATGGAGGTCTTGGATCTTCGATTCACAATCTGCAATGCGATGGCTGTCACAGTGCACTTTTCTTTATTCGAGAGCCATCGCTAATTGGTCGTTTGACTCACAGGTGCCGTGAACGCATGGTGGTCCATCATATTCTACTCTGCAAACTTTGCACCAAAATTCACTAGAGGAATGTGGGCGATGATTGGATGTTCCATCGCATTGGCGATTTGGACGGCAGGAGTCACTTGGATGTGTGTGCGGACAGAAAAGAAGAGGATCAGTCAGGGCGTAGAGGCTTGTAGTGGCGATGTTGTGGATGAAGTGGTCAGTGTGGATGGGAATGGTACTGAAAAGGCGTGAATGTCTGTGAGTAGTCTTTCTACCTATTCTGTTTTCAGTTCTCCTCATTCATCGATGTCTTTTCCTTCCTTTCTGAAAGCCCTGCTTTCTTCCTGGATGGCCATCCTGTTCGTGGAACCCTCTTTGCATCAAGATAGGCGCCTATGCTAAGTATTTTTGCCAGCGCAGCAGCATCAAAACCTGACCACTTGCACCACCAGGGTGCAGTGTATATTGTTGCCCTGCTTTTTCCTACAACCGCACATCCCAAAAACTTCCATCGTGAGCAAGAATGCCTTACTGCTCGTAGTCGGCTCTAGCTTCTCCAACGACCTTGTTGTTGACTCTGGCATCGAAAAGCAGTCCGCCTGGGCCAAAAGTGAAGCCCACACTGTGCTGGAGGTACACGTACTTCTTCTTCGTGCCGACCTTGCCTGCCTTCCAGAACTTGCTAGGTACGTCACTCAGATCGGCAGTGATGACACAAAGTCTGCGGGTCTTCTCTGTGAAACTGAACTCGAGAGGTGCGTCGTCCTCATCACTGATGACCATGGTGACGATCTCGCTCACAGTGGGTTCCTGATTGGTAATGAAGAAAGGCATAGGAATGTAGTTTCCAGATACCATGGGCTGGCCCTTCTTCACATACCACTGGACAATGTCATCGGCGTACCAGGTCTCCTCGTTGGTATCCCAGACCTTGGATTCTTCGCTGTGCGTACCCTGCTTCCAGTAAGTACGCGTGAGAACACCATAGTGACTTCTGGCAATACGACTCTTGACGATCGATGCGCCTTCGAGGCGATGGATGACAGCGCCCACTGCAACAGCTGACCAGGAGTGACCGGGTCTGATGACTTCGAAACCATCGACTTCCGAGAAGTCGTTTTTGATACTCTGCATCAAATGTTTTGATCGCGCGAATCTACCGCAAACGACCAATCCCCTGGGATACTTGTCTCTCTGGAGCAAGGCTTCGTACTGGCCACGAATAAGCTTCAAAGCAGCATCAATGATGGAACTAAAGATCCCAGTCAGGTCAACGGTAGACAAGTTGATGTTGTTGTCCTCGATGTCGGCGTCGGGATCATCAGGGGCGTTCCAGAGTGGAATGGGATAGATCTTGTTGGGAAACTTCGAGGGATCAAAGTCCCTCTTGGTGCGGTCTTCGAAATGCTTCAGACACTGTGCCCAGCCGCGCTCGTTCCTCTCGATGTATTTCTCGAGGGCTCTGGCACCCATTCTTTTCTTGACCCAGTCCTGGAAGCGCATGTTGAGCAGACCGCTGCCGCAAACGTTGCCATCTCCCGAGACGGCCTCTTCGATCAGAAACGGCGAGAGTGACTTGATCTCGTAGGAGATCAGATCCACAGTGCCTNNAAGATACAGGATATAGTCAGTATGTTTCTCGTACAAATAATGGTACACTGCTGCGACTGTCGCACTGCACTGTGCTGTTCAGAGAACTGGAAGTATCCTCGGAAACGTACCTCCTCCGGCATCGCAAACGATCCATACATCATCCTCACGAGTATTGACACCTGCCACAGTCTTGAGAGCACACAGGGCGGCAGCTTCGGGCTCGGTGATCATGGACAAGTTATCGTCCTCGTTCATACCTGCCAACTCTGCGGCCTTCAAGGTGGCGTCCTTGGCCGCGTCTGACCATACAGCTGGGACTGTGAGGACGTACTCGATCTTGGTGGAAGAACACATGTCCTCGCCAAAGCGATCCTGGATCTGCTCCAAGACGTGCTGCTTGAAATTGGCAAGGTAGTCTGCCGCTGCCTGCACTGCGGTCTTATGGGCCCTTCTGAGTCGGGCCTCAAGTTCTCTGCGAGAGACGTACTCCGGGAGTTGCTGGCTTGGGTCGAGTAGAAGCTTGACAAACTGGATGTGCTCCTTGTCTTGATCGACTTCGAATCCCCACTCGACCACTTCGGTGACCACCTGGCTGACGAAGAGGGTGCTTTCATCACTGCCAGCACGTCTCTTGCGTGACCCCTTGGGTCGAGGGGTGTTTTCGGCGGAGATCTCATATCTCAAAAGCGTAGGGACTTTTTCGCAGTTGTCACCGCCAGTCCATCTACGGGTGCGTTAGCTGATGTCTGATAATTTTCGAATATGGGCTAGCACACCCTGTNNGATAGGCTCTAGCTTCTCAGGGGGGTCTGGTTTGCCGTCTTTCAAGAAGACCAATGCTACGCTCAGACGAGCCAACACAAGATCGAAGAACCAAAAAGCAAGAGTCACGAAATCTAAGCGACCTCAACCAACAGAGACAACCAAGAAATTACGAAAGGAGAACAACCGTCACAAAACGTTGCTCAAGAAGAAAGAGCAACAGCTAGAAGAAGATGAGGAGGAACGCAAAGGGTTGTCCGATCAAGTCGTGAAGCTCAAGCAAACAGTTGCAGCTTCGTCCAGGTTGGACAATCAAATCACAGACGAGACATTCCGTGAAACCATGAGCTGTGCTTATACCGCCATTCACGATTGTTTCTATGGCGTCCTCCGCAGAAAAGACATCAAACAGCGGGCCGCTCGAGACTCGGTATCAAGACCGACAACCTACTCTGGAGACATCGATGTCACGCTTGCAGAGTGGCAGGAGGATCTGGAAGCATATCTACCCGATCTCAGAGACAATACGACGAAAGACAAGTTGCATCTCTGCATTGCGACAGTGGCTTGGATCCTCGTGGTTGCTGTGAACAGAGAGCTGGTTTTCGGGTCCCCATACACTGAACAAATCGAGGCTGCTACAATCTGTTGGGAGAAAATGCCTGGTGAGTGCACGCGGCAGAATGCTAGCAGGGCAGGCAAAGAACCAAACCATGCTGTAGAGCCTCAGAATTCCGAAACACGAAGAAAAGTCACACAGTGGCTCTCGCTCACCAGAGAGATTCTCACCGACAAGGATCGAGAATCCATGGACAGTGCAAGAGGATACATACTGGAAGACGTCTTGGATAGGGCCCAGGAATTCCTGGAAGCGTTGACCGATTTCATAATCAGTGATGAAATACGCGAGGAGCTCTCGGAAGCTCTAGCACCATTCCTGGGGACCATGTGCATGCTCCCATATCAGAGATGGCAGTACAGTTTCGAGATGGTTTGTGCAGTTAATGAAGAATTTTATACTTCCTTCGACCCCATGGAGATGGAAGGTATGTACACCGAGAAGACAGGATGGATCAAAGCATCTCTGTTTCCACAACTTTGCCGACTAGAGGGATCTGGCCGAGATGAGGTAGGCAGTTCAAAGGATGTGTTCCTGACAGCCCGCTGATACTAATCCAGGATTTCACGCGTACTGTCATCTGCAAAGCCAGAGTCGCAGTCCAAGCTGGCCTACGAGGCACAGCAGATGGCTCCAGAAAAGACACAAAGATGTCGGAGGACATTCATGAAGGAGCCAAGACTGACATGGAGAAATCTGGAGAAGAAGTCACAGGTAAGAGCTTGAGTATCATCGAACCAGACAAGAGCTTGGAGATCGTGGAACCACAAAAGAGCCAGAGTCAAGACCAGGACGACGTAATGGCAAAGGACGTTGGTGAGCCCATGGACGAGGATTCACTGATAGATGCGCTCAGAGCAGGAAATGTGATCTACATTGATGGCTCCATGACACCCGAGGGAGGAGCCTCGGAGAGTGTCATCCCAGATTCTTATGATCGAGCCGAGGAAGAGACATTGGAGAGCACAGGTTGGCCATCATAGCTGCAGAGCGAGAATCGACAAAAGGATGCAGGCGAAAGGACAAAAGTCGTGGCGCATCATGTTTCAAGCTTGCATCGTCTGCGACATCGAACATCACGAAGAAAATGTATACCAGTGAGGTTTCAATCTCTATGCCTTCCCGTGTGCTAAAGTATGTGATGCGGGCAGCTGTAGAAATGTACACTGCTACTGGAAACAAGGTGGTATCTGCTGGAAGTCAACAGTTTAGAGGCTCTCTTTGGCCACTCCTCTGCTTCGGAAAAGACTTGTGCCATTTCACAGCGTAGACTCCCGCTCCGCGCTCTTGTGGGAGAAAGGTATACAGACTTTTTGTAAGTCTTGATTTTCCTGAGGCATCCTCCCTTCCAAGCATCTGGCTTGACGCCACTAAATTTGGCCAAAAGGCGAGCCGCGTCATGATGGCACATGAGGACGGCAAGTATCGTGAACAACTCAATGGTGTATCTTGATCTTGCAGTCTCGATGAACAGAAGTCGATGATCGATTTTATCTCAAACAACACTCTCGCGAACCTACCACGAAGCAACTGCAGAGCGATCAACCCAACTTCTCCATCGAGCAGCCGCATCGCTTCACGACAGCATGTGTATCATCACCAGCAAAGAAGAACGAGTCGGTCGTTCGTGGGACGAGCCAGCGAGACATGTATCCAACTACCATGCAGGACCAGCTCGACGAACATCTCCACTTCCAAGAAACCGACGACCATATTCGTACAGCGGATATGGCAACGAGAATCGTTCCAGCGACACCTCAGTACGCTACGTCTATCGCTCGAGTCAACCATCAGTCAGCCACCCTCGCCGTGATATTAGAGTGGTCGAGAGATGATGTCCACCACTGGCTACCACACAAATCACGAACAATGTCCGAGACGCCGGAAGTTGGATATCGTGCAGATGCGATATTGTATACGCAGTGGGTACGAGTACGCAAAGACGGCTTTGTTGTTGAGACCGTTAATTCTTATCGCTGCGCCGGAGCTTCTCCATGTCCACTCTGAACCTCAATAGCCACCAGACAGCATAGTGTATATAATGTCAAGTACAAAGCGCAAGACTCGACTACTGCTCGACAAGAAATATGCCGGATGTACCGGTATGGATACGGAAGCTGGCATGGCCGCAAGTGGCTGGACCCTCAAATTGGATGGCAACGGCTGGCGAGCATGTGAGACGCATGACGTCGGTGCTTCTTGGATGCGCCTGCATCTTGCGTCTTTGTTTCCTCTGCACATTCCTGCCTCTCGACTTCTTTTTCAACTTGACACAGAGACGTAAACTGCAACTGCGACTCTGCTAGAACCTATCACTTCCAACATACCTAACTCCGAAAGCTCAGCTTCCCTATTTCCATCATGTCAGTAATATTGACCTTCTGCCATGCCTGTGCCACTATTCTTGTTCGTATCTAATGCCCTGGACAGGAACCGCTCCCTCTCGATCAGATCAAAGGGCCAGCATGGCAGCGAGAAATCGTCCGGCGGCAAGCACCGCTTCACCATGGCTAGTCTTCGTGGCATCCAACAACCCGACCTCTCCAAGAAGCTCTACCGCTTGATCAAGACCGAGAACCACGCTATCGGCGCATACGAAGCTGCTGCCAAGGAGCAGGCCAACATTGCCTCTCAACTCAGTGACTGGGGTGAGGAGACTGGCGACGACGCCATTTCGGAGATCTCGGACAAGCTCGGTGTTTTGCTCGCTGAGATCGCCGAGCAAGAGGATGTCCTGGCTCAAGGTCTCGAGGACAGCAGAGGTGTTCTCAAGCAGATCCGCAACACCGAGTCTTCTGTCCAGCCCTCGCGCGACCACAAGGCCAAGGTACGTTCTTCTGTACAGCATGCGACAGCCAAACACACTAACTCATCTATATAGATTGCCGACGAAATCCAGAAGCTGAAGTACAAGGAGCCCAGCTCCGTCAAANTTGTCACTCTCGAGCAGGAGCTCGTCCGCGCAGAGGCTCAATCCCTTGTCGCCGAGGCCCAGCTGACCAACATCACCCGCCAGAAGTTCAAGGAGGCCTACGACCTCCACACCGCTGCCATCATCGAGCGCGCCGAGAAGCAGATTCTTTTGGCCAAGAACGCAAGAAAGTTGCTCAACCTTGTTGACGACACTCCCATTGTTCCTGGCGATGTTCACCCCACCTTCTCCCACGCTGAGACCGCAAGAGAGGTCTTGAACGTTGCCGAGGACGAGCTCAGAGCCTGGACTCCCGACGTCGAGCCCATTCACACCAATGCCGGTAGTCTTGGTGCCAACGCCATGCCTTCTGCTTCCATGCCCGCTACCTCTATGCAAGGCCACGCTAGCGACGTCTCCAGCTCTATCGATGCCGGATCTCACATGGCCCCTGCCCAGCACTCTGAACACTACACCCAGCAGTCCGAGTACCCCACCCAGCGCTCTGAGTACCAGCACTCCTCCGAACAATACGCCACCCCAGCCGAGCCTACTGCAGCTACTCACGAGCCAGTCGCATACCAGACCCAAGCCCAACCTCACACCACTGCCACAGAGACATCATACCCCACTGAGGAGCACGACTCCGAGCACGCCCGTAACGTAGCTGCTCGTGTCCTCGGCTAGGTACGGAGCAGAGAATGTAAGGTGGGAGATTGCGGGTTTCGAGAACGTTGAGTAGTTAATGTCCCCTGTATTGCGATCAGTGCCTTTTGTCATGAGTTTACGAGTTATGCGTCTTCTTAGCTGAAATAGCAAAACCCTAATCTTTGTTATACCATCTACTATCTATGCATTGAGAATCGTGTGAAATTGTACTGCTCTTTTCAATCCAAATGAAAACTCCACAAACACAAGAGCTTGTCATAGAAGCTCGTCGAAACAATCGTCTGCTCACCTTCCTTCTCCGTTCCCGGCTGCACATCACTGCCATAATTCATACTCTTGTGCTCCTCGAACCTGACCAACACCTCAATATCCCACCCTTGATTTTCGTCCTTCGTAACAGCAACAACTCTAGCACCTGCATGCATACACGACGCCAGAATATAATATTTACCTTCTTGCGGACAAGACTTTAGAAGTTTGAGACGCCAGACACCGCCGTCGAGGTTTTCTTCGGCGAGGACTTGTTTTCTGCCGATGACGGGGGTGGAAAGGACGCGGATGTGATCGTCGTAGCTGCCTGTTATCGTGATGTTGGTCTCCGAGGCTAGAGGGAGGATAGCGGTTACGCCTGCGTTGTGGGCGCGACGGTCTTGCCATTGCGAGGGAAGGAAGGGCTCGTTGTCGTCTTCTGAGGTGGATGTGCTAGGAGGAAGAGTAGAGAAACGTAAAGTTGCATCGTCGCCTCCTGAGTAGACTTCTTTGCCTATGGGAGAAAAGGATAAAGTCCAGGCTTCTAGATCATGGACGAGGACTTCTGTTCCCGAGTTCTCTGCTTCTTGATGGGGGACGGAGATGTCGACGGTATAGACGCCTCCTGAAGATGTCGTTACTCCTAGGATGTTGGCATCAACGGGATGCCAAGCTAGTGACAAGACCAGTATCTCTGGCGAGAAGAATTGATAGGTTGAGAGGGGTTCTAGAGAGGAAGAAGAAGCAGAGAAGCGGAAGAGTTGGAGACATCCTGTTGATGCTGCAACAGCTAGAAGCGAAGGGTCGTGGGGTGAAAAGTGAATGTCGAGGATTGCATAAGGTGTTTCTGTCGTTGAGATTTGTTTTCTAGAAGGAGAGGGTTTTAGTGTGAGAGTTTTGGTCTTGGGGTGGAAATGTTTGTGGTAATGAGTATCAAGCTTTGCTTGCTGTGCTGCTGTCTTTCCTTTCCTTCTCTTTTCGAAAACTGTTTGTATCTCTGTTCAAGATATCCACATCTCCATCTCAAAGAACACAAGGCATAACAGGAAGTAATGAAAAAATTGAAGATATAAAGAGCACGAAAACTTANNCACTTCATCACCCTCAACCTTGAACAGAACCAATGAACCAGTTCTGGTTTGTGGTTTCTTGTTTGCTTCCCTACTCTTCTCGTCTTCAGCTTCTGCAGTATGTTCTGCACTAGCATCCTGCTCTTTCTTTTCCAGGTAATATGTGCCGACGACAAAATAGTCACGAGCTGTAGCACAAAACTCGATACAGCTTGGAGGTAGATCCAGGACCAGTGATTGGATTGAATTTATCGAAGTCATGGTGCGTGAAAACTGTTGTGATTTGAAACGAGTAGGAATGATCCTACTTGGTGGTTGGAAATTCATGTCAGCCTCTTTCGGGCTCGTTATTTCCGGGATATATCCGAATGGTCTCGGGTGTCCGAGGCGATCACCTACTCTGACATCTGCATCACATGTCAGTGTCAATGTTGCAAGAACGCCAGTGATCCGATAGAGCAAGCACGTTAGGAGAGTAACATTTATTTGGTCTATAGGGACACAACAACTTTCGCTAAAAAGGACGACAGAACAAATCAGGCAAATTCCTAGACCATCTTTCTCTAGAATAAACCAAGAATGTCTTCGTTGGCTTTGTTGCCACCTCCACTTTGCAGCTGTGTTTGTGGTGGCGGCGGTTGCGAAGCCTCCATGTTCAAGCTCGCGAATCCATTCATCAAGTCGTCAGAGCCAGAGTTTCCTGCGGCAGGTGCGGCAGAAGCACCACCCGAAGAGCCAAAGATACCCATGAGGTCTTCCATGCCGCCACCGATAGGTTCGTTAGTCGTTGGGCTGGCAACACGCATGGGTGTACCGGCAAGTCCTTCAAGGCCTGACGAGCCACCCGGAGGTGCCTTTTGCATACTTGCTGGTGCGGCACCATCGAAGTCAATGTCGAGTAGGTTCTCGGCATGACTTTGGACAGTGCTGCCTTGTCCTGAGACAGCGGCCGCAGCAGCTGCAGCGGCCAATGGGTTCTCGCGCGCGTTTTGAGCCGCCTCTTCAATGGCTGCTTGTTGCAGGGCGTTGGCAGATGATCGGCCTTGGCCAAGGAAGGTTTGTGGCGGCTTGTGGTAGACCGATGCGAGCGTCGAGAGGTCTGGCATGAGCGAGTCGAGCAGCGGTATCGGCAATGTTGAGATTGTTGAGGTGATGGCTGGTCGTTGTGCGAGGACAATGTTCTTTGCGATCTGAGGATCACTCGACAACAGTCGCCAATAGACGTATGCTCTGTCACGGATATCTGGATTGTCGCACTCTACAGTCGCGGTCTGGAGAACCTTCTGGACCAGCCCTTGAGCTTGGTCAGGCTTCTTCAGGAAGAGTTTGACCACGGCAGTCAAGATTTGCAATTGCGTCTGTNNTGGCTTGTTAGCGTTTGTGTGGGACGAACACAATTCAGCAAAACTCACCTGAGTAAATTCTTCCGCGAAACCATCGACGAAGCCAGATAGAATATCACCAGCATTACTGATCTTCTCAGCATACTCACCAACGATCCAGATCAAGGCGCCTCTTGCAGTCGGCTCGTCCAAGTCGTCGATACATTGGCATAGTGTAGGGATGATGCCCTCATAACCAGGGTATTTTCTGAAAATGTCCTTGATGACGACCACGACTTCTTGCACAACGTATGCTTGCTTGGTGTTGATAAGTTCAAGCAAGACGTTGACAGCCTTCTCGCAGGCGTTTTCAATTTTAATGGCAACCTGACCAATGGCTTTGATGGCTCTTCTAACGAAGTCCATATCGACCTCCATAGCATACTCTTTCAATTCGGCAAGCAGCTGTTCTACGTTTGAGTCGTTGGCGATGCGAACCATGATCTGGAGCTTTTGGAATTTGAGATACGGCGGGTCGTTGTACTTGCAGAAGAAGACGCGCATCTCCTTGGACAGGAGTGAGGGCTGCTTCTGGAGTAGGAGGTCGATGTTGCGCAGAGCGACGTATTGGACTTCGGGTTGAGAGGATACGAGTGTGACTGCGGGGGCCGTGTCAGCGATGCAAGGCAGGTTCTAATCATGCACACATACCAAGNNTGGAGGAGCCATCTTCTTAGCGTAGGTTCTACCGAGCTCAGGGTTGATGTTTTGCATGTGCAAGAAGACACACTTTACAGCAGCCAGAACAACACTAGGGTTGGCATGTTGGAATTGTGGCACAACGCGCTCACAGATGTGCTCAGCTTCCTTCTGCTCGGTGGGCTTGTAATCGGCCAGGGTGGACAGAATGGTGATGCGACCCCACTCGGTGCACTCGTTGAGGGCGAGTAGGAGCTTCTTCAATGTCTGAGGCGTCACGATCAAGGCGTTGGTCTCGGGAGCTGCCTCTCCTATCTCGACGAGTGCGGTGACACAGTTGGCGACAACCATAGGGTTCGAATCACTAATCATCTCCTGCAACGTCTCCAAGAATCCGTTCTCCAGACACATGGACGGGTTGAGATCGAACAGCTTGGCCACACACAAAGCAGCAGTCTTGCGCACATAGGGACTCTCGTCTCGTAACGTCTTCCGTAGCGGCTCCTCCATGTAATCGACCATCTTATCGACTCGGATGCAACCCATAGTGCGGATAGCCAGTGCTCTGACCAGAGGGTTCGGGTCTTCTGAGTCTTGTACGAAAGTGTTGACAGCCAGGATACAGAGGTCGGGGTGACTTTTGGCGTAGTTCATGAGGTATAGGTAGACGAGCTTCTTCTGGTCCAGATCACCAGTGGCTATGTTCTTGAGCACATCGGGGAACAGAGCAGACACGTCCTTTCCTAGCGTCATGGCCATGATGGTCTTCTGGATGGACTCTTTGCGCTCGTAGGCGTATTGCGACACCAGACCAGCACGAAGCTCGTACGTCTCGCCCTTGCGAGGCACCGCCAGTGCACTGCGGAGTCGATTTACCGCCATCTTGCCGTTGTACTTGTATCTCCCAGCTCTTGTGAATCTTCGTAATTATATCCAGTGAAAGCGGTCGGATGGCGAGGCTGAAGTGGGGGTGTGTTGTTGAATACTGGAAAGGGACAATGAAATGAGGGTTGTTGATGCTCCAGAGTTATGACGGTCTGACGTGGAGAAGTTGCGCATGCATAACCCTTATGAATCTGATTGCACTTTCGAGCACCTCGACTGCTGCTTTCATCTTCTTACTACAAGACAAGCCCCACAAAAGTCATGGTATTGTCGTCTCACTGTCATTCGATTTGTTGCCTCTACTAAAGCGGAACAGCCGTCCAACCTTCCCAATCTTCGTCGCCTCTTTGTTGAAGCTCGCACCGAGGCAGAAGAGAGCGCATATTCAAGAAATGCTGTAAGTCACAATATACATCCAAGCCACCAACTCGTCACGTATCGTTGTCATAAGCACAAGAGATGCGATGAAAAATCCGGTGCTGCTGAAATTCGTACAATCTATGAGGATGGAGTCCTTGAATAGTCGTCATTCATGAACGGTGGTTGTTTTGTTCAGCAACTGTGATTTACAAAATTCTTCATATGAATACATGCTTATAAGAATCCATCTAGTTTTACAACCTGGTCTTGTTCATCTCCTCGGTCGCTGCTTTCAGCATAGTCGCCCAGCGGTCGACCGCAGAGCGATGAAGCACCCAGGGGCACCTCCGACACTCATCATTCGTTACTCGTCATCATCTTCGCCAAAGTCCACGAAGCGATTCGCAGCTGCTCTGCGTTGAGGCCTGGGTGCGGCTTCGGCCTCGTCCGACTCGCCATCTTCTCCACTGTCTCCCTCATTACCCCACTGCTTTGCTCCTTCTTGAACAGCTTCCAAGTCGGCTTCCAGTTCTCTTCGTTCCTTGATGGTCTTGGCCTTTTGCTCAGAGTAACGTCCACCCATGCCAGCATCTTTCAGCATCTCCTTCAGATGCTTAATCTTGGCTTTTGGTGCGTCGTAAGGAGCCAACTCGCGGTGCCAGAGCTTTCGGATGCCGCACTTGACGAGCCAACCCTGGAGACGCTTAATCTCGGCCTCGTCAGGCGTCTCGTCTTTTGCAGGTTTGGCAGTAGCATTGGTGGCNTTTGGCTTTGGGTTGCGCCTTGGTCTTGGTGCCAGTACTGACACTCTTCTTNNGCGCTGTTTCTTTGGTGGTGCCTCGTCCAGGACTACCGACATCTCGCTCTCGGAATCGTCTCCAGCTTGGACCTCCTCGTCTTGAACATCTGCCGCCGAGGGCTCGTCTGGGTGCTCAGATGCATCATCGTTGAGATCTTCCTCGTCTGACTCGACGATCTCCTTGCTCACACGCTTTGTAGTTGTCGTGGATCTCTTCTGGGCTGGCTTGGGTTTGGGCTCTTCTTCCTTGGACTCGAAGTCTGAGTGTTCTGATTCTGACACGGAACGTTTCTGACGCTTGGGAGCTGGCTTTGCCTTGCTTGTGGAGGTTCTCTTTGCGGTCTTTGATTTAGAGGCAGGTGCCTTCTTTGGCGGAGTAGGTTCGGGGAGGGAGACTTCTGAGNNAGGGTTGGTTCTTGGATCATCAGTACGGATCGAGAGCATACATGATGCGTTGCAGCGTACAAATGCATCCTCGATTATCTCCTTGCTCTTTTCGTTCCACTCGTCATGGCTCTTGAAGAAGCCTGCGTCCAGACTGAGGCGTTCCTCGGCAGCGGTGCGCACTCTCTTGACGGTGATGGGGTCGACTTCAGCCTTGCGCACGATGTCGCGGAGAGTCTGTTCTAGGATGGCATCGGATGGAGGTGGTGCATTGGATAGCTCGGAGTCGGAGGACATTGTTGTGCAGACTAGATCAAGTCGTTGTGTGTGGACCAGTAGCTTTCCAGAGAAGACGCGTCGCTGTGGCAGTTCACGCGCAGCTGCCCCACGTTTGACGCTTGGTTTCGGAGTGCTTTCCTCGTCCGGCCAGCTGCATCACTTTGTGCTTGAAACACTCACAACTCCCGAACGCCCACCAATCCTCCGACTGGTCATTGTGCTCTGCCACTGTCTCGTTTACGGGTCGGACTGCTCTCTGCCTGCAAGCCCCATCACGTTCACGAGTCCACACACGCTCTACTTTCAAGGTTCTTGCCTATACAAGGGTGATGTCATTTTTTGTAACTTCGCACGGCCTTTCCACAACATTCGATGTTACCAGAGTTGGCAAGGGCGTGGAGAATATCCTCAACATTTCCAACAATTTCTATCCAGCCTGTAAACAGAAGGTGAAGTCTGCTGTAAGATCAATATAACTTCTCCTGTGACTATCCGTGAACTATCTCCTAGCTACCTTGTATCCAAACGCCAGCAAGCTCCCTTGAGTTTTGACAGGCATTTTCAGCCGCATCCTCCAGTGCTCCACATCAGCCCTGGCCCCCAAGCGTCCAAAGCAAGCTTGTAGTTGAATCCCGCTTCTTTACTCACGAATACATCACACCTTTCCTGCTTCTTCGCCCAACAATAAAAGGTCCTGCTGCCCTTTATCTACTGATCCTGCTTCTTCCGTTTCTGCCCAACGCTACCAGAGTGAGTACCAATTGGCATGTGATCGTCCATTGTGGCTGTTCACTCGCTACGCCTCTCCTTTGCTTCCGCCTACCTTCTCGCTTTGCGCCTACAAGAATACTGACTGTCGCAACAGAAGCTCTTCGACGCATAAGTAATCATGGCCAATCCCTCAGAACCCGCCAGCGATGGCAAGGGTCGCCTCCTCCTTGTTTCCAACCGTCTGCCCATCACCATCAAGCGTTCCGACGACGCTACTTACGACTTCTCAATGTCCTCTGGAGGTCTGGTCAGTGGCCTGTCAGGACTCGCAAAGACTACAAAGTTCCAGTGGTATGGCTGGCCCGGTATTCAGGTCCCTCAGAACGAGATCGGTCTGGTCAAGGACAGATTATGGAAGGAGTATGGCGCAGTCCCCATCTTCATGGATGATGAACTGGCCGACAGACATTACAACGGCTTCTCCAGTATGTGCCCCTGATCCGCTTATCATGCTTTTCTGCACTAACACTACGCGACAGACTCAATCCTCTGGCCCCTCTTCCACTACCACCCCGGTGAGATTACCTTCGACGAGTCTGCATGGAATGCCTACCGCGAGGCCAACCGCCTGTTCGCAAAGGAGATCGCAAAGGACGTGCAAGACAACGACCTGATCTGGGTCCACGACTACCACCTCATGCTTCTTCCTGCTATGCTTCGCGAAGAAATCGGCGACTCCAAGCGCAACGTCAAGTTCGGTTTCTTCCTCCACACTCCCTTCCCCAGTAGCGAGATCTACAGAATCTTGCCTGTCCGCAACGAGATCCTCAACGGTGTCCTGCACTGCGACCTGGTCGGATTCCACACTTATGATTATGCTAGGCACTTCCTCAGCAGTTGTTCTAGAATCCTGTAAGTTTGCACGACTGCTCGGATTATCACAACGTCACTGACAGCTTACAGCCAACTGCCAACAACACCCAACACTGTCGAATTCCAAGGCAAGGTCGTCACTGTCGGTGCCTTCCCCATCGGCATTGATCCCGAAAAGTTCGAGGAGGGGCTCAAGAAGCCCAAGGTTGTGGAACGCATCCAGACACTTGAGAAGAAATTCCAAGGTGTCAAGCTGATTGTCGGTGTTGACCGTCTTGATTACATCAAGGGTGTTCCTCAAAAGCTGCACGCTCTGGAAGTCTTCCTGACAGAACACCCCGAGTGGATCGGCAAGGTCGTCCTAGTCCAAGTTGCTGTTCCTTCAAGACAGGATGTAGAGGAGTACCAGAACCTGCGTGCTGTTGTCAACGAACTGGTCGGCAGAATCAACGGCAAATTCGGTATGTTTCCTGAAGACACAAACATTGTCAACCATCTAACAAGCTGCANNGGAACCATCGAGTTCATGCCCATTCACTTCATGCACAAGTCGGTCTCGTTCGATGAGCTGATTGCTCTCTACGCTGTCAGCGATGTTTGCCTTGTCTCCTCGACCCGTGACGGCATGAACCTCGTTTCGTACGAGTACATCGCGACCCAGCAAAAGCGTCACGGTTCCATGATTCTGTCTGAGTTCACTGGAGCAGCTCAAAGTCTCAACGGCAGCATCATCGTCAACCCCTGGAACACGGAAGAACTGGCAGATGCTATCCACGACGCTGTGACCATGGGAGATGAACAGAGAAGCATCAACTACCAAAAGCTTGCCAAATACGTCAACAAGTACACTAGCGCCTGGTGGGGAGAGTCTTTCGTCAACGAACTCACCAGAATATCCGAGCAGGCCGAGAAGAAAATCAAGGTCAAGCAGTCGCAGCTCGATGGCAAGATGCACGAAGAGACTACTCAGCAGAGCACTGCCGACCAAGACGGTGAGGGTACCGGCTCTGGTGTGAACTCTGGCGTCAACTCTGGTACTTCGACCCCGAGAAGACCTGACGCAAAGAGAGCCGCGACTGCTCTCTAAAGAATTGAGCTTCAAGGGTCAAACGTGACTGATTGATGATGGCATAGGCTGGCGTACACGGCGTAAGGAGAGATAGCGAGTGGCTAAAGGTCGACTTGGAGTTGTAGATTATGTTAGTTCGATTATTCATGACACCCGAGACACTTGACGAGTGCAACGTGCTCTTTTTCCACATCGTCCTTTGAGCTTGTATCGTATGTGTTATTCACTGCATGTAGAGTGCGCCCCATGAAGTGCTAGAGTTATATCGCGTATCCACGCCCCTCTTCTGCAACAACACAAAGCGACATGTGTAGAGACTAGGAGCAAATGGGGTTGCACAGAATCAAGTCTTGCGCAGCACGGGATTCCCGCAAAGTAGATTCGACCAAGCGACAAGATACAGCACTCTACCCATCTTACTACAGCATCGCGTTTGCCCTTTTCAAAGCCAGTTTTTTTCTCTCTCCTTGTGGGGCGCAAAGAAGACGATTCAGTCACCTTGCCTTTGTCCTCCCACAGCACGAAGCGATCTCTGGAAAAGACACGGTGGATCTTTTCGCCATCAACAGGGTACAGCCAAGCAAGAGCTTTTTCTTGTCTCTCTCTGGGGATGTTGTCCTATTTGTTTTCGAGACTATTATTTGTAGAAATATTCGTGATGGGGGGGGGGGGTTTTTTTTGATATAACGAGAGGTTGTAAAGAACACAACTTGGCGGCGCTTGGATTTGACACTCTTGAATTATCTTTCTGAATTTCTTTCTTTTTCGTGCGACTGTGATTGACCCACCGTGATCTTGATCCTGCGATTGGTCGTTGGGAGGATATAGGTCTTGACTGCTGCAAGAGATGCTTTCTTTTCTGACTAGAAGCGGACGATCTTTCGAGAACGAAGAACGTGCTGGGGAGGCTGGAGATCGATATGCCTTCATTGGGAACTAGCGTCTCTCAATACCACATCAAGGACCTTTTTGAAATGCATATCAGACTCCACCAGTGAAGAGTAGTGCCCTTCCACTATTACACGGGAGAGCGAACTCTATACGTGCAGTGGATGTCGTATAGCTCCGATTCAACGTGGTCTAAGATCTTACAACATCACATTCAATCCACTCTGAATTCTTGGATAAGTTGAGTCTGACACGAGGGGAGGATGATTTCAACCATGTGTAGATTTCTCGTGACAGGCTGATATGTGCAACCCATCTCGGTATCACTGTGTGCTCCTCAGTCCTGAAATCCATTAGCGATGCCACGCGGTGCTACTCAAGATCAACCAAAGTCACTCAAAGGTCGAGTTGAACTTCCAAACGCGACTGTCAGTCTGACCCGAAGGAAGAGGTCTCGGAAGGCGTATAGTCGGGATCTACCCGACGACCTTCATTGCTCAGGCCAGAGCTCCCACTAGATAGCTGAACTGCTGGGCTTGGGCTCTCGATGAATTTTGTGGTTTGTCTCGTAGGCGAAGGGGTCTCGGCATCGGCAGGGTTCCACTCCCACAACGGTGTCGTCTCACGAGAGTCATCGATCTGACCTGCAAGTCGCCTAGCAATTAAGGCTACGCTGCGGAAATTGACATGGCATACTGGCTCGATGGTAGCNAGGGGTAGATGCATGGCATCCCGAAATTTTGCCCAAGGGCCTGCATTGAGGTCTGACCACGTGATGTCGAAGGTGTTTTCCGGTATAGGGCCGGGAAAGATCTTTAGTCTGTTCACAACGAACTCGCCAGTAATATCGGTTGGCGTCTTGACGAGCTTGCAGACATGGACGTGAACGGTGTCGGTATCTTCAGAGAGAAAGTGGGGCATAGCAACCTGACTCTTTAAAATTGGCTTTTTGTTGACAACGACGACCACCACGACTTTGATCCTGGGGTCCGTGTCCAGGATATAGCTTTGAGCCTTGCGAAGAGCATTCTGTTCCCTCTGCGTGTGGGCAACCTCGAGCACGAGGAACATTCTATCAGGCTTGAAGAATGACATGCTTCCGTCAGAAACCAAAGTCTCCGAGCTAGTCTTGATTGCAGTACTGCCTGTTTGCCATACTGCTTTACTCTTGTTGTATCGCGGTGGCAGAAAATCTGAGGCCAGCATCTGGGTCTCGATATCTTTGATGAAAGGGGCGAAGGCTTCGTGGATGAGAGAAGGCATTGTGATAGCCAAACGGCCTCGACCTGGTCTGGTACTTTTAAAATCAAGCTTCCACTTGGCGGTGGTAGGGTTCAACGCAAGCAACGATGGAAGAGTATTGAAGACGTAAGCTGGTACCGAAGGCACTAGGACAGCATTGCCGACGATGGAGGCAGAGTGATGGATGCTGGACGGCAGTCAGAACGAATCATGACAAAAAAAGTTGCCCCCCTCTAGACACCGGAGATAGCCACACTGGAGCTATAAGTTATGTGCATTTTTGCAGTGTACTGTGAGAGGCCTTGGCTTTGAGAGAAGACGAGGCATTGTCTCTCGAGAAAAAAAAAAAAGGGGGGGGCCTTACACTGATGCTCTCAAGAACGGAGATTCGAGGACTCGTGAGATGATTAATTGAAGGTCTTTNTTGGTCCACCGTCTGCCTTTTATCATGACTCTAGCAGGTGTATGCGTATCATGGCTGGGCGGACTACCTTGGAGGCGAGGTCGTTTTGCTTGCCGCCCACTCAGATCATGATTGCAATCCGGTTGCATTGAATGTTTATTTTGACGAGTGCGTGCCACATTTGTCTTCTGTTGGTATTGTTGTTGAGCTTCATTGGTGATTGTCAGTCCCGACTCTACCGCCGGGTCTGTTGCCGCCATACTCTACGCGCTGTGGACGGACTTGTATTTTCAAGGGCATGTGATGGTTGTCAGTGTGTTGAAGATAAATAACGGGTTGCAGAGTAGTAATGATGCAGCGCATTTGCTTCGTATCGTGTATGGTACAAGGCGAGGATCGGCTCGGCCGTGAAGCACATCAATCATGTCCTGTAGTTGGAGTAGACTCTGTTGCTGAACATATTTGGCTCATGGTAGGTTAAAAGTAGAGTCGAGCGCGGAGGTGATGCGGAAGGAGAGGGTCTGTGCGCCAAGGCGTCTTGCGACAACCTGGAAATCTACTTTCGTGAAATCGCAAGGGCCCAAACGAGCAATTCACACAACCATGGCCAGCAGAACACTCAGCCTTCCCTTGAGGGCTTTCGCAGGCACTCGCCCATCTATCCAGGCCTGGCGCAGCACACGANTCCTTGCCACTGAACTCGCGCCCGCCTCGACAACACTTCCCGTTCCTTCAGATTTCACAACCTCTATCACTACACCGGTAGTCCAGGATGCCCAGCCTCAGACTCTTGCACTGAAAGAGACGGATGGAAGCGTATCTGGAAAGCTGCGACCAGTTGGTGTTGTGATCAGCGCCGGAAAGATGGAGAGAACAGTCAAAGTCAGACTACCCAGTCAGAAATGGAACAACTACTTGAGANAAGGTAAATCTATACATTACGACATTGCATACAGTCAATGTATGTTCGCGCCAGGGAACCGTGCGCTGATTGCATCTCTTTTCTCCTCGCTATAGCACTTCAAGGATCACTCGGACCACCTAGTCCACGACCCCAACTCTTCCCTCAACATGGGCGACGTTGTTGCCCTCAGACCTTTCCGCGCCGCCAAACACGTCCACCACGTCGTTTCAGAAATCCTCGTTCCCTTCGGCACACCCATCGCTCAACGACCACCCGTACCCAGCGAAGGCGAGTCCCAAGCCGCCTACAATGCCAAACGTCACTCCAAACTCGAGCGCCGCACTTTGCGCCNNCGCGCCGCTGCCAAGGGTTCCGAGACCGCTATCGAGAAGCTACAAGCACTAGAGGTGGAAGCCGGACAAGGCCTTGCGGTAGGAAAGGGCGAAAAGAATGCCAGAAAGGCTGGTCTAATGGGAAACAAGGGTCAAAAGCTGCAAAAGGGAGTTTTGCCGAGTGGAAAGCATGCGGTTGGCAAGATTGACGAAAGAGCAAAGCACAACAAGGAGCAGGCTATGAAGAGGAATGAGAAGGCTGAGAGGAACTCGCTGGAGGCTAAGCAGGTCGCTGAGAGCAGGTAAGAAGGCTGAAGGAGCAACCACCCACATCTACAAACCCAGGCTTAAGAGACACCTGGGTCCTGACTAGGTCTTTATGCTGTTGTACAAAACAATCTTCAGGAAATGTACTTTTATTTTCGACTTTGGATCGCAAATGTAAAGGCTTGCGCGTAGATCTCTGGGGGTTCCGTGGAAGGACTCGAAATTCGGACAACTTCGAGATCTTAGACGATGTGATGGTTATCTATTTGTCTTTAGCACGTTAACAGGCGGATTTACAGGGTCGCCCCCTAAGCAGCGAGTTTTGGCCTTGGACTGACAATCACATGAAACACGCATGATCTGAAAGCATTCCAAACAGTGCTATAGAGTGTTTACATGGTTGTCTTACATGCGTTGAAATTGAGTGACTGCTAGATGGTCATCCCTCGAATTACCAGCAGTTCTGATATTCAAGACTGTTTATAGCCAGGTGCTCACGCACGCAAAACGGTATTCGGCAACCATTTTACAAGTGGTGCCACGCCAAAGTTGATCATAACTGGCGGTAATGTGACCTTTCGGTACCAACAACAACAAACATGTTTTCCCGCTTCCAAAGTCAGGGAAAGTTGATCAGAAAATGATATACACCAGGGTTGCAAGCCAAGGCTTTGAACGGCGGGAGTGAGAGGGAGCTTGTCGCGAGGCGTCTTGCGCTTCGAGTTGCATCACGACATTCACACGACCTTTCAACTCACCACAACCACCAAACATGGCGCCCGAAAAGAATGGAAGAGTCGTCTTCATTGGCAACATCCCTTACGGTACGTGCATGCCCTCGTCCGTAATATGCGACAAATACTGACCGAGATCTANNGGTGTTAGCGAAGAACAAATCATCGACACATTTGGAAGAGTCGGCTCGGTGAACAACTTCAGACTGGTACACGACAAGGAGACTGGTAGACCAAAGGGCTTTGGTTTCCTCGAGTTTGCAGACCCAGATGCTGCTGCCTCGGCGGTGCGCAACCTCAATGACCACGAAATCATGGGTCGCAAGTTGCGCGTCGACTGGTCCAACGACAACAGTGGAGGCGGCGGCAACAACGACAACTCCAACAACAACAGCAACAACAGCATGCAGCAATCACACACTGGCGACAGCTCAAACCAGCAGCCTCCGATGCTTCCTCCTCTCCCGCCTGGCACCGACTTGCCCGCAGGTCTGACATGTCCTGATGCCATCTCCAAAACACTCAGTGCCATCCCGGCTCCTCAATTGCTTGATATCATCTCGCAAATGAAGGGTCTGGTCATGTCGGATCCCAACCAAGCAACAGAGCTTTTGCGCCAAGCTCCCCAACTCGCCTACGCCATCTTCCAGGCACTTCTGCTCTTGGGCCTGGTAGACACGAGCATGCTCAGCAGCATTGTCCAGGCCTCCGCTCCTCAAAACCCACAATTTCCTGCCGCCGCACCTGTTCCTCCACCACCAATGCCCCAGCCTCCTCAGGCCGCGTACGCTCCCACCCCTCAGCCTGGCTACCCAGGATACCCTCAGCAGCATTACCAACAAGCTACACCGCCGGTCCAACAGCCTGCTTTCGCTCCACCACCACCCCCTCAACAGGCCGCTGCAGCTAGCCAGCAGGATCTGATTGCTCAGGTTTTGTCTATGACGATTGACCAGATCAACCAACTCGACCCTGTGTCACGCCAACAAATCATTGCTCTGCGCGCTCAGCTCGGTGCGCCTGTTGCTTGAGGAACGCAGTCTCAACCATGAAACTGCGTTCATTCGAAAACCACTCGCCATGATCAGAAGTACTGGATGGCTTTACAAGATACCCAGCTACAGCAGAACTGCTAGCTCTTGGCCCAGGTATGAAGAGCGTCACTTGGACTGCTTAAAAGAAGTAACGCTGGCTTGCAACAATCATTACAACTTGCAAAAGTCTCGACAATGATACAGCTTACATGTCATCTGGCCGCAATATCAGGGAGCCACATGAGAGAAAGCCAAGAGCAAATGAGAGCATCTCCGCTAGATAGGACGGTACCTCGACTACAGTTGTTGAAACGACAAATAGGTTGAGACTCAAGAGCTTTAAAATCCGCTCCAAACACAAACAAATGCCCTTCCGTTTTATGGTGTCTATGCAGTGAAACCACGTATGACTCGTAATAGCATGTACACAGACGCTCAGCAGTGGTTCGCGCGGGCCGTTTGGCCCCAAAGCTTGACCCGAAGATGGGGTCCCCAAAACGTTCATACCTTTCGACGTCGAACTTAAAGAAAACTTCTTCTCTAATAGAACCTTCATACCTGCTTCCAGTATGCAGGACATGCTGAGCAGCACCCTGCAACAGTTCTCCCAACAAGCTCCCGGTTGCCCTGCTTACGGGTGGGCTTGCCAAAATGCGGGAGGCTGGGAAGGTAGGTCGGGCACCAAACCCAAGCAGGCAAAGGTGAGCTGCGATGTGCATGGGGAAGGCGCCTGCCACAATTGATTGACCAAACACCGTCGACTTTCGTCGCACTTGTGTGATTTCTGCTCTACATCTCAGTTTGTCGCTTGCTGTTCTTACGCATCCCTCACGACTCACGATACCATGACCTTAGCACCAGTCCAGACACTACGATAATCGATACAAACAAATCCTAATTGTTTACCTGCAACTCGGACTGCTTTTGCGGTGAAGCCTTTCACTGTTCTCGAGCGCGTACCGTCGTTCGGAGCGCATACCTAGTCGACCATGTTCAGATCGCTCAGTAGCAAGAACTCGACTTCCTCTTCCAAACGCAAGAAGGCAGATCAATCGAGTCGCCGTCCCGAATCTGTAACGTCCTCGTCGACACATCGCAAATACTCTCGCAATGACGAACGCTCTTCCAAGGGTGAACATAGAAAACCGACCTCGACCCAGCCTCCCGTGGATGGTTCCTCTGGCCCATCACCCTACTACACCACTGCTGATCGACTCAATCAACTCGAGCCTCGATCTTTGACAGAGGAAGCTATTAGAAGCCTCGGTTTGCAAGATGAAACGTGGGAAGATACATACTCGCGTGCAGAAGACTTGCCCTCGGGGGGAGTTTCTGCAGACAAAAATGGACGCTTCGACAGTTCTTACAAGGACGACCCTAGCCAGCGATATAACGAAGGTCTGATATACCGCTCTCCAAATGAGGAAACATTGCCGAATGCCCGCTCGATGTCTCACGGAGATTGTCCTCAAAACTCGTTTGGCACATCTTCTCATGTGCAGGACCAATTCCCCGGTCAAGACCCTTTAACGTATGCGCGTTCCGCATTCGATCCAACTGCCGCTCGAAGCCCTGCTGCTGCGTACTATGCTGGTGACCAGACTCGACCTCATGACGCTTTTGCTACCTCACCGGCCAATCAATTCCCTCAATCAGGTGCGGGAGAAGCTGCCGAATACTACTCGCAAGCTTCAATGCAGTCTCTGAATGCTGGAAACCATCATGTACCTTCGCAAGCCTATAGTGCTTCTCAAAACACATCAAGTCGCCCTGCAGCACAGACTGAACCTCTAATGTCTAACAATTCCACCCATCATACTAATTCTTACACTACCGGTCCGACTGACGGCCGCACCAACGATGTTAAAAACTACACATATCAGCAACAACATCGTCCGACGGAAGCTTTTGTACAAGGACAGTCTGCATCACATGAAACTTTCCATCAGCATTCTCATCCTGTACCTTCCACAAACACCTACACTGACCAATCCCACAACCCATCCCTGCCCAGCCAACCTCCGGGACCCGGTAAGCAAGTTTCCGCGAACCAAAACCTGGCATATATGACAGCCGCAGGAGCGGCGATGGCAGGTGCTCATAGCCATCATCATCACAATCTGCATCAACACAATCACTCTGCTCCCATTCATGGTGGTAATNATGCATGGACAACCCCTCCAAGGCCCTACACATCCGGAAATATGGCGATGCAGCACAAGCACAAAGGTCCTATCAGCAAATTTGTGGATTGGTGGAAAGATTACGAAGACGTGCGCAAGATGGAAGAGTACACCGAGTACATTGGGGTATGCAAGTATTGCTTTGATCCTCGTTCTACTGCCACAGATGCTCCCAGAAAGCACCATCGCGGAAGTAGACGGTCGTCTGATTCGTTGCGAAGACGCTCCAGTGATTCCCTCCGACGATTTTACACCAATGGATCGACTTATGGCAGAGTTGACAAGGATTCTCGGTACCACTCGTCATCAGACAGTGAACGTCGTAGTAAGAAAGCCAGCTGGATGGGTGCTGGCATTGTTGCGTACGGCGTATCGAAGGTCGGAAAGTCTCTATGGCAAAACTCTCGTGATTTCGATGACACATACAGTGTCAAGTCTGGAAGGCAAAGCGATGTTTCTAGGCAAGGTACTCGTAGAGAGGCGCGGCAGGGCTACTCCTCCAGTCACGATAGTAAATCAGAGCACAACAATGACCGAAAGGTTGTAACTAACAGCTCAAGCAACCGCTTTCAAACTGGTACCCAGAGCTCGGCCACACGGCCAGGACACACCGGCACAGAGTCGAGACGCAGTCAAGATGATCGTTATAGTACTGCCGATCCGAACTTTGTGACTGCTGGAGGCTCGCGACACAGCGAGGAACAGATCCATGTTCGTCACCCTAGTCCTGGAGCCGGCTATATATCACCACGTACGGCATCCCATCGAGGATACAAAACCCGTTCGAGGAGTCAGAGTCCATCCTTGGCCCAGATCTTGGGACTGACTCGTTCACAAAAGCGCACATCAGCAACAGCTTCACGTTCATCCTCGTCACAGCAGGAGGGCATGTTCACTGGCCTCTTCTCCAGACCGTCCAGCAGGCATAGGTCCAAGCAGAGCAAAAGGCAAGGGTTCTTCAACTTTGCCAACTCATCTTCATCATCTGCCAACTCTGACCTAGCTTTTGGTACTCGTCCTAAGAACGGGAAGCTATCCACGAGAGCCACGAGAAAGAGCTCAGATGAGCACCTCAAGGCTACCCTGTTGGGTATTGGTGCCACCGCCGCTGCTCTGAGCGCGGTACAGCGGACTAGGTCAGGCAGCAAAAAGTCGGAACCCACAAGACTGCGTAACAAAGACCCCACTTATGCCACACAGCGGCGCAAGCCGAAAACCAGTGAGGAAGAAGAGGGTTGGGAGTCTGCCACTGATGATGAGAGCGTTTCGTCTGGCCTTGCGTTTGGTGACTTCGATGGAAGGGCTGTTAGAAGACAACGCAGCTCTGAATCCGTAACTTCTCAGAGTTCTGGTACCGACAAATGGAGCGGGCGCTGGCGTCGAAAGTCGGACAAGAAGGCTGATGTTAACAACCTGCCACGAACCTATAACAATGACGATGACTTCAAGGAGGACCAAGTTGTCGTCACGCCGCAGCCTCTGAAATACATGCATTCAGCACCAATCTCTAGCCCAATGCATTTTGAAGCACGGGGACAGTCGTCAATGCCTGGTGCATTTCCAGAGCAGCAGTATTCAACCGAACGTGCGCAAATACGACAGCCACAACCGATCACGCCTCTACAGTCTAGCATCTTCGGCAATCGCACTCCGCCTCATACTTCCCGTATTGGTCCGCACAGTCCTCAGCTATTCACACGCCCTACTGTACCAACAGAGCTGAGGCGCACGCAATCAAGCCCTGTATCGAGCCACACTATGCGCAATGCAGCGATGGCTGGTATAGCAGGCGCGGCTGCAGCTGGAATTCTTTCCAATGGCAAAAGCAGAGCTAGAGATGACAGCCCTAGCAATGTCCGCTTTGACCTCACTGAAAAACAAGCCAAGAAAGAGGAGCGTCAACTACGCAAAGACAATGCTAAAGAGAGTAAGGAGCGTATCAAAGAAGAGGCTAGAGACAAGAAAGAGCGTGCTCATCTTGATCGCGAAAGAGCATTGCAAGAGGAGTCCGACCGAAAAGCTGTTGAAGATGCAAGACGGTATGTCGAAGAGGTGGAACGCCAAAAAGCTCTTGCCGAACAGGCTGAGAAGTACCAAGCTCAGTTGCGAGAAGCAGCGGCTGCCGAAACTAGGGAGCGAGAAGCAGATCGCCAACGAGAAGAGGAAATCAAAGAGTTCATGAAGAACGCACTTGCCCACCAAGCTCGAGAGGCTGAATCAAAGAAGCAGCACGAAACTTGGCAAGCTCAAGAGATGGCAGCTGCGAGTCAAAAATCCCCTCCAACCTCTCGAGCCGGGCCTTCCACGGCTTCTCAACCAGCTGTCGACAGCTCATACGACTATCAAACCGATCATCCTCAACATGACAGGAACGATCTCGCAAGTATACCCTATGCTACTCGCTCGTATGAGCCATCGAACGAACACAGTGGCCAACCCCTCATGGACGACGACCTCATTGATCCCGATTTCTTCACTCGCAGACGTAGTCACAGTGACCTAGCTCGGCACGAAGAGCTCGCCAGAAAGGCAGCTGCCAAGATTGTTGCTGATCTCGAAGACAGATACAGAGATCCTGCACCCTCTCAGGCCGAGTTTTTCGCACCAAAGGAACTTTTCGAACCATCCAAGGGCAAGACAAAAGTCCATGGACCCATCGATGACACCGATTATCAAATCTATCACATGTCAGAGGACCAGCTTGCATCAATGCCCAACGAGCCACCGCCCCCATACCAGCCATCCTATCAATTCGCCAACGTGCGAGACATGAAGGGTACCGCGTCTTGGGATATCCCAAAGCTCAATGTGGTTGCTCCTACACCGCCTGCAAGCTACGCAGGATCAGCCAGGGGCGACAAATCGCCCATCATTGCTCCTGCAAGAGCTGTTCAGGGAACTAGCCAGGAGCCTGACACTAACCTCGAACCCCAAAAATCGAGCAAAGTCAGCTGGGGAGAAGACCAGACTCGTTTTTACCAGATTACTACCCCGGAGTCATCCCAGGAGCATGTTGTTCTCCCTGACGAGCCGCCACATGGAGTGTCAGGCTTGTGTGACGAATACGTACCTGTTGAACCATCTCAAGCAGAGTCTGACAACAGCAGACATATGGCCAGTAATTTAAATTCGAACAGGGAGCAGCCAGATGAGTTCGTCGAGGAGATTATGAGAGAAGTACCATCGAGAACCTCGAAACGCTTGTACCGACAGCCTTTTGTTGAAAGCGTTGATGATGTTGCTTTTACACTGGATTCGCCAGGAACTGAAGGTGCACCACCAGTACGAGAATTCGTCGAAGGCGAGGCTGACGATGCGAATGAGTTCGATGACCGTATGCCTCACGTTCCTGGTGGCTTCGATGATGTAAAATCAGAAACTCGACCTGAAAACATATTCAACAATGATATTCAGAAACTCAGTCGTGAGGTCATGCAAGAACAACAAGCTCCTCGCGAGAACGAACGCGCTCAAACCATCGAGCAATCAGGGTCTGCCCAGCAAGATCAGGATGATTACTTCATGATCGGGCAGCCGAGAAGAAAAGCGAGACAAGGAAGCAAGAAGGGCATCGCGAGAGCGAGATCGACGANNTCGCCAGGCGACAAACTTAGATCCGAGCTCTCAAACGATCACAACGACGCCGAACAGGCTACAGACTACGCCAAGGTTGGAGCAGTGATTGGTGCTGCAACTGCGGTTGGCGCTCTCGTTCACAATGCCAGATCTCGATCTCCCAATAGGAGAAAGAGCGAGCCAGAAGACTTTGATCACCAACGTTCGTCGTCGTCACACTCAGAACCTCGAGATACCGTCTCACAATCTACACCTACATCGCCTGTTTACGAGCGTCGACCATCTCTGCCTAGCCACGCCTTTGACGACCTCGACATGCTTCCTGGTAATAAGAGACCAAAGAAGTCAAAGAGAAACAGTCTGCTCAACTATCCTGCTATCGGATCTCCTCTTCGATCAGCTATGACCTGGGACGAGTACATTGAACCTATGGACGTCACGCATCATGATCAACCTACCCAGTCACAATCGTATGAGAACAATGTTGAACTCTCTTCTGAGGACACGAAATCAGAGACAAGGAGAAGCTTTCCCTCGCCAGAGTCCGAACGCGGCGCTGCATCCATCGTCTCTGCTCCTGCTGGTGATGAAGAGAGTGGTCGAAGACGCAAGAGTAGGAAGTCGCAGCGGCAACGGGAGAAGTCAACGTCCCCTCGCAGAAGCGCATCAGTTACGATGTCTGAACCGTATGAGAGCTCTCGCAAGCACAAACAGCGATCACATCGTGATGACAACGATTTCGACGATGCATCGTCAACTCGCTCACGTAGTTCCCACAGCTCCAAGAAGGACGACGAAGAAAGCAGAAGCAAGAAGAAGGGCGGTATATTAAGCCTCTTCCGCCGCAAGACGTCTGATGATGTCGCTGGCAATGAGCAGAAACGTGCCAATGGTGATCATGAACGTTCCAAGCATCATCATCGCCGTCATAGCTCTGAGCATGCTGTTGACGAGTTCAATGGGCGCCGAAGCTCAACCTCGAGGTCTCGTTCTCGTGTTGGAAAAGATGGCCCTTCTTCGAGACATTCAAGCAGTTCCAGACATCGACGAAGCCCTCATCGTGATGGTAGCGTAGATGAAACCGAGACTGGTTCTCATACACCAGGGCCCAGGCGCCGTCACAAGCATCATACTAGGGACCATAGCCGATCTCCAGAGAAAGAGTTTGATGATAATCAATCCTTGATTTCAGAGTCTAGGCGCAAACACAGACATCGAGATCGGGACCTCAACTCAGACGATAAAAGGTCGCGCTCGCGAGACAACAAGTACGTCAACGACGAAGACGAATCTNTTTTAGGCGAACGGGTAGAGGATGAGGAGTCCGTACCTCTACCCGAGGATGATAGTCCGTCATTATCCCAGGCCCCAGAGTCAGTTGAAAATCCACAGGAATCCATTTCGCCGTCAGGGCATGACAAGATGGGGAGGATGGAGCAATCGACCGACTCGATAACATCGCCAATATTTCTCAATGCGCTGAAGAACTTGCCGGATGTTGCAATACAGGGGAGTACGGACGACTCAACCCAACAGATTGTTGAAACTATGTCCCGTCTACCACCGTCAGAAGCGCTGTCACCTCCTGTCGAATATATGACTCCAGCAAGGCCAATAGTTCCTCTACGAATAAGCTCCTCCACAGCTGTTCCACTGAGGTTCCGCCGTCCACCTACTTCCCCTAGTCATCCGCGGGAACGCTCAGCCAGCTTCAGCTCTCCTGTTACACAATCACCCTCATCACCGATAACGCCGAAGGCCAAGAGACCATTGTCCACAGAGTTCATGCATTCGACCGAGTTCAGACCGCTATACTTGCTTGAACGCACACGCAAGCCTCAAGAACAGGAAGCTGAACAAGACTTGCCAAGTTTGCCTCCGAGTCGTAGCACAAGCTCGTCGAGCTTGCAGAGCAGTGAAGACTGGCAGTCTGCAGCCGAGGAATTTGACCCAAGTGAACACGATAACTCGAGTCCACCCACAGTTGATCAGTTCCAGACCGATGAGCCTGAAGATGTTCTAGGCTCCGCCCAGACTACGCCTAAAGCGACCGAGTTTCCCAAGAACATTTTGCAGTCTCGTCCTCATCTGGAGCCGGAGTACTACTCTTGGAGCGACATGGAGCGTGAGGAACACCTACGCGAGGAAGCGCAGTGGGAACATCATGACGACTTGGTCGAGGAGCCAGCAGCCGGAGACGACGATCAGAACGGACCGATGTTGGTCAGCAATACTATCGCGCCGAAGGAGGACACCGAAGTTGCAGTCAATCAAGATCCCATGGCAACAGATGTGTGGGGTGACCTGAGCGACGAAGAGCTCCAAACTACCGTGGCGCCCAGTCATGATGAATCAGCAGAGTCGAGCATGCAATCAGAAGAACCAGATGCTGGCTCAAGCCTTACATTCTCAGCCAAGAAGCGCAAGAACAAGAAAGCAGCCAAACTGGGAACATCTTCCAACTCTGAGATTACTAGCCCTGTCCGCGAATCTCCAGCAGAACTTGCAAGAAGGCGAGAGAAAGATGCACAAGATGCCGTCGATACTTGGTTCAAGCCTGCTGCGGAGCTGAGACAAGAATCCCTTTCTGATGCTAGTCAAGTACCACTGCCGGAGACGACAATACCTCTCGAGCCAGAGGTCAAAGAGAGCGAACTCTTCCCAGCTTCAATTCAAAGAGACGAACCTTTGATGCAAGAAATCGAGCCCAGTTCTCCATTGCTGTTACGCAAAAAGTCGAAGAAGGGCAAGAAGAAGCAGAAATCTGCAGTCTTGGATGAAAAACACTCTGAGCCCATACCAGCTGAGGATTTCTCACAGCCAAAGATGGTCGCTGAAGCAATGCCTCAACATGAGTCTGCTCAAGGAACTCAACCCAGGAGTGAATATGAAGAAGTGCAGACCACAATAGCTACTGAAGAGACAGCTCAAGAGCAAGAACGCGACCTCGAAGCTTCGGAGATAGTCATCTCAATGGATGNNCTACCGTTGGAGCTGCCATGTCTGNAGAGTCTGGAACAGCCGGATGACTATGCACAGATCGAAGAGCCGAGCTATGCCATGTCTAAGGCAGAGCGCAAGAAGAAGAACAAAAAGGCAAAGAAGGCTGCACTCTCGATTGCAGTTCCTGTAGTTGCTGCAGCCGCATTAGTTGCCTCAGATCGAGAAGCTCCGGAGCAGAATGACGAGGGGGCAACTTCGAAATCCGAGCCCGTGCTTGCTAATGACGAGAAACCTATAGACGAGTCCGCCAAAGACGACACGGACTCTGTTCCTACTCCTACTGACGATCCCATGGATGAGGTTTCTCTGTCCACTAGAGCTCCTGAAGACACTGTACCTCTTATCGAGACCGAGACAACAACGGAATATGGCGTACAAGAGCAGCAAATTGCGGCTCACAAGAATCACACCGATACTGAATCGCGCATACAAGAAAAGGACCCAGGCGTTCAGTCTTCCGATCCCGTGACCGGCCTGCTGCCTGAACAAATAGCGCTTCCCGATGAGACTCAGGACGAATTGACAGAGTTCAAAGCCACCGAGCCTGTTTCAGAACCTGTCGCAGAGGCATCCCAAGAACAACAGACTCAGCTCGCACCAGAAGTAAAGATTGAGGAGGTACTCGCAAGCTCAGAACGAGCTGACCAAGATGCAACGACAACAAGCAAAAGATCATCTTGGTTCTCTTGGCTCCCAGGCGGTAAACCACAAGAAGTTGACGAGCTAAACGCCGAGTCGGAGGCAGTTGAAGATAACCTAGAACGGCCCAATGCTCTGACACAAGAGCCGTTTGAGCGGCTTCTTGACCAACCGATACAACACCCTGAGTTTGTCAACGAGCCGATCATAGAGGATGTTCTCAAGGATGCATCAGAGCCGACCTCGACCACACTTGATTCGGAGGACTCCCCAGCCTTACCAGTGGAAGAGCCTGCATTCGTTGAAGATATCTGGACCATGCCGTCGAAGAAAAGTATGAAAGGCAAAAAGGGCAAGAAGTCTACGAAAGCAGAAACTCTGTACGAGAAAGCGTCGATGTCTTCATCGTTTACCGAGAACACATCTCTAGATGTTGAAGGTTCACAGAACGAGAACACTGAACCCGCCGAGAGTGACATGATTATCGAGATTGCAGAGCCCGAGCCTTCGAGCAACATCAACGTGCAAGGTTCTAGCATCGATTTTGCGGCACATGGGCAAGCCCCGCCTACTACCGTAGTCGAAGGCAAAGAATCATCTCCAGCTCCAAACGTAGAGAATATGGAACCAGATATTCCGTCGGAAGCTGTATCTCAATCTCTTGAGTCCGCAACAGAGCGCACCGAAGCGGCCACCACTTCTGTCGACCCCGATGTTCATGATCGAGCTCAAGATGAGAGTAGGTTTCTGCCCCTTCACGAACCCGTTTCGAACGCCGAGCCTCCTACTGCCACGGCTGAAGATGAATGGACCATGCCTTCGTCCAAGAAAAAGAAAAAGAGAGGCAAGAAAGGCAAACAGACATTGACAGAGCCCGTCGAGGCAGCTGAAGATGTTCAACAAGCACAAACTCCAGAGCCAGAGCCGCTTGAAGCTATGGCGAATATTGAGACACACCTGCTACGCCAGACGTTTTCGAGACGCCTGCAGAAGGCACTTCAGCACAGTACTTCGAGACACCCGCTGATGAGCTTGCTGACCAATACTTTATCACCCCGGTTGAGGAAATCTTAGAGCAGCCTCTCGATGCTCCCACAGTCGCTGAAGTACCATCGACGTCCGCTCGCAAGCATGAAGCTGACTCGACCTCACACGAATATCTGAGACGTCTTTCTATCACACCAACTCAAGAAAATGTTCACGGCGAGTCCGTGGTTGTGGAAGATGAGCTGCTCTCTCATGTACAGATTGAAGAGCCTACTACAATCGGCCATGACTCCACTCGCGAAGTGCCGACCCCACCGGAAGTTGAAGCACCATTTCTAGACGATACTACGAGACAGGAACAGACTCTCGATGATCAATTGGGACCTTCTGAGGGCAAGAAAGTCGTCGAAACAATGCCACAGCCGGTATCTCAGAATTCTACCACAACACACCAAGATCCTCTCGATCCTCTTCCCGACGAATTTGAGATCTTGCAGCCGGAAAGACTTGAGCCAAATCTAGATTTCACTCGAGAAGATAAGCGGTTCGCTGAGTCAGAAGCAAGCTATGTGACATCGACAGCGAAAGAATCCGATCCTGGTGACTTCGCGAATTCTACTACTGAGCAACCTCAACTTCATATTGTCGGTGAAACTGACGCTACTGATGTCTACGAACCTGATACCTTCATACCGATATCTTTCAAGAAATCGAGGACGGACAAGAAAAAAGCGAAGAAAGCAAAACAGCAGGAAGTCGAACCCGAATACTTGCGAGACGACACTGCCGAACATGAGTCTCCGAGAGCATTCGAGGACCCAGTCCCACCTCCAGCAGAGGCCAAGTTCGAAGATGCTGTAGCAGCCAACAACGATGTCGCTTCAGCACATCCAAAACTGCCTGAAGTGGACTTTATTACTGAAGATCAGCCAATCACCAGAAAGCTCTCGAACAAGGAGAAAAGGAAGGTAAAGAAGAACGCCACGTCAGGGGTAGCAACACCGCTCGAGGACACGCCTGGGCAAATTCCGATGACCCAAGATGCCATTAGCTACTTCCCTCATGCCGCACAGGATGGCAAAATCACAAAGCCGGTACAAGTAGAGATTCCTGGAGAATCGCATATTGAGCTTGTGTCTACTGCTCCCGACAGATCAGAAGAAGCAAAACGGGATCTGGAAAGCTCGTCGGATAATGACATCGTACCTGTCGAGCCTGGAGAATCGACGTCAGAGCCTGGCAGTCAACCCAACGACCACGAACAGGAAGCAGATAATATCAATGTCGATGAAGTCTCTCAAAATACCGACAATAAAACAATATTTGCTACACCTGGGCCCATAATCATGGAAGAAGCTCTGGTCGGAAATCAGCTGGATCTCACTGATATCAACAAGGCTGATTCACTGCCTGCCGAAAGTGTGCCCATCCCTTCTAAAGACCTATTGTACGATCCACGAGCCGAAGGTCGAGAAAGTGCACAGACTGATTTTGAACCCGCTGTCGTCGAAGATCAAGAACCAAGTGTACTCGATCAGGTGACCCTATCTGAGAAAATCTCTACTGATTTTGCAAACGAGCCGACCGATATGACCAGAGATATACTCACCAATGAGGCGAAGGATCACAACACCATTGAACTTGGTGACAGTACACTTGTCGAAACAACTGCAGAATCTAAGCTTCCTGTCGAGATCGTTGGCGAGACGGTAGCGCAAGAAGCGAAGGCCGAATACTCTGAAAGGTCTACGACAAGAGAAGAGCCTATGCTCGAGCCAGAAACTGTTCAGGAATTTTCTACCGTCGGCTCTGAGCCCGTCCAAGTAAAGCTGTCCAAGAAGGAGAAAAGGAAGGCCAAGAACTCTAAGCAAACCGCCGAACCCATATACGGGAGCCCGGAGCCGCGCGAATATCGGTTTGCTGACAGCAATACACTCGCTCAGATCATCGAAGAAGACCAGTCGACTCTGACGGCACCCAATGAAGAGGCCACTGAGACGAAAGACGATACTGTTCTCCAACCACCGGCTGAAGAGTCTGAGTCCTTCGCGGTCAAGCTGTCTAAGAAGGCCAAGAAGAAGGCAAAAAGTCCAACGTGATGGACATTGGGTCCGAAAAAGTCGAGAAGGATAATCAACCTAACGAACCTCGAAAATCAAATACAGACCTTGCCACTTCTGCGAGCGAAGCCGCCTCTGGAGAGTCCATGATCGAGCCAACTCAGAGGCTTAGCAATGAACTTGTTGCTCGAAATCACCAAGAGACTGAGCAGCAACCTATTCTTGAATTCACTACTCGATTAGATGCAGCCTCTACTCAGGACCCCGAGTTTCCCATGAATCCTGGACAAGAACATACTGTTGACAGTAGACCGGTCGCCAATGTCGAGATTGAACTTGTTGATGAGCCTGAGCACGTACTCATTTCCCTGCCTGTCGACACAATTCCTGCGGAACCAGCTTCTGAAAATACAACGAGCCTTGCAATTGATCCTATGACCGAAATTGCTCTCTGTAGAAGTTTTGCAAAAGATGTTCTGTCGGACCCTGATGTCAATGATGAGACCAAAGTCGTTGAGACATCTGAGATACCTCAAAGCTTCAACGAGGATGCTCCCATGACTGTACCTGGTCAAAGTGAAATCGGATTCATTGAGGCTGGCGAGCAGCCTGCTGAAGAGGTTGTTGAGACGCCCATGTTTGAAGAAAAGGACGAATTCTTCTCTTCGATCTCAACCTCGAAGAAAAAGAAAAAGAAAGGGAAGAGGACAGAGTCTCAACGAGAGATTGAGCAACCAGGAGTGTTTTGCGACAAGTCGATACCAGGCCCGCCAAACGATACTGAAAAGTCCACGATCGAGACAGTCGAGCACTCACAAGACACGAATTATGAGCCAGTCCTCACCGTAGCCGACAATACTACTCAAGATATAGTCGGGGAAGGTCCGAGTGCGGTCGCTGCAGATGGGTGGGCATTCCCAGTAAAGCAGTCAAAGAAGGAAAAACGCAAGGCCAAGAAGCTCAAGGACCTTGAAGAGCCTCCGAGCAGCGATGGCATTGAACAGGAGCCTATCAAGGAAGCTACACCGCCAAATGAGATCGAGGAGAGTCCCGACCATCCAAACAACCGAGCCGCCAAATCTGAGGCGGCTATGGAAGGCACAGAGCCTGTGGTTAATCCTATCGTCGATGATGATTGGAGCTTCTCCCGTAAGCCGTCAAAGCAAGAGAAGCGTAAGGCTAAGAAATCAATGTTCATCGACGCACAGCAAGCCGAACCTGGACCTCCAGAGGTCGTGGACCTGACCCCTGAAACTCGACCTTTGGCGTCCGACAGTCAAACTGTCAAAACTCAGCCTGAGCGGCAAGCTGAAGCAGTCTCGTTGGATCGAACTCTGCCAGCTGTTGACCCTATCGTTGTGGGGGACGTACCAAACGAATTCATCAGCCAAGAAGACGGAGTCCTCAGTAATGCGATGGAACATGGTTCTTCCCTTGGCAACGTATCTCAAGACATAGACTTCGCGGCTACGTTGGCTGCTGGTCTACAAGATTCTGGCTTTGACCCCAGTCTTGTTATCGATGATCCTGTGTTCCATCGACGAGCATCTCCCACAAGTGGAGGAGAAGCTGATCCTGAAGAAGTTGCATCAACGACAACAAGGAGGTCAAAGAGAGACAGTAGCCAAGGTGTAAGTGGAAGTCCCACCCAAGACGCATTCACCGACCAACCTGCCAAAGGGTTTGCGAATGATGACTTCTCCAATGACTTGACGGCTGGCCTACTCGCTTCTGGATTTGCACCAGATACTCTTACCAGTCTCTTGGCTGGTACCAAGGATGCTCAAGACGAACCAGAAGAATCCTCTTTTGCGACACCAGAGAGGAAGAAGAAAGGCAAGAAGGGCACACGAGTTGAGAACCTAAATCCAGTTTTATCAACACCCACACACGAGATGACCCTCAGGCTAGAACGCGAAACAGAACATCCAACGCCCGCAGCGATCGAAGCTCTGCCTGCGCAAGAGCCCGAAGACGGCCGTGTGGAATGTACCATTGCTCAGAGAGATGTCGACAATCCGACTGATACATCGCCAACGAGGTTAGCCAAGCCCACTTTCTTTCACACCTCAGAAGCCTCGCAGTTCCTGCCCGTCAGTATTGATCACTCAGTCCAGTCAGATGAAGAGCGCGTAGACCAAGGTCCTCAATCATCGGCGGATGTGTCGATGATTGAGACGTTGATCAAAGAAATCCCGCAAACAATACTGGAAGATGCACATGCAACGTCGACCACGGCAGATCCAAAACCACTAGTCACTGCTCGAGTTCAAGACGAGCCGGCAACATGGTCTTTTGACAACCTGGAGTCGCCTGTCGAGCAGACAATCTCAGAAGCTCATCAAGAGATACAAGCAGATGGTCCTCTTGTCTTCGCTCCATCTGATTCGGAAAAGAACGCACAGACTCTGAAAGCCGAACTCATCTCGCCGGTCGAGTCTACAACTAAGGACAGAACTTCGTATCTCTTCCAGTCTCCAGTAGATGTGACTGGCTTCGACAAAGCAAAGGAACTACCACACGAAAGCGCGCAAAACCAGGCCAGATTCTACCAGCCGGAATACACACTTGGTTCAACCTTGGGCTCCAAGCCTCAGAGTCTACCGGCACCTCTACCTCCAAGTCCTTCAGAACTGTCCTTTCCACCGACACACTTGAGAGCTGCGACTCCTCCAGCGCCTCTTCCACCAAGTCCCTCTCGCCAATATGTGATATCGCCAGCTCCTTTGCCACCAACTTCTCGAGCAGATCAGTCACCACCTTTGACAAGGAAAAAGAGCCTCTATGACATCGGATCGCCAGGTCCAGGACACTTCAGTAAGGCTGCAAGACGTTCCTTAACGCCACAACAAGCATTCCGAGAACAGCCTGATCCATTTCAGCTAGAACGTTCAACGTCGGTTGTTGAAAGAGCCAATTTGGACGACCAGATTCCAATCTTGCGACCGATGGGCTCAACTCGATCAATCATCAGCAACAGAGAACAGTCCCGATCAGTAAGTTCGACCAGTAATCACTCTGCTGCTCCTTCCCTACGACGAATCAATAGGAGCTTGTCAGGTGATTTGAGGGCGGCTAGCAGGAGGCGGGGAGACGCGACGCATGGGCCACCAACAACAATCCCCATCGAACCTCCCCCCACACCGCCTTTGCAAGACGAAGAGTTCAACGGTCACGGTGCTTCCCGTCCTGCGGACATGGCAAACATCTATGTAAGCAGTCCACGTCTTTTATGATATTGCAAATGCTGACTAGAGATGTAGGAGGGCTGGGGTGATGTCCGCAGCTCGCCGACCGTGTCTCCGACGCGACCGCCTAGTATGCGCAAACGTCAGAGCATGCACATTCTTGACCTAGAGGCTAAACTCGATCAACTCGCTTCCGAAAACCGTTACCTACAGGATGCCATCGATCAGACACCTCCTGCTCCTCCATCAGTTGATGACAACGTCGAACTCCAGGATATGCTTAGAGCACGTGATTTGCAGCTCCAAGAGAAGGATGCTGAGATCAGGCAATTCCGATCATTACTTGAGCCCTTGCAACGAGAACTCGCGAAGCTGACTGATGTCAACAACAACCTCTCCGAAGTCAATCGTAGCTTCACGGCTAACAATGACATCCCTTACGCTACCTTGCGGACGGAACATGCATCTGCTCACAAGCAGTTACAACACACGAGTCAGGAGCTCGAAGGTCTCAAGAGACAACATCATGAACTTAATGATAACATGGAAGACATTGTCCGACAAGAAATTGCCAATGCATTGGAAGACAAGAATGCTGAGATTAGAAAGCTGCGCGAGGAGCTCGATGTGGCTAGCCAGCAGATCCGACTTCTTCAAAGCCAGATTCTTGCGTCTAAGGGGGACAACTACCTGACGACCCGCGATGAGGATTACTTCGATACCTCGTGCCAGAAGCTCTGCCAGCATGTTCAGCAATGGATCTTGCGCTTCTCCAAGTACTCCGACAACCGCATGTGTCGCCTGACTTCAGACTTGACCGACGAGAAGATCGCAGCTAGGCTTGACAATGCCATTCTGGATGGATCCGATGTTGATAAACTACTCGGAGACCGTGTTCGTCGACGCGACGTCTTCATGTCTGTAGTCATGACTATGATCTGGGAGTATGTGTTTACGAGATATCTCTTCGGCATGGATAGGGAACAGCGACAGAAGCTCAAGTCGTTGGAGAAGATACTCTCCGAAGTTGGTCCTCCACGCGCAGTAGCACAGTGGAGAGCAACTACCTTGACACTCCTGTCACGCCGACCAGCCTTCGCCACTCAACGCAATCTCGACACTGAAGCCGTGGCTCAAGAGATCTTCAGCGTATTGTCTGCCTTGCTTCCACCTCCAGCACAACTCGAAGCACAGATGATGTCATCACTGCGCAATGTCCTTCGCCTAGCTGTCGAACTGTCCATCGAGATGCGCTCCCAGAAAGCAGAATACATCATGCTGCCACCCCTGCAGCCCGAGTATGATGCACAAGGCGACCTAGTCCGCAAAGTTCATTTCAACGCCGCACTCATGAATGAACGCTCTGGCGACTACACCAGCAACGACGAACTAGAGCGCACCCAAGCCGTTGTGAAGATTGTTCTCTTCCCTCTGGTCGTCAAAAAGGGAGACGATGTCGGCGAAGGAGAAGATGAGATTGTGGTATGTCCTGCACAAGTGCTTGTTGCAGGGTCCAAGCAGGGCAAAAAGGTTGTCAGAGTGTTGAGTGGGGCTATGGATATCGATAATCCCAGACGCAGTAATCAGAGTATTATTTCTGGGTTAGAGAGTGGGGGGATGATCTGAGGATGAGAGGATTGTTGTACCTATGAAGGGAATTTTTTCTTTCTTTTTACACATTCTTATGGCGGTATACTTTTATGATTGATGAGATTGAAGGGGGGGTAATGCGTAGTCTGAGGAAGGAAGACGTACCTAGACATGAACAATCGATGTAGTATCCATTGAAGCCAGGTGCTGATCAGAGTGATAGCCATGGACAGTTGAGGACGTCTCCCTCGGGCAACATTCGCTGTTGTGAGAACCTCTGTCCTGGCTTCCATGTCCACTTGGAACCATGCCCATTTTCAGTACCACCGTGTTTCTTTAGACCCTGAGCAAACAGTTCATGCCAACATGACAACGATGCGGTTCGGCCCGTAGGGTGGTTTTGTTATGGTGCATCGACGTTGCACTATCGGCAACGTTCATGCAAACCACCTCAGGTCTTTTTGTCTTATCTTTGTGTTAGCGAGGGCGGGGTATAGAAAGGATTCTGACTTGGAATCTTACCCAAAATTCGCTGTGACGGGTGTTCAGCTCGGTCTCACTAGTGCGTTTGTAGTTGGCGCAACGAGGGGCTCATAGTCACTTTACTTGGATGCTCGCGAAATATTACCATAACTTCTGCACAAATCTCTTTTCGCAGCAGCTGATCCCTGTATTCACGTTTGACTAGCAAAGAGATATATCCTGTACCGTACGACTGGGTCTTGACATGCTCATATGCTAGGAGATGTGAAATTGGGACATCTAGCGAGGGGCTTGATATTATACAGTACCCGAACCACCGCCATCGAATTTATCATTCAGCTGAGCATGCGAGGTCGTTGTCTCATTGACTTCGTCGAAGGAGGTGACACCGTTAGCTGCCTGCAAAATCTGTCCATATCTCAGCTCGTATCTGCACCACCATCGCTAAGCGATGCTACATTGCAAGAATCTTTCGAGAGGATCAGTCAGGGTTTTAGGGTCGTTATCCGTAATCGGAAGTTCCAAGAATGATGCACAAGCCGTCATGGATGCTTCGGAGGCGGTGGTCGGGTCTCTTGGTCTTGGTCTGCAATGCCACTTGGACAATGGTTGGCAGTTCGTTTCCCCAGTTTCTGACACGACACAACCGAGCAGTTTCGTGCTGTCGACCCATAACATTACACTTGCTCAATCCTCGCTGTTGAACTTGTCAGATGGTCTCAAACAAGTCGCTGCCGAGAACATTCGCCGCCTTGGTAACGAATTCTTGAAATGCTCGGAATTGTCGATATCTGTCAGTCTTGTGGGAGGAGCGCAGAGTCTCGTGCCAGCTCACTTGAGGGTAGTCTGCAAAAGCGTCGGATCTCATCTCCATCGCGTCCACTCCGTTCTGAGCTTCTTGCCCATTGGAGCAGGAGAATCGCCCTGGCAACAGAGTTACAAGCTCATCATCTCGATAGAAGAGCATGTCACAGTCCTCGTCGCCGAAGGAAGTCTTGTAGCGGATGTAGCCGCAACATGGCCACTGCGTATCGAGAAGCTCACTGGACATGATGTCGTTGACTCATTGAAGAATTGGCATGTCGGGTGGATTTCGGTCACGGGCGCCGACGTCTTGGATTCTGCTTTGGGCACGGTCAAAGATTGGGTGCAGAGTGATGCTGATCTGGGACATGCGGATCTGTATGCAGAGATACTTGGGCGCAAGGTAGGAGACGACATTCTCCAGACGATATTTTGAGCAGGCGGTTCTTCCGTAGGAGCTTGGAAAGGCTGCGACCGTGTTGTATTCTTGTTCTTGGTGTTCATGTCCTCGGGCAAGCTAGCTAGCTAGAGCAGCCTGTTACAGGAGCTGGGCACGCAAGACATGTCACTGAATACGTTAAGCATATCATCGAACGTGCAAAACTAGTCACTTATATATGCCCAACATACGGCAAGAAAAGAGCGGAACTTGCCTTGCAAAGTCCTACCAATCGAGTGCAATCCAGTATCTAAGGAAAGCTCGACTTACCACTGACACGAGAGAAATTGTAAGATTATCATCGACTTTGAACATGTGTAGTCCAAGAAGACTACGTTGTCTTCGTAATTACCTACACAAGACTACAGGCGACTCGCAGCAGCACCTTGACCCTTTGGCATCCTCCTATCCACCCCCAAAGCCTCCACATCCTTTGGTTTGTAATAATGCGGCGCAACCTCCGAAAGCCACTCTGGCTGCAACGGAAAACACGACCGCATAAACTCTTTACTCGTAAGCACAAGTTCATGATAAATAGTCCATTTGGGACGGTTCCCCGTGGCGGCAAGCACGGAAGACGGATGCAGCCAAGTGGTTTGATTGTTCTTGACGGTGCGATAACTGTCTCCTCCCCTCTGTATGCGAGCCGCATTGGGGAAGAAACCTGCAGTGAGTGCTTTGAGGATTGGAGGGATGTTTGTGGCGCCGCAGGAAGATACAGTGACTTCGACGCGATCACACAGTTTGGCCAATTGATCGCGTACATCTCTTGCGCGGGTGAGACTGCGTTGCTGCAANAAGTTTTCCTTGGCCCAGACTTGGGAAAAGTCCGAGTCGACCCATTGGTTCCAAATGTTGAGGTAGGTAAGGTGGTCGCCGCCGTCTTTGATGGTGAAGCGTTCTCTGGTGGTATCGGCTTGGGTTTTCTTGTCTTTTGGGCGGTAGAAGAGGGCGCTTGCTTCGCCGAGCATGGAGACGATGGAGAGCACTTCTTCCACGCAGCCTTCCTTGTCGGCGGCGAGGATTGCTTTTGCGAGAAGAGGGTCTGTTGGGAATTCGGCCATTTGACGACCCACTCGTGTGAGCTCGCCTTTATCGTTTAAGGCACCCAGAGCGTATAATTGTTCCAGCGAGCGAATGAGCATGTCGGGAGATGGCGGATCCAGGAATTCAAAGTTGAGCAAGTCGTTGATACCCAGTGACTTCAAAAGCAAGACCACACTTGTTAGATTGGTCCTCTGAATTTCAGGCGTGGTCGATTCTGGCAGGTCGTTGTAGAAAGCCCATTTAGTGTACAGACGGAAGCATTTACCAGGACCTGTACGACCAGCTCTACCCGCTCGCTGATTCGCAGAAGCACGAGAAATCGGCACTGCGACAAGACTTTCCATGTTGGTGGCTGGAGTATATCTGTTCTCCTTGACATAGCCAGGATCAATGACATAGACGATATTGTCAATAGTCAAACTCGTCTCGGCAATGTTGGTGGCTAGGACAACCTTGCGGACTTTTGGTGGCGTTGGCTCAAAGATTCGGTTTTGCATATCTGTAGGCAAGTTTGCGTAGATAGGACATATCATCAACTCGCCAGCGGCAGCTCCAAGTTTCCGAGCGGTTTCTTGCAAAGACTCGTTCGCTTGCTCAATTTCGTCTTGTCCAGTCAAGAAAACCAGAATGTCGCCAGGCATAGGTTGAGACAAATGGATCTGGAAGACCGTTGTAATAGCAGCTGATAGGTAGTTGGCCTCCGGTTGCATGCTGTAGTTCATCTCCACGTCGAAAGTTCTTCCGGGAATATTCATAATCGGAGCGTCGTCAAAGTATGATGAGAATTTCTGTGCATCCAGAGTGGCAGATGAAATGAGAATCTTCAGATCTGGTCTTCCACGCGCAATGTCTTTGATGAGACCAAACAAGATATCGGTATGCAATGTACGTTCGTGAGCTTCGTCAATCATCAAAGCAGAATATTTGCCGAGATCGGGCTCTGTCAGGAACTCGCGCAACAACATACCATCAGTCATGTACTTGAGAATGGTTTTATCGCTGGTTGCATCCTCAAATCGGATAGAGTATCCGACCTCGTTACCAACCTTGACGCCCATTTCTTCTGCCACACGAGTAGCAACCGACATGGCAGCGACTCTACGGGGTTGTGTACATCCTACCATCTTGCCGTCCTTGGTCATACCATGTTCATGAAGATATTGTGGCAGCTGCGTAGTCTTTCCAGAACCAGTCTCTCCGACAACAATCAAGACTTGGTATTTGTCGACAGCAGCCAGGAACTCGTTTCGGTACGTGTACACGGGCAAAGTCTTTCGCTTCTCTTCGATAGTCTTTGCCTTTCTTTCTGCGGCGACGAGTTGTTGAGCGAGCTGACGTTCCTCCTGCGTCTGTTGTTGCATGCTTCCAGACATGACACGGTCAGTCATCCATTGGATTTGCTGATCCTGATCAAAGACATATTCGTAGTCGGCTTCGTTGACACGCTCAGAGACCATGATTTGAGCCTTCGTTTTGGCGAGCTGTTCGTTTTCCCATTCTTCGTGTTCTGTGACAAAGCGTTCTCTTCCATACTCGTCTCGGTCGACGTGACGACTGTTCAATGCATCCGACTTTGCTTTTCGGCTTATCTTGCCTTTCTCTGTTATGTAGTCATCTGGAAGAGCGTAACCCTCGAGATGGTCGTCGATACGCAGACGCTCTTCTGCAATTTCCAGAGTTCTCTTGTTCTTCTCGAATTCGGCCTTCTCCTGAGCTGTAAGTAAGGGGTTCTCACGAAGTTCCATCTGTTCCTCAGCGACTTGCTTGCGGAGCAGGGCGAGTTCTTGAGCCTCTCTCTTNTTGAGATATTCCTGACGGGAGCGTAACCTGATATCCTCGAGTTGTGCCTTTCTCTGATTGGGGTCGTCGGCCAAGGCACGTCGAGATGCCGAATCATGCTTGGAGCGGTCCTCGACAATCTTCTTAGTGCCACGTTCATCCCTCTCTTTCAGACGTTTCTCGAAAGCGATGCGCTCCTTGCGGTCACGTTCNTTCTGGGTCTTCTTCTGGCGAAGCAGAACGACGACGAGGAGAGGCGGATCCATCCTCCAGTCTTGCACGCTTCGAGGCTGATGGCCCAGGCTGGTCCTCTTCTTCCTCGTCTTCCTCTTCGTACTCTTCATCGCCCCAGCGATCGTCGAAATCGCCATTGTCTCGTTGGCGCAAACGTTTTGTATGTCGGTCGCGACGGTCGTGGCGGTCGTGGCGATCTTTCTTGTCTTCTGTGCGGTCGCGGCGGCGAGTGGTGGGTGGTGGAGCAGATACAGGCTGTTCGTCTTCNNAACGTTCATATCGAGCAGGGCATAGCGCTTCTTTGAGTCCTTGGCCGAGACATCTTTTGGTCGTGACGAGGTGGAAAACTTGTCGGACTTTGGTAGGCGTTGGAAAAGCTGGTGACTGAAAGTGCGCAAGTCCTTGTCGTCGGCATCGATCATGGCCTGCAGCTTGTCGTGAAGCTGGTCTGGGTTCTTGACCGAGCTGGCTGTCTGCTGGACAAAGTCAACGATCATGTTCTCGGACCCGCCCACCAGCTTGATCAAGTTGTCCGAGATGAAAGTCCGTATGTCCATGTTGAAGTAGTCCAGATCCAGAATCCGGTAGAAGACGGTGGTGATGCAGTGCAAAAGATGTCTTGGACAGAAAGCTGGTATAGATGCGTGAAGCCGCCAAGCGTGCGTCACTGCTGGCGAGTCGTTCTATCAAATCATCAGAGAATATTCAGGACCGATTGACATCTTGTATGTCGCAATACATATACAGCGAATCATATACAACCTGTAAGAAGAGTGAAGGGGTTGATTGATCGCACAAGGACAAACACCACCTTGATCGGTGCCAAGCCAGGGCATACCAAAGGTCCAAGTCAAGTCAACGCGACCACGTCTGTCGTGCATCAGCCATGTTCACCCTCACGCCGCTGTTGGGCGCGCAGTCCGAGTCGGCTGCATCGCAGTCGCTGCTGGAGCTGGATGGAGGCGTCAAGATCCTCGTCGACGTGGGCTGGGACGAGTCTCTGGACGCCGACAAGCTCGTCCACATTGAGCAGAACGTGTCGACCATCTCGCTCGTCCTCCTCACCCACCCGACCCTGAACCACCTGGGCGCATTCGCCCATTGCTGCAAACATATCCCGCTCTTCTCATCCATCCCCGTCTATGCCACCACTCCGGTCGTATCGCTTGGTCGCACCCTCACCCAGGACCTGTACGCCTCGGCAGCCCACCAAGCTTCCATCGTCCCTGCCTCAGCTCTGGCCGAATCGCTGTCCAAGGCTCAAGTCCCTGCCAACTTCCTGCTCCAACCTCCCACCGCCGATGAGATTGCCTCCTACTTCTCCCTAATCAACCCCCTCAAGTACTCTCAGCCTCACCAACCCATCCCATCGCCATTCTCTCCACCTCTCAATGGCCTCACCATCACCGCTTACAACGCTGGTCATACCCTTGGTGGTACCATCTGGCATCTACAACATGGCCTCGAGTCGATCGTTTACGCTGTTGACTGGAACCAAGCAAAAGAGAACGTCTTGTCGGGTGCCGCTTGGCTGGGTGGTGCTGGTGGAGGTGCTGAAGTCATTGAGCAATTGCGCAGACCTACTGCCTTGGTCTGCAGTACAAAAGGTGCCGATCGATCACATCTTTCGGGAGGCCGTAAGAAGCGTGACGATGCACTACTCGCCTTGGTCAATCAGACCATCTCAAACGGTGGTACTGTTCTGATTCCCACAGACTCGAGTGCTCGCATGCTCGAACTGGCCTATATTCTCGAACATCACTGGCGACAAGGCACCAATGGTCCGAACCAAGACCTCTACAAGAACACCAAGCTAGCCTTTGCCGCAAAGTCGGCTTCTGCCACGCTTCGATATGCCCGGAGTATGATTGAGTGGATGGACGATGCCATTGTGCGCGAGATGGAGGCTGCCGTTCAAGGAAAATCGGACAACACCCAAAAGAGCCAGACAGGTCGTGACGAAGACACTCCCTTCGACTTGAAATATCTCAAACTGGTCGAGAAAAAGACACAACTGCATCGTATCCTTGACTCTGGCAAGCCCGCTGTTATTCTAGCAAGTGACAAGTCTCTTGAGTGGGGTTTCTCCAACGACGCAATTCGAAAGATTTGCAACGACCCAAGGAATCTCGTCGTATTGACCGAGAGAGCTGCGAACCCATCACCGGACAACAAGGGCATCGGCCGCTTTTTGTGGGAGCACTGGCGCCAGGCGGTGGAGTCACGAGACGAGGACGCAAATGTCGTCGAAGTGTCGGGTGCGCAAACACAAGTGCGCCAGTTGGATGTAGCACGTCTCGAAGGTGATGAGAACCTCCTCTACCAACAATACCTGGCTCGTAGACGCCAAATGCACAGCACACTGCAAGGCGACAACACGCTCACGAAAGAAAATGCAGCAGAATTGGCTGATGACGGCTCATCGACCAGCTCTGAATCCTCTGATGAATCTGAAAACGAACACCAAGGAAGAGCACTCAACATTTCTGCAACCATGACACACAGGCGGAAAGTAGGTCTGACAGATGCTGAACTTGGCATCAATGTCCTCCTACGACGCAAGAACGTTTACGATTATGATGTGCGCAACAAGAGGGGACGCGAAAAAGTGTTTCCTTACGTCGCCAAACGCGGCCGCGCAGACGACTTTGGCGAAGTCATCCGACCAGAAGAGTATCTTCGTGCAGAAGAGAAGGACGATACAGAAGGCCAGGATGCAGCAGAAGCCAAGACAGAAACTGCCGTTGGACAAAAGCGCAAATGGGACGAGGTTGCACCTCGTGCAATTCAGAATGGTCGGAGTGGCAAGTTCCCCGATAAGAGAAACAGGACCGACGACCGAGAGTCTACAAATGCAAAGTCGACAAACCAGGATCACGACATGAACGGCGACGCAGCCAGCGAGTCGGAGGAGTCTGATTACGAGCCTGAAGAATCACTTCCAGAAGGGCCCCTCAAGGCTGTTTTCACCGAGGAGTCACTGCAGCTCAATGTGAGGATAGCATACGTTGATTTCTCTGGTCTACACGAGAAGCGTGATTTGCAGATGCTTATTCCACTTATTCGACCAAGGAAGCTAATTTTGGTGGCTGGAGAGGAAGCGGAGACTCTAGCACTTGCCGAGGACTGCAAGGCTTTGCTTGCGTCTGGTGAAGGCAATGCTGTCGATATTCTCACTCCCATCATTGGTGAGACTGTTGATGCCAGTGTCGATACAAATGCATGGACACTCAAACTCAGTCGAAATCTGGTCAAGAAGCTCGCCTGGCAGAATGTGAAGGGGCTTGGCATCGTGGCTATCACAGGTCGCCTCGAGGCTGTACAAAAGTTGCTCGCCGATGCCAATAGCAATGGAGATGAAGCTATCAAGAGAAAGAAGCAAAAGATGATTGCAGGTGGTAACGAGACTGATGCTTCTGACATGGCCGACGAGGCTGATGTCGAGACCGAGCCTGTGCTTGATGTGTTGTCGACCAATCCGTTAGCCAACAATCAAGTCACAACACAGCCACTACATGTTGGTGATCTTCGCCTTGCTGATCTCCGAAAGCTCATGCAAGCTTCTGGTCATGCAGCAGAGTTTAGGGGTGAAGGTACACTGTTGGTTGACGGGGCTGTTGTTGTTCGCAAGACTGCTAATGGCAGAATTGAGATTGAGGGAGGCAACTACATGGCATCTGCCGGACGCCGCGAAAGCGCATTCTTTGCCGTCAGGCGCAAGGTGTATGAGGGCCTGGCTGTGATTGCCGGTAGTTGAGTCAAAAGTCTGCTGTAAGATACCCAAATCCATTATTTTCTAAATCATCAAAGTTGTGAAGACACGAAAGTGCGTATGCTTAGCCGCGTGGCTGGACAACTTGTGGTTGTAACCGGCTCTTGTAATTCGTGACACTGGCGGCTGGCGGCGCATGCTGAAAGAATCAAGTTCTAGATAACTACGGCATCACAAGACAATCACAAGCTCCCACGATTACCTCGCGCTGGCCACATCGTCAGAGTGATATACGGCATTCACACCGTTGGACAGCACATGCGCATTCTCATGCGCTTTCCCGGTCTATAAATCGCCCGCCAATCTCTTTCTAAAACTCAAACCTCAACTTCAACATCAGTCTACCTGTTCGAGTAACTGACACTGAACACAAACCACAGATCCCTTGATCAATCAACACTTCCCACACGAGCAACCCTCCACCCTACACTTGGAAACCATACAGCTACCAACCAGTTGGCCCTCCCCACCACCTCCAATGCCAATCTTGCTCGCCATGCCCATCTTGGTTGCCCCTTGTGTCGCCGTGCCCGTCAAAGCCTCGCCCCTCAAAGGCATGGCGGTCGCTGGCTCAAACACAGCAGCCAAAGGCAAGGAACTGGTGACTACAATCAAGACAACTACAGCCATCAAAGGCACCTCTTCCAAGACGGTGACAAAGACTGCTTCCAAAGCTGCATCTTCAGCTGCCAAAGCACCTTCTGCACATGCCTCTTCATCAGCAAGAGCACCACCCTCCAAACCTGCTTCTTCAACTCCCGCAAAGTCCACGGCTTTCAAGACATCCAAAAGAACCTCGTCTTCTACCTCAGCAGCAAAGACTTGTGCCGCAGTCGTTGTTTCCAAAACCGTGGTCTCTACATCGACATCTGCCAGCAAAATTCAGCCACCCCCTCCAACACCTCTTCCAAGACTACAGCATCCCAAAAAGCAGCAAAGGCAAAAGCCGTCACTGCACCCTGCCCTCCCTTGCCAGGCATGAAGATCATCTACCCAAAACACCACACTTGTCTACACGTCATCCTCCGCACCAAAGTCTGGGAGAACGGTGCTGTGCCTGCCAATCTGATCGCAAAGACATTCTACGTGCCTTGCGTGTTGAGCGTCTCCGAGTTGATTGAGCAATTGATGGGCGGCGAGGGAGATAAGTGTAAGGGTTGGGCTTTGACAGAAGTCCAAGAAAAGGGCGATGGGGTCTTTGTCAAGGGATGCAGTGTCGAATATGGAAGCGACAGGGCTGGGGAAGCACTCAAGGGGGTTGGATGGAGTGAGAAGAATGGGGGTGAGAGACCGCCTGTTTGGGTTGTTTTGCACAAGGTTTGATGAAAGAGGGATGAGAGAAGGGGATCACTGATACTGATGGAGGATTTTTCTTGTTGTCTTGTGTTTTTTTGGACTTTGTCTCTTTTGATTTGACTTTGCTTGAGAGGAAATTTTTGCATGAGGTACCAGAGTTTCATGGAATGACATGATGTTGATCTGTGTTTTCTTGCTTGATTTGATTTTGTTTCTGCAGCAAAGCAATTGAAGAGTGCAAGACTGAAAGAATCACATATCATCTGCTGTTTTGGGTTTTCACTTTCTCATTTTCTGGTTTTGCCTTTTTCCATACTTTTCCTTTCTGGCTTTCTACTGAGGAGAACTTTATTTTTGATGTTATGGATATAGGAATAGCACGAACCATGAAAGCCTCCTGAGAAAGAGAACAGGTATGTATATTCTGGCAAAAAAGAAAAAAGCAAGCCAAATGAAAAAGACCATTCATGGGAAAGAAGTATCTTGCATGCCCTGCATACCCTCTAGATATCTTCTCGTTCTTGTCTTGGAAGACGAGAGGAACCTGCCTCTTTTGAGATATCCAATCTTGAGACCTATCTATCGAAACCATGTTCTTGCCATCTTGCTTCAACTGCGACGGAGAAAATTTAGTATGAGATTTTAGACTTTCGTTTCGTTCTCTTGCCTATATGACGGATAAGTCTAATATAGTACGCTCGTAAGTAAACGGAGACCTTACAATGCCCAACACATCGACCTCGAAGCACAGAATTGACTGAATGATCGACCTCTGTTGAACAAAGTAGAAAAAACAATAAACTGTGTGGTGTAAGTCGGGATAAAGACACAAGAAAACAAGAGTAAAAAAGAGATAACAACCAACCGAAAGACAAAACTCGCCTACCAGTAGCATCAAAACGGATGTCAAGATCCGACCAACCAAAGACAAACCCTGTCTGGATGGATTTCTAGCCATCTCCGAGATTCCGCAGTGATCGGGACAGCCACTTGAGTGATGCTATAGATGTCCGTGGAATACATTATACCATCTTTGCCGGCTGGTTCGGTGGTCAGAAGCTCATGCCTTCTCGCAGCTTCTTTACATTGTGTCACTTTCTCATATTTCCAGTCGCTTACAAACATTCTCTTGTTCTGTGTTTTGCATTGGGCACGGGATCGCAAGACCCACAGAATACCAAGATAGATTAGACATTCATTAAATCTTGAACAATGAGAAGTATAGGATTGAGTTCATGTGAGGTGGAATAATGTACAACATTAGAGGAGGAGGAGTAGAAAACAAGAGAGCACAGCCTCCTTCTTCAACGGCAGAGTGGAGGCTTTTTTTTACCTGCACAGTAGAAATGCTTCTGACCCTCGAAAAACGCTAGACGCTTCTTTTCCGGGAACAAACAAAATCAGAATGAACGCCTGGCTAGTACAGTAACGACATGCAGAAACCAGTCCTAACAATGGCAGAAGAAATATTCCTAGTGCTTGGCACGGGTGTCCTCGAAGCTCTCAAGCACGCTATCTGTCACGCTTTGAGGCTTGTCGGAGGGTTCCTGTGTAGATGATTCTGAGGGGGCGGAGACTTGTTTGGGGGCCATTGCACGGGCTTGGCTTTCGTTGACCTTGCCGTAGACGCCCATGGCGGTGGCAATCATGCTGCCAATATCTCCAACGTTGCCGGGAACGACGACACTGGTTCCCTCCTTCGCCAGCTTGCCAAAGGCGTCGACGTACTTCTCGGCGACACTCAGACTGACGGCACCCTGTGCACTCTCCTTGCCTTGAGCAATAGAGTTTGCGACTGCGTCGATACCGGCAGCGGTGGCGCGAGCCTTGAGAAGGATGGCTTCAGACTCACCAGTGGCCATGTTGATCTGCTCGGCGCGCAAGGCCTCGGATGCCAGGATGACACTCTGCTTGCGACCTTCGGCAATGTTGATGGCGCTCTGGCGTTGGCCTTCAGATTCCAGGATTTCAGCACGCTTGCTACGCTCAGCGGTGACCTGACGGTGCATGGCCTCGACGACACCGGCGGGAGCGTGGATGTCGCGGATCTCATAACGCAGACAGGTGACCCCNCAGTCCTGGGCAGCCTCGTTGATGGCTTGTGTGATGTTTGTGTTCAAGGCAGCACGCTCTTTCAGGACATGGTCGAGAGACAGCTGACCAATCTCTGAGCGCATGGTGGTTTGAGCGAGTTGTGAGATGGCGTATTCGGCATCTTCGACGCCGTAGCTGGCCTTGTAAGGATCGAAGACGCGCGTGTAAAGCACACCGTCCAGCTCGAGTGTAACGTTGTCGGCGGTGATGGCGCTCTGGGAAGGAATCTCGATAGCGGCTTCTTTGAGACTTTTGACGTAGGCGATGCGATCAATCAGAGGGACGAGGACGGCGAGACCGGGCTGCAGGATGCGGCTGAACTTGCCCATGCGCTCGACGATCCATGCTGTTTGCTGAGGGACGAACTTGACAATGGTGTTGGCGGGTAGTGATGAGCGCTGGAAGTAGCTCGTAGGCTCGCTCGAAGCGGAAGAACGGGAGAACAGCGAGTCGGCAGAGGGTAGAAGGCGTGGCGGTTGCGAGCTAAATGCAGCTCTTTGGATGGTGAAGCGGCTGTTGGCCAGGACGGCCAGCGAGCGGCGCGATGCTGCCGGTCGCAGTGCGCCCGACCGCGCGATGAGTCCCATGGCGTTCTCGGCCATTGTGAATGTACTTGGATATGCTGTGCTTGTTGGAGTAGATGCGGTGGTAGAGACCGAGAGAGGCGGACGATTGACGAACGGCGTGGGGCGGGCCAAAGCTTCGTCCAAACTCCGTCATCATCCTTCTTGCCCTTGCTACTCCGTACATTCTCTCTGCCAACACACGCAGCAAACATGTCGGAATACTGGAAGTCGACGCCGAAATACTGGTGCAAGTTCTGCTCGACCTACGTGCGTGACACGACTCTCGAGAAGAAGTCACACGAGGCCACTCCGAAGCACCAGAACAACATCCAGCGCTCCTTGCGCGACCTTCACAAGAAGTCTGAGCGCGAAGACCGGGAGAAGCAGCGCGCCAAAGATGAGGTCGCCCGACTGAACGGCCTGGTCTCTGGCAAACAACAACCCTCCGTCTCTGTCGCCTCTGGCTCGCAACTCCCCACTCCAAAACTCAAGTCTACTGCGCCTTCCGCTCCTGCTTCTGTCGCCGAGCGCAAACGACAGATGGAACAGCTCGCTGCCATGGGTGTCGCCATCCCTGAAGAATATCGGCGTGACATGTCCATCCAAGGAGAATGGGCCACTGTCTCTGAGAGACCTATCTACTCCCGACCTGTCAAGTCCGCTTCAGACGGTGAAGACGAAGATACAAAGGCGTTTGGTGTGAGGAAGCGGAAACTGGATGATGAGGAAGAAGATCTAAAACTAGCCCCCAAGGCCTGGGGCTCGCGTCTCAAGTCATACCCCGGTGCAACTGGCAATACCGAAGAAGATCTGGATGCTTTGCTCTCTGGCGCTACCACCAAGAAGGAAGTCAAGTCTGAAAATTCGAATCTGAAGATAGAGGGTGATGTTGACCCCGTTGATGCCATCGCTGCTGTACCAGATATTGCTGAAGCTGCTTCCGCTGAGTCCGAAACGAAAGTGGAGCCTAAACATGAGCAAGACGCTCCCATCGTCTTCAAGAAGCGCAAATCCAAGCGCTGAACGACCAACAAAACAGCTTCAAAAACCTCACCACTATATCATATGCAGACTCTGCATATATCTTCGCAGAGCGCGCTGGTATTCACACGCCCGTGCATCATAGGTAGGCTGTAGCCAAAGCCGACGTGATGGCACATACGGCCACCCAAGCCATTGCGCTATAGGCAAGGCAGGCATGCCCATGGAAATGTGCTATCAGCATTTCCCATGCAAGGCCTGAAACAGCATCGACGTCAATGACCACGCGACACCGTATTACGACAAGATGATTTTGCAAAAGCGACTGTCAAGATGGCGATCACGCCAGAAGCACTGCAAATGCATGGAAAGGAGAAGACAGACGCAGGGGTCGGCGGAAGTCGATCATCACTCCTCAGGCATTCTTGATGAACGGCAGACCAAGACATACAATAACAGAGGCGAGAAAGATCGAGGCTTTGAATTCTCATTCATTTCGTGCGAACTTGATGTGTTTTTAAGAATGCTCTCGATCATGCTTCCTTGATGAATTGCGTAGATGAAACTTGATGAAACACGTAATATCGAGCTAGTCGATCAATTTTGGACGCGTGCCCATTAAAGCGAATTGAGTGTTCGCCTTGGAGGAGAAAAGAATCATGTGTATCTTGTAGGAACATTCGATGTTGTTATATCAATGGTCAGAAGAAGTATTGTAGTTTTTGAGAAAAGGATACTCGTGGTTCGGCCGAGAAAGTGACGCAATTTGTTTTCATGTCTTGTATAGGGGTTCGAAACGGTGTCGCAGCTAAAGACCAAACTCAGCAGCATAAATACCATGGCAACCCAGATGTTGGATGGTTCACGGACAAGCGAGGCTGTCATCGGTGAGGGCCACACTGTTACACGTTGACAGCAAGTGCGGAATAGGAGACGAGATTGTAGGGAGGTTCGCGCTATCGCTCAAGCAACGCGGCTGCATCGACTTGCGGAGATTAATATTGCCCTGGCGGCCGTGACCGACGACGGCATTCTGGAAAAAGGGCCTTGATCCGGGTCGGGAGTGTCACATACCTGGTAACTGTTTGTCCCATCTACCCGCGTTCAGCAAACAACTTCGACATCAAGACCAACACACAGTCGTTCGACATGGACGCGTCTTCAACATCACCCCTATTGCGTCCGTTGTCTCCTGCACCAGATGTGCTTCCCTCGCTAGCCCTCTACCCCAGTGGCTGTCCTTCGCTGGATGCTCGTTCCGACCGATCCGTGTCCACGCCGTCAACGACATCTAGCAGATCCCTGTCCTCGTCGTCAGCTCGCTCAGAATCAGGCCGTCGCAAGAATGGTTACATGCGACCACAAGGCACTGCCTTCTCCGACTCTGCCCGCAATCGCGATAGTGTTATGAGCCTAGGAAGCATCGCCCATATGCAGTACTACTTTGCCCGTACTGGTCTTCTCGATGGCAAGGGTGCTCAATTCGCGAAGCCAAAGAAGGGCGTCAAACAACTGGACACCAATATTGCCATTTACACCACTTCAGAAGACGGCTTGGTCGAGAGCCCGAAAGACGCCAACGAAGAATGGTCAGAGCCTGTCATGCTACCACCGACCGTCTCAACATACGCCTACAAAGAGCCCAACGTACAACCTCCACCAGAGCTCCCTGTGCTTCGTCGACAGCTTCGCGAAGCCCTGGATGATGCTCAGAAAGTACTCGACGAATCGGCCGAAGGTGTGACCTATGACGATGCTACCCGAGAAGCAATTGTCGAATCCGTAAGAGCACCCACAAACTCTGATGAGCCTCCGATCGCTCAAGGCTGGCATGAGATTATGGGTCTCCACCTTCTCGATATCATCACCTTGGCAATTCGTGCCGCAAAGACATACTACACATCACACCCACGCCCTCAGCAACTCTATGCAATTCAGTCGGAGCGCAAGATTCGCGGAGACTTGTACGAGGTCCTCGATGTTTTAAAACGTGCAGCTGCTAGAGAATTCCGTGGAGGCGTCAAGGAGGAGGAAAGAAAAGGGATAAAGTCTTGGATCGATACTATCAACGACCTGATGTCAAAAGAGCTGTCGCACGAACAAGGAGAGCAGGACTCTCGAGCCAAATGCGCCTGGCGTCACGGAGACTGGAATGGTCGGGAGCGCGAAAGAGAGTGGCTTTTCTTGTCCTCTTTCGACACGGACTCAGAGCCCCTTCCTCAATGGACTGAATCTACTCCGGAAGGACCTTCCTCATTTTTGCAAGCTCTCCAGAGTGGTCTGCGTCTAGTGAAACTTCACAATGAGATGGTCCGCCGTTCCGAGCGTCCATTCGGCGAGATCAAGACTTTCTTCACAGACGTAGCGAAGCCATATCGATGTGCTGAGAACTTGCGCTTCTGGTCAAAAGCTGCAGAACTCCGATGGGAGACGAATCTATCATTCAACGTGCTCCACGTTGTACACGGCAAGGATGCTGATGCTTGGAAGCAGTTTGACGAGACTATTTTCAAGTGGTGCCGTGGAGTGCGAGAGGAGATTTCCAAGGAGTGGGCAGAGTCTGAGTGATCTGCGCAACAAGAGACTTGTCCATGTTGCAAGGCTTTTGGCGTTAGTGCGGTAAGGGTACCGGTTGCCGTTTTCTTCTTTCCTTTGTCTGAACCACATTGCTTCAAGTCACTTAATGCCTCCAGCGCAACACCTAGATACCCCAGAGGCTGGCTGTTTTGTTTCTCTTCTGTCGTTTCACCTCACCTTTGTTCGAATCAAATTGAAAAGAATACAGATTCGTACTCTTAGTTATGCCAACAAGATTCTCCTCACTACGCGTATCCCCTTGTCAGAATCCTCAGCGAACGTGTCCGGACTATCCGGCTCTTGTCACTGATCACTGCCACACGGAGAGGGGTGCAACTGCATCGAGTCTCACATTGACACCTTGGCGCCATGCGCTCCGCGCGCTGGCAAAGACGGCAAAATCACATCCCGGATCTGTACAGCCAAGGATCAGGTGAGGTGCAAAGTTGTATGCATTCCGAGTAGTCATTGGTTCGGTATTTGTTCTTGCCAAAGCCCTGCATCAACCCCACACTCCCCCCGCAACACCAGATTTGGCAGAAACAGTACGTACCAAGGGTTTGTGCTCCTTCAAAGAAGTTCCTTCCTCAGACCTCCCCACTATTGCCCCGCCAAACTAGTCAGGACCTCAATTGAATTGCCTTGATACACTCTGACCTCGTACGATCAGACGTCCAATTGGCATCCCTGCTGGAGGAGCTGGATCCGATTGCGACTCGGGGCATACCAGCGAATAAGTCTACATTGACCAAACTCGTGCGAGAAGCTTACGAATACATGGACCTCTGGTACTTGAAGGTCTGGAAGATCTGTCCGACCAATGCTAACCACATACTGGCCTGATCAAACGCATCGTGCGGGGCACAGGTTACGTCTCCTGCTGCATGGCTCAAGAGGGGCTAGTGAAGCTACAGCTATCTCGAGAGCCATCCTTGGGCCATGGCACTACTGGCCTAGCTATCGCCATCCTTCGAGATTGGAACACTGGACGATGCACGCGCTGAGTGGACTGACACGACTAACCTGTGTCTACGATGATCGACTGCCTGCTGTACTCCAGTGGACCTCCTTCTAGATTGCTTTGGACTCGAGGGAATTTACTATTCGTAGGGTCGGATACATGCGGCCAACCTACAGGATGCTGACCACATGCCATGCCCAGTACCTTGCTCGAAGCGCTTTGTGAGCTTGCTGATTGCATGAAGGAGGACGATCCAGACAAGGGTACTAGTTCGTCGACATTCATCCCACGCCGTCTTGCCCATATCTAGCCGCCGTCCACATGTGGGCTCGTACCTGATACGTGGACTTCCCCTCACAGCTACTCCAATTCCATATACCCGACTCTCCAAGGATCGAGCGGGGCTATGTGGGACTCGAGATATATATTCTAGGTGTTTGGGTGTTCCCTGAGAACCATCAGACCTCCATCTGTCACTTTTCGAGAGAAGCTAGGGAACAAGATTGAACATCATGACTATCCCAGAGGAAGTCGATATCATCGTTACTGGTGGCGGATCATGCGGGTCGGTTTACACTTCAAATAACAAGAACCTATTGTTGATTGTTTCTAGCTGTGTCGTTGCTGGCCGTCTGGCCAATCTGGACCACAATCTCCAGGTCATGCTCATTGAAGCTGGAGAGTCCAATCTCAACAACCCTTGGGTATACCGTCCTGGTATCTACCCTAGGAACATGAAGCTCGACAGTAAGACGGCTTCATTCTACTACTCAAGACCTTCTGAGTGGCTTGGTGGCCGTCGTGCTGTCGTGCCTTGTGCTCATATCCTTGGTGGAGGAAGTTCCATCAACTTCATGGTGAGTACGGAGTCAAGGTAAACATCTCTGTATACAATCCTAACATATGTGCCAGNNATGTACACTCGTGCTTCGGCCTCTGACTATGACGATTTCCAAGCCAAGGGCTGGACTACCAAGGAACTGATCCCTCTTATGAGAAAGCACGAGACTTACCAGAGAGCTTGCAACAACCGTGATATCCATGGTTTTGATGGGCCTATCAAGGTATCTTTTGGAAACTATACCTACCCTGTCATGCAAGACTTCCTTCGTGCTGTCGAGTCACAAGGTATCCCTGTCACGGACGATCTTCAGGACCTGAAAACCGGTCATGGAGCTTGTCACTGGGAGAAGTGGATCAACAGAGATACTGGACGTCGCTCGGACTCTGCTCATGCATATATCCACAGTACTCGTGCTCATTACTCGAACTTGCATCTGGTTTGTAACACCAAGGTCGAAAAAGTCATTATGGAAGGAGGCAGAGCTGTCGGTGTCAAGGTTGTCCCCACTAAGCCACTCACTCCTGGACAAGACCAAGCCAAGATCTACAGGGCCAGGAAGCAGATTGTCGTTAGTGGAGGCACTCTCAGTTCTCCTCTCATCCTTCAACGTTCTGGCATCGGTAAGCCGACCTCGCCTTTTCTCCCAAAGTTGTATCACTTACATGTATACANNGGTGACCCAGAGAAGCTTCGTGCTGCAGGAGTCAAGCCTCTTGTCGATCTGCCTGGCGTCGGCCTCAACTTCCAAGACCACTACTTGACTTTCTCAGTCTTCAGAGCCAAACCCAACGTCGAGTCTTTCGACGACTTTGTCCGCGGTGACCCTGCAGTCCAGAAGGCAGTATATGAGCAGTGGAACATCAACGGCACGGGTCCTCTTGCGACCAATGGTATCGAAGCTGGCGTCAAGATTCGACCAACCGAGGACGAACTTGTCCAGATGGATTCCTGGCCATGCCCAGAATTCCGCAGTGGATGGGATAGCTACTTCAAGGACAAGCCGGATAAGCCAATAATTCACTATTCAGTTATCGCTGGATGGTTCGGAGATCATATGCTCATGCCGCCTGGCAAGTTCTTTACCATGTTTCACTTCCTGGAGTACCCATTTAGCCGAGGATTTACCCATATCACCTCTCCCAGTGCTTACGATGCACCGAACTTTGATGCTGGCTTCATGAACGACAAGAGAGACATGGCACCGATGGTCTGGAGCTACATCAAGTCCCGCGAGACTGCTCGTCGCATGGACGCTTACGCAGGAGAAGTCCAGTCCATGCACCCCTTCTACGCCTTCGACAGCCCAGCACGCGCCCTGGACATGGACCTCGCCACTACCAAAGCATACGCTGGTGAGAATCACATCACTGCTGGTATTCAACATGGTTCATGGTCGATGCCGTTGGAGTCTGGATCTGCACCTTCCCCCAGCTTCCTCAACAGTAACAAGCAAGAAATCCGCGAGGACCTGACTTACACCACCGAGGATATCAACCATGTCATCGAGTGGACTAAACGACACGTAGAGACCACGTGGCATTCACTAGGCACATGTTCTATGGCACCTCGCTCTGGCAACTCTATCGTCAAACACGGCGTCCTCGACGAACGCCTCAACGTCCACGGTGTCAAGGGACTCAAGGTTGCTGACCTATCAATTTGTCCGGACAACGTCGGCTGTAATACGTTCGTCGAATTTGTTATCATGCTTGTCCTCAGGAACTCACTGACCGTTTGCAGGTACTCCACGGCGTTACTCATCGGCGAGAAGGCTGCCATGCTCGTTGCAGAGGATTTGGGCTACTCGGGCTCTGCGCTTGACATGAAGGTTCCTACCTATCATGCCCCTAGAGAAATTGCTGGGTTGTCTCGTCTGTAGGTAGAGAAATGGTCGCGAGAATTCAGGTATGGATCGAGGCTGCCAAGGACCGGGGTTCGAATCGGAGCTGAATCGTGCAAATTGGGCGTCTTTTTCTTGATATCTCGATACTTTACATAACATAACGAACATATAACGAAGACATCTCAAGGTTGGCTAGACACTGCACAAGTTATATTATAACCAAGTAATTCAAAATATAATGGGGTGGGTTGAGATTTACTAGCGGGTACTGCCGTTTCGCGTTCTCTAAATCCCACTGGACGCCGAGCCTTGCCGACTTCCACTTGAGGCTATCGTGCAGCTTTCTTCTCATCAACAATTTTCTCGAGCCTCCTACTCCATCCTGGGCCAGCTCTCTCCCCATGTCCCTGCTTCTAAGTATCAATGGCAGCACGACGAGAGGGACCCTAAACGCGCTCGTCGGGTGCTGAGCCATACGACAATCGATTAAGCTCAATGAGACCTCTCGTCTCCATATCCATGTCAACATCGTCCTCGTCATTCTCTTCAATTGTCTCCAAGGCAGTGGGCTCGTCAAGAGTCTCCAGAGCATCATGCTAAACTTCGCTGTCATCATCCTCGTCGTCAGGTTGAATCTGGGACCCATCGCTCTGAAGAGTATCGTGGCCGAACATACGTCCGGCGGCTTCGAACGCATCCTCGTACAGCATTGTCTGCGCTCTTGCTTCCATCTCCTTCATCTCAGCTTCTTCTTCTGCCAATATTCTTTGTGCACGTTCTCGGAGCCTCTTGTTCCAGTCTCCTTCGGCTTCGATGACCCGTGAGTATTTCTGGTACATTTCCACCATGAATTCATTATCCTCGTATTCATCGACATCAGATGGTCGGCAGTTTCTCTGGTCCTCTCTCAGTTCGTCTAGAGTCTCGCGCAGGTTCTTTAACTTTCTGTCGACGACTGCGTCTTTCTTCAAAGGCCACAGGAAACGTGTGTTGTAGTATAGGCCTTCGGCCTTGTAACGCTGTTTCTGGCCACGGGCCAGCGTGAGATCGACGGTTGGGTGTACAGTGTCCTATGCGCTGGAGAATATTCCCACAAGAGCGTAGAGCTCATAGCGTCACACTATCCAAATGCACAATTCTGCCCCGAAGAAAGCAGTATCCACTGAGAGCCAGCATCTCAGCGGCTCTCAGTGGATATTGCTTTGTTTCGTGGTACCACTGTGCATCTGTATAGCAACATGTGTTGCATACTTTGGCACACGAAGACAGACCAAGGACTCAACACGAAGCAAGGATAGGGAATAATGTGGTAGTAGAAAGAAAGATCCAAGCACGATGCGAGAAGCCTAACACAGGACAGAAAGGTAAACTTGGCGTGTGAACTTACCTCAGCTTCGTACCAGTCATCCAGGCAAGTCGGTAAGAAGAGCGACGGCAAAGATTTCTTTCCATATCGATAACTTGCGCTTGAGCACGGTGCGCGTGACAGCTTCGCACTCGGTGTACAGCTTGTCGTTGAAGAGGTCGACGGCTTTGTCGAGAAGTGTGTCAGTCTCTCCTTTTGGCAGTTTCTTGATGTCGGCCATGGTGAATGGGCATAGAATGGTTGTCAGAAGAAGGTGTACGCGTAAGAGACGGTTGGAGATTGTGTCGAGCATATGCGCTGAGTGAACAGATGGAAGTTACTTTATGAGTGAAGCATCTCGACAATCTGGTAACCACAAACCGAAGTCACAACACACGGAGGATTGCAGCATACTATTCCAGTTTTACACATCTTTTCCAACCTGAACCCGCCACTCTCTTCCTCGATACGCGTCTTGAGGAGGATTCTAATGTCAGATACAGCTTCATTCTAAACGGCAACCTAAGTGCAGTGGCTCTGGAGCAGGGTTGTAGGCTCAACCATCAACTCCGTGGCAAAAATGTGAATACTGGAGCCTGAAGCCAGATTTAAAGACGGATTTACTGGTATGTAAAGGCTAAATAGTGTGAAATTGATGTATGGAAGAGCTTAGCTCATTGCGCTCGGAGTGAAGCAGCGAACACGTCGCGTTCGGTTTCTGTGACTATAAAGATGGGTTTCGATAAGAGAACACCGGATCTCACCATGTTCCTGCCACACTAGGACCAAAGTTCTGGAGCCCATTCTCCTTGCTTGAAGTCCATAGTATATAGTGATGTAGAACGGAGAAGGGTTTAATGCTCCAGTGTAGATATACATGTGCTCACGTGCCATGGTACCTGATTGGGAAGCGAGCCAAGAAATGTCAGGCACGGATGGAAAAGCAGATGACATCACATGGAGAAACGCACAGACGTGAAGGTCATGGACGGGACAGACAATTGACGGTTGGTGATGCTGACTTTTCTATACGCACACCTACTAACATCCTAGGCATCGATGGATCCGCGAAATTCAATCGCAGACATTGCCGGGCCGGCGGCCATGGCCAAGCCAAAAGCTCCACAAAAGTCGTACGCTTCGGCAGTAGGAGAAGAAGCGAGCTCGACTCGAGACGGCACAGTCAACTCGACAGCAGGCGGCAGCAAGAAGAAGCGCCATCGCGCAGGCAAGAAGCGTCGCAACCGCAGACAGAGCTTTGCCGCGCCCTCCGAGTCCACCGTGGCCGAACGCGACGACGACCAGAACCAGCGACCGACTCTGACGACAACGCGACCATCGGCCACCCAGACCAGCTTCTACCGCCTCAAGTCGGCTGCCCGCAGCAACACCAGCCTCGAGAGCGATGCCCTTCTCGACCACCGCGAACACCAGCCCATCCGCCCTCGCCGAAGTAGCATCCAACAGGCCTCGAGAAGCACGGCCGGCCTTTTCCCTCGCAACCACCGCAACTCGCAGCATGCCGTTTCCCAGTCGAGTCCTGTCAAGCCCCGCCAGATGCACTACAGTGACGACGACGACGACGAAGAGGCTGTGACTGATCGCACCCCGCTCATCTCGCAATCATACTACGACAGACCTCCCATTGAACGCAACCGATCAGGCCATCGTGCCTACGGTGGCACTCGACGCAGACAATCGACAACTTCTCGCACATCCAGCAAGCGAGCTAGATACCCGAGCGGCAGTGACGATGACTACGATGTCAACAACCCTCCGTCCATGCCAGGTTCCCCTAAGCTGGGAACCCTCGACGATGTCATGATCGCGCAGGAGTTCTCGGGCTCTCCATCGTCCGAGACTCGCGATGCCATCATCAACATCGATCGCGACAACGACTCGGACCGTTTCCCTTCCTCTTCGCCACCAACACCTTCTGCCGAGGCTCGCAGACGTACCCTCGCCAACCTTGCTGAGAACGACGTTTGCTATCCTGGCAACATTGCCGAGTCAGAGCTTGGTGAAGACGACCTGACCCCGACAGACCAAGGCCAACGCCGCACCAGCCGTCGTAGACGCCACCGACAATGGCCTGATCTCGACGTCTTGGATGAGTGGAGTCGTATCGAGAAGGAGGAGAGGGATCATACTGAGCAAATTCGTTCCAAAAAGATCAGCGAGCCTGTCATGGTCGGCGGCCGTCTGCGCCCAGCAAAGACCCAGTGGCATCGCGAAGAAGACGATGCTCCATACCGCTACACCTACTTCAACGAGACATTCGACGGCACCATCCATAGCAGGACTATCTCAGAGCTCTGTCAATTCGGCGCCACCTTCCGTGAGCTCTTCAATCCAGAACCACCAGAGCTCAGTGATGAGAGCAGCTCTGATGAAGAAGATCAAATTCCTCAAGAAGCTCCGTCAGGCCGAGAGTCTAGGCTTAGCTCAATCGCTGGAGATGGAAAGGCCCCAGATCGTTCCGCCTCGATCACCCCTGCTCAATCCCGACCACGTATGCCCAAAGAGAAACGCTACGGCCCCCGCCCTACATTCTGGCTGGACGTCCTCAGTCCCTCCGAGACAGAAATGAAGATCCTTGCCAAGGCTTTTGGTATTCACCAACTGACCGTAGAGGATATCATGATGCAAGAGCCTCGTGAGAAGGTTGAGCTTTTCCAAAGTTATTACTTCGTCAACTACCGCAGTTTCGAGCAAGACAAGGACAATGAAGAGTACATGGAGCCCGTCAACATGTACGTTGTTGTCTTCAAGGATGGTGTCATCAGTTTCCACTTTTCCATGACACCCCACCCCGCCAACGTCCGCCGTCGCATTCGTCAGCTTAACGATTACATGTCTCCGACCGCAGACTGGATCTCCTATGCCATCATTGATGACATTACAGATGTGTATGCTCCTTTGGTCCAAGTGATTGAAGACGAGGTAGACGAGATTGATTACGAGATTCTTGCTCTGCATTCTTCAGAGGAGAATGCAGATGACAAGGCCAAGAACAGTGCAAAGGCCAAGGAGCTCGAGTATGAGAAGATGAACAAGGTTGCAGGAAGCGATACCCAATCCGAAAAGGGGGAACGCACGGCTGGCGATAGTGGTGGTGACATGCTCCGACGCGTCGGAAACTGCAGAAAGAAGGTTATGAGTCTTTACCGTCTTCTTGGTAACAAGGCGGATGTCATCAAGGGCTTTGCCAAAAGGTGCAACGAGCATTGGGAAGTTGCACCAAGGTCTGAGATTGGCCTTTACCTCGGCGATATCCAAGATCACGTCGCAACCATGACAGGCAACTTGTCTCATTACGAAAAGTAAGTCCAGCTGAAGATAGCCGTTCTGGTTATGGTCACTGACAGGCGTCTANGTCTACTTTCGAGAGCACACGGCAATTATCTTGCTCAAATCAACATCCGTATGAACGAGCGTGCAGAACAGACCAACGATGTTCTAGGCAAGCTCACCGTTCTGGGTACCATTGTACTTCCCATGAACATTGTCACCGGAATGTGGGGAATGAATACGAAGGTATGCTGGCGCTATATTGATTGCATATCCCGATTGAGAACCGCAAGCTGATGATCCACCTAGGTACCTGGACAAGACGGCGAGGATTTGACCTGGTTCTGGGGCCTCACAGCTGGTCTTTTCGCTTTCGGAATGACCAGTTACTTTATTGCCAAAAGAGTCTATGGCATTGTCTAGATTTGACCATGCACTCTCGACCGGAATAAAATCAAAGCAGGGGACGCATTGTCGGCATGTGGGAGTTTATTTTCTTCAGTGGTCTCTATTTCAACCTAAGTATTACCTACTATCAATCCTACGACGAATCAAATCAGCGCTGAGCGCTGCATTGCAGCATTGATTGTCAGCTGGCCAATATTCTTTCTTGTTATGATGGTGTACACAAACAGGATATCACAGGCCATCACAGGCCATCACAAACTGTCATGCATAGAGGGTACGTATCTGGTCGAGCAACTCGACAGGCTTGACGTGCAGGAGGCTACCTCAGAGCTTCTGACTCAGGCTTTGCCTTGTCCCCCCTCTCGACAGCCAGTGCTTCCTATTTTCCCATGCCGGCACATCACTTATCACCTGAGTGCCGAGAGCGTCACGGTCATAACTCAAATCACTTTGACACGCCGTATCAGACAGGGCTGGTACCTGATCCGAAGCTCACCATGACATGTATGAAACGCATCCGCGCTGCACCTGCAACAATCGTTGGGATACCCTGTAAGCATTTCGACACCGACCATGGGGCAACAAGAGTGAGCGATCTGCCGCCTCGTGCTGTAAATCTTCTCGGGCAGGCGCGGTCCGTTTCGTGATATGCACGCCATGCCCCGGGCCCGAAGCCTCGGGTCATCGATCTGCAGCCACACGGAGGATTTTCAAGACTCCACCCAATGTCCTTGAGCCAACCTGCCTACTACCCTGGCACCCAAAACGAGAGCACGCAAGTCTACCATGCTGGGGGACCAACGCTTCGGTCTAGCGGCATGTCGCACGTCGATAGTCTTCGAAGCTGACGAAGAAGGAGCAGTGACCACGACATGGTAATGACGAATCTAGGTTAGACCACTCTGTATAGCCCGAATGGGTCGGGTCTGTCACTCCATGCGGCACAGAGACCCATCTACCGTGGCATAGCGTAGATCGACCCTGCCAATCCTGGGACAGACATTAGCACCTATCCCAGCCCCAAGGTTCGAGCATTCAAAGGCAGATACCTAACATTGGGAACGGCAGCCTTCATTTGAACGGCTGCTTTGCTCTACGCAGATTCCTTCTTTTACAGGCTTATGTTACAAAGGGTGGCTAGCGTGCACCTCGCAGACCTTCCTATTTCTACCTTGGCAGACATTACAATTGGTCAAGCATTATCAACTTCATGCAAGAAGAAGAAATGTCTTACGCTCGCTGTCGGCGATTATCTCCTGTCTGAGGCTACTGGAGCTTACTTCGCTGATGTTTCGGGGTTCATGCGTCCTTTTGTTTTGATGCCTAGGCCCCCGAGTGCCCTTCAACACACTCGCATTCGTCAGGGTGCGTTCGCACTGGCTGTGGTTCGTGTACCACCGTGCTGTGCAGAAGTCTATCGGCTTTGCACCATCCGTGTCCACACAAGAAGCCACCGACAAACCCATCGGCTTATATCTCTCCTGATCCTCTTCCGTTGCCTGATGTTGGGTTGATGTGCATTATACGCTTTCCCATGACTTTCAGCCCGACCGTCAAGACGGAATCAAAGTCGTCGATACATTCGATACCCTTGTATCTCGTCGCGCAACCCTATCAGCACATTGTCCAGTCCGGTATGGCGGATCCTTCGTCGTCGCCTCCGATGAGAGCCAAGCCAGAGCCTACAGACAGCTTGAGTCCGAGTACCAGTGTTGAGCTGCATAGAAGGAGTAAGACCGGCTGTATGTTTATTGGTCGCCCAGAGTACGCAGGACGTTGCTGACCCATTGCAGGTAAGACGTGCCGACGTCGGAAAAAGAAATGCGACGAGGCGAGGCCAGGCTGTAAGTCTTCTATACCCCTATATGATCATCAAGATATAGATCCAGGTCCTGGGTCCAGAGTCATCGATGTGTTGAATGAGCACTTCGTCCTACTAGCCTCTTGTATTGAGTGTGGTGGAGTGTATCATGGGCTAACAGGATCCCAGGCCTGANATTGTGCAAAGAACAACATACTCTGTGGCGGGTATGAGATGAGGAAGCCTTGGAGGAAGGGCGCTCGAAGTAAAAGCAATGGTACAACCTGTTGCTAGCCGTGGTCGTCTTGACAGACAAGCTGACAACCCGACTGTAGCTTCGATCNNATCCCTGAACTACCACACATCATCAGCGCAATAGACGATCCTTTGGACTCGCAACTCCTATCTTACTTCGTCACACACGCTGGCCAAGCCCTGAACATATACTCCGAGACACAAAACCCATTCGACGGGTTCGTGGTTGACATGGCGTTGGCGAACTCAGGCCTTATGCACTCGCTGCTTTGCCTTTCGGCTTCTTGCCTGCTCATCCATCAGTCGACATGCACCCAAGAGATTGTCGTCCGCCACAGCCACCACTTTGATCAAGCTGTCGTCACTCTTCGGAAAGGCGTCGAGGCCTACAGCTCTGACAATTCAACACAAAGCGCCGACTGCATCGTGCTGCAAACAATCATACTCGCGCAGGAAGCGATTGTGACAGGAGAAGTACACGGCAGCTATCGATGTCACTTGTCTGCAGCTTCAAGACTTGCTGAGAGCTGTGGAGATTTGAGCGCAGACGTGCAGAGTTTTGCTCGTCAGTTCCTGTTATATCACAACCTCGCCAACACAATTTCATGCCTCGACCCTGTCAATCATAGCATGTCGTCACAATTGGAAGCGGATCATGGTGAAACAGTGGAGCAGGGCACATCATCACAGGGCTGCGTCGACGCACTCTTGCATGGTCTTCTAGAACCAATGTCCCGTACACGGCAGGTCCGAGACGGCATACGCTTCCATCGCAGCACAAACAACTCGAGGTGGTTCAAAGACGAACAACTACTCAGCTTAGCCTTGGGAGTCGAAACACAATTACGGACCTGGCAGTCCCAATTCTCGCCAAATACTCCACAATACTGGTCCTCATTGGCATATCGGCAAAGCGCCTATGTATACCTCTACCGGACCATCAAGCCATCGCTGTCGAGTCCAGAGTTATCACAATCCTTGTCTGATGGATTGTCTTATGCATCACTCGCACTACGGGATATAGATAGGAACAACAACAGCATGATCAGCTGGATCTGTGGTGTGCTGCTGCCTCCATTATTCTTGTTGGGCTGCGCGGCCTTTGACCCAATTCATAGACAAGCAGTGGTCGAGAATTTGGATGATCTGCACGCGTGTAATCAGAGGACTAGCATCCTGCATGCTCGAGCGATCTTGGAGGAAGTCTGGTCACGGATGGATGCAGTTACACATGGTGCTAATGGCGATGCCTGGGATTGGGAGAGGGTGATGAAGGACCTGAACGTGGATATCATGTTGTCATGAAACTAACAGGATATTCCTCATATGTCTACTCTCTTGTGAATTCACTCCATGACTATGATCGTTTGATGGTAAACTTCACCTCTGTCTACCCATTCCTCAAACCTTGACACTGTCACTGCGTTTGTACAATGATGTTGTGCTATGAACATATACAAGTCCGGTCAGAAGCAGAACACCATCCACGAAGAGTAGCAGTCTTGTCAACTCCTTGAATGCTTGCTGATTCAATCACGACTTTACAACATGACACCTATATATGACATGTGCCCACATACAGGCAGGAGCTACCTCGCACGCTCAAATGTCCAGCATCTCCTTCCGGTTTCGAAAAGCGACCTTGATGGCAGAAGGAGCGACCAAACCCGTCAATCACTGCCCTTTCAATAAAATTATGTAACAAAGGCATGTCCAATTGCTTTCCAAGCAAAAAAACCCACTCAATCACCTACATTTTATTCCCTCCTGGTGACACACCTTTGTCGTCGCAGAAGCAGCGCCCGCTGCAATATGCCAACCTCCTCATTTCAGATTGCATTGGCGTTTTCGATGGAGCGTACGGGTGCGCGCGAGTACGGGCCAGTTTGATGCGCATACTAGGGGCATCGGACAGACGACGCGCTGCTCCTTCTTTCGGCAATCATGTTCATCTATGTGTGGGTCCGACGAGATCTCAGTTACTGAAATCCCGAATCTGAACCCATGGAGTTTTTTTTGACGTCTGATTTGGCGGGTCTGGTTCGTTGATAAATCAGGCTCGCAAGAGGTCGTGTTTATGTTGGCGTGGATTCGAGGGAAGGAGCGAGCCGTGCGGCATGGTGATTTCTTCTAAGCATCTGCTGCCCTTGAAGTATTGAGGATGTGTGATTGCAAGGTCAATCTATACTGATGGATATGTGATGCAAAATTCTGTCAGCAACAACATCATAACCACAGAGAGTTTGCGTACAGGATGTCGTCCAGAATCAAGGCATGTCATTGGTTGCTCGGATGCTCCTCGGTCGCACCTTCTGTTTCATCCTGTCGAAGCGAACCTCTCCGTCTCCGCACGAACTCTTGTGAACCAAGATGCCCAAGAGCAGCATCAACGCTAAGCTATGACAGGACCTTGAATCTTGGAAAGTTTGCGGAAGCTTGGAGATAGGCAAGACACGCTAAAGTGATGAATCAGATGATCTCAAACTCTGTCGTTCGTTTCGCAAGCAGGTTGAATTGCACGCCATTGCTCTTGAAGCAAGGACACCTAGACGATCCCGACAGACCACCCCAGATCGCTCTTCTTACCACCACCGGTATGGGCAAAGTGAGTAGGAATACTTAAATAGCAAAAGTAGGCGTGTGCTTGCTTCAGCTATGTGGTGCTGTGGAGTGATCTTGGCCACTCCGCTTGTCTATGTGTTACAGACCAGCGTAGTAAGTCCAGCTCAGCATGTCGCCATCTAGACGAGTGCCCAATCTGCAATCTCGAAGGTGTTCCAGATCGACAAGAAGCAATAGAAAGAAGCGAAAGGCGTCTTTGTATAAGAGAATTAGGCTTCGCTGCCATCTTGTCTCTCTTTCTCTTCTCCATCACACAACAACCACTTTCTTTTCTTCTTCTTCCCAACCAAACACATTCAATCTTTACATCGCCAACATGCACTTCGCTTCCCTTTTCGTCGCCGCTTCGGCCTTTGTCACCGCTCTGGCAGCACCTATCGCTGAGCCCGTCGTTGTCGAGAACGGCATCTCCTCGCTGGTCGAGCGCACCGCCACCGGCACTGGCCAGAACAACGGCTACTACTACTCATTCTGGAACGCCGGCGGCGGCACCGTCAACTACAACAACAAGAACGCGGGCGAATATGCTGTGTCGTGGAAGGACTGCAACAACTTTGTCGCCGGCAAGGGCTGGTCCAAAGGCTCTGCCCGCAAGATCAACTTCAAGGGCAGCTACTCGCCCTCGGGAAACTCTTACCTTTCCGTCTACGGCTGGAGCAAGAACCCGCTTGTCGAGTACTATATTCTCGAGTCGTATGGTAGCTACAACCCCGGCAGTGGGTTGCAGCACATGGGCACTGTTAGCTCTGACGGCTCTACCTATGACATCTACAAGGGCACTCGCACCAACCAGCCTTCCATCCAGGGTACCGCTACCTTCCAGCAGTACTGGAGCATTCGCAAGAACAAGCGTTCTTCTGGTACCGTCACTACTGCCAACCACTTCAACGCCTGGGCCAAGCTTGGTATGAAGCTTGGTTCCTACGACTATCAGATTGTCGCCACCGAGGGTTACCAGTCCTCTGGTTCCGCCGACATCACCGTTTCCTAAACGAGCCGTTTCTGTTTTCTTGAAAAGCATGGAGCATCTCTACATACGCGCGATAGACACCGGGCAAAGAAAGAAAAATGGAGGTGTCGATCATGCCTTTCTTACTCTTCTTTCTTCTTCTCCAAACCCATTCGTGGGTCCAAGGAACTTTTGCGAATATCCCCCTGTTTTCCTCTCTTCTTGCCGTTTTTTGCAACTATCATTTTTTGTACATATTGTCTCAAGGATCAAAAAGCTTCAGGTGAACGCGCCCCAAAGCAATAATTGTCTCTGACGAATAGACAGACCTATTCTTCTGCATGTTTTTTGCCAATCGTCAAATGTTTCCATTTTCTTGTCTTTATGATGTGGGAAAGAAGTATGAACAACTGACCCATTTCTGTTGTCAGATTACATAAAAATGGTCATACTGTGGCGCATGCGTGCCAAATGGTGTGCCATATGGTTGAATCTCTTTACTTCATCGGCTCTCTCTGCGGACGCGTGACTAAACACACAAGGCTTGTTGAGCCCCTGTACGTCACCAAGGAAACACTCTAGCTTGGTCGCAAGTATTGGTAAGTACACAGAAGGAACCAAGTACACCTAACACTCACTAATTTCAAAAAGCACAAATTGCAATTCCATAAGACAAGGTAGGATAAAAGCGTAAATCATTTCAGTATTGTCTAGTATATGTCATATGCCACATATTTTTCATCAAATCCTTTTACAACTTGCTGCTAGTGGTAGTCTTGCAGCACAAGTCACCCTCACTACCCACAATATCCTCGACAGTAGGTTGCTTATGCGTCTCACTGAGCAAAGTACTCTTGTTGAACTCTTGCGTACTCGGCGGCACATCCAAAGCAGGGTTTCTGTCAAAGAAGTTGACTGGCTTCAAGCTAACCTTGATGATCTCACAAGGCATGACTGGGAAGTCTTCGATGCGAGGAACGTGGTTGATGCCGAATTGAACAAACACGACAAGATCCTCATCAACAATGTTGTCTTTGCGGTCTGCCCAGCTGCGCACACCAGTACCGCCACGAGATTGGTTGGTGTACTTGCCACCAGCATAGAGCTCGCCATCGCGATGTTTGACGGCGTAGATGTTGCGATCCGAGAACTCGACGCGCTTGTAGTTGAAGCTTTCCTTGTCGGCGATACCCTTCTGGAAAGGCGGGGCGTGGATTTTATAGGCAACGGGCTTGTTGTTGACAGGGTTGCGTACATTGGTGTTCTGAATCTTGAAAGTGCGGTTCGTGTCTGGGTTGAGGTCGTAACCGCCAGATTGTGAGATGACGGTCTCTTCTGTGTAGTAGCCTGTTCCGTGAGGATTGAAGTCGTTGCGAGGCATAGGCAGGGCTTCCTCGTATACAAGACGGTTAGAGTGTCCATCGATGGCCGGGTCAACACGCAGAGAGAAGATGTGTTGATGGTGGGTGGCGAGGACACCTGGGTGGACCACAGTACCCCAGGGAACACTGATTCCGTCGTCGATTGGCTGGGTCGAGAGAATGCCGGTGGCTCTGACCTCGTAGGTCATCTCACCGGCTTGGTTGAACATGAAGGCCAGGATGTACTCGTAGTTGGCAACAGTGATGATGCTCTGGAGAACGAGCTCACGGTTACGAACAACGGCAGCACGGCCAGTTCTGTAGTTGGTGTGCTTCCAGCCAATGCCGCCATCTTGTTCGTGGACACAAATGACATTGGGCATATCTTCAGCCTCGCCCTCGTCGTTGGCAAGGACTCCAGAGAGGTACTGAATGGACCCGAGGCAGTCGCATCCCAGCTTCAGGTCGTTAGCCATGACACCGGCACCGACGTCACCAAGATCGAAAGCAGCCTTCTTGTGGAAGGGGTGGCGCGGGTCACCATACGGAATGGACATGTCGGAAAGCGAGAGACGGTAGAAGACGCTGCGACCGTCGTAACGGACGTTGTAAAGAACCATGCCTTCTCTTTGGTTGAAGCCAACGCGGAAGGACCATTTCTGCCAGTCAAGAGTCTGCGAGGTGCCTTCGTGGGTAACGCTGAAACTAGCACCCTCAGGCTGCAAGACTTGGAGAGGCTTCAAGTCGGTTCGTAGCTCCTGGGCCTCTGGAATGTACTCGTTGGCGTGGACAGGCTTCCAGGGCTGTGTGGGCTTGATGGTGTTGTCCTTTCCAGTAGGCACGATGTCAATGCGGATGACCTTACGTTCGACGGCGCTGAGAACAGGCGAGATGGCCAGGGGGAAGGCATAGTGGTTCGAGTCGAGTTCGTCTGTGTTCTTGGGGTCTCTCATATAGAGGAAGCACTGGTACATGCGCTCATCATCCCCGACACCATCCGAACCGTAAATCCAGGGGTCGCAGACAACAGCGGTGCCTTCTGGGAGTTGTAGCTTGGCGATCTCTGCTTGCACACCCTCGTCCTCGAGAGCCAACCTCTCAATGTCCAAGATTTCTTCTCCATCTCCTGCAGCGTGCACGTTGGGTCCGAGTCTGACGTTGCTCTCGACTGTTGATGTTGTCAGGTTGACAATGGCTTCGTGCAGTTTGTTNCTGGCCAGGATGTTAGTGTCTGTACCATATGGATTGTATGGTTGAGCGCCTACAGTCTTGCGGATATAGTATGCAATCATGACTCTGCGGTCGATGGTTGGCAGGCTTTGGCCCTGGAACTCGGCTTCCAGGAAAGGTACCATCTCGGCCTTTGCTGGCTCCTCGAGGGTGAGGACCTTGAATTGGAGGTCCGTCTTCTCGGGCCATTGGTTACGAATCAGCGAAGATGCTGCGTGGATCTCCTGTGCCGACAGTGGCGCGAGAGGGTGAGCCACAGTCGACTTTGACGTGCGGACAGGCAGTGATGTGCTATCTTGGAGAGACATTGTGGATATGTGCTTTGTGGGAAGGCAAGAAACCGATAGCAGGACAGGGAGAGAGCCTTATAACAATTGAGAACTGGAAGAAAGATAAGGCCTCGTGGTGGCACAGTGGAGTCGACGATCTGCAATCAGGGTCGCGGGGCTCTTAGCCTATCTCCGTAGCCCGTATACCATTTCTTGCCCGCTCTTTGCACCACAGAATAGCTTCCACAGATACCTGCAGACCTATCTGTACGACAAGAGTAGATTCAGGTACTTCTCTTGTGTCTTTATAGCATCAATCACTGTGACATTGGCCGTCAGATGTCCAACTCTTCAAAATCAGTTCGTCTGTCAAACAAATCCCGAAAAGTTTGGCTGACCCCACGCTGTCCGATCAGGCAAGTCCATGCGTGCGAGATATGCCGCGGCCGCTTCTTGTCCGAAAGGGGCAATATAAGTGAGAAAAAAAATGTCGCGCCTGCAGACAAGCCATGGTTATCGGCGAATGAGATTAGACACTTGTGTCGTCAGCCAAATTCTTGCCATAGACAAATATATCAGCATCGAATTTTGCTGGGCATAAGCAATGATTGGAGTTAGACTGAGCATTGGAGGTCGCTCGAGAAGTCTCGTCCACCAGGCGCTTTGCGGCCTTCCTGGAAAAGGTATTTAGAAGTCATCGCCGCTGAATATTGATGTTGCCTGTGAATGTTGAATCTACTATGGCGAAGGTACGGGACGGTATGCGTTGATAGCATGTCGATATCAAAGTGAATCCACCGTGAGTTATATTCTGCATGGCCAAAATCTATGTCCAGAGGTAACCCTGTTCGGCGCAGATCAGCCGAGATGCCGAAATCAGGCAGCCGTCCCGCATTGATGCAAGGTGTCAAGCAGACACCACAAACGTGTACAACAACCTTCACAGTCAAACATACAGCAAACTCAACATGGATCCGTCAAAGAAGAAGCAGTACCTTGCGGACAGCCCGCCGTCCGTCGTGCCTTTGGTCATCAAGCCTCATTTCGAAGCACTTGGCAAGACTGAGCAGCTTTATTCGCATTACATCAGTCAGGCCTGCTTCGCTGGCACCAGAGTGGTCCTCAGACAGGTTTCCCCGGAATCAGAGCCCATCTACGACTTCATCCTGAGTCTACACAAGCACTGCGATGGTGACTACTCAAAGCTGAAGTCCGAGACTGGCCTTGACGATGAGGACATGAACCACTGGTTGCATTACGCCGCCCAATTCCTTGGCAATGCCGGTAACTACAAATCATTTGGTGACTCCAAGTTCATTCCTCGTTTGGCACCAGAGACGCTTGCGGCTCTCGGAAAGGTCTCAGGCGCATCCAAGCACTATGAGCTCTGCAAGAGTGCCTTCTACGAGACCAAGGTTGAAGATCTCATGCACCTCGGCTACCCACCCCAGCATCTTACCACCTACTACCCAGACTCTCCTGAAATCACCAAGGATGAGATTGCCGCTGTGTCGGACTTTGTCAAGGAGAATGGAAACCTGCTTCCCGAAAACACGCGTCTCAAAAAGCTTTCATCTGGAGACTTTGAGCTTCTCATCGCTTCTGCCGAAACCGACCCTGCAAAGTCAGAGAGAGATGTCCCCGAGACCTCGTTCACACTGGACGCTGAGCCTGTCAAGGGTAAGAAGATCACTCTCAGATTCGGAGACCACGCAAAGGAAATGGAGAAGATCGCATCTTTCCTCGCCGAAGCCAAGAAGCACTCAGCCAACCAGTATCAGAGCGACATGCACAGCGAGTATGTCAAATCGTTCAAGACAGGCTCCATGACCGCCCATGTTCAATCGCAGCGCCACTGGATCAAGGACAAGGGACCTGACGTCGAGTCTAACATCGGCTTCATCGAGACCTACCGCGATCCTCACGGTATCCGCGGAGAATGGGAAGGTTTCGTCGCTATGGTCAACAAGGAGCGTACCAAGGCATTTGCTCACCTCGTGGCCGAAGCTCCCAAGAATATCAAGAAGCTTCCCTGGCCCGCCGACTTTGAGAAGACTTTTGTTGCCCCCGATTTTACGGCCTTGGAGATTTTGACGTTCGCTGGCTCAGGTATCCCTGCTGGTATCAACATTCCCAATTACGACAGTGTCCGCCAGGATCCCGAAGGTGGATTCAAGAACGTCAGTCTGTCAAACGTCCTTTCAGCCAAACCTCCGAACGAAAAGATCCCTTTTATCAAGGACGAGGACATGGAAGTTTACAAAAAGTACGCCGATGCCGCCTTTGAGGTTCAAGTTGGTCTCCATGAGCTTCTTGGTCACGGTTGTGGCAAGATACTGCAAGAGACCGAGCCTGGAAAGTTCAACTTCGACCACAAGAACCCTCCCGTCTCTCCAATCACGCAGAAACCGATCACTTCCTACTACAAGCCTGGAGAGACATGGGGTTCAGTCTTCGGCGGTATGGGTCCTAGCTACGAGGAATGCAGAGCAGAATGTGTCGCCATGGGTAGAACTCGCTCCTTCAGTCGTCCATCGTAGCCACTGCTAACAAAAGTACAGNCATTGTGTCCCGATTACGGCATCCTCCAAATTTTCGGCTTCGGAAATGGAGAAGAGGTACGTAAAGTAACATTTCAGGAGAACTCGCCTGCTGACATCAAGACACAGGATCTTCACGGAGAAGCTGGTAACGTCCTCTACGCCGCATATCTGTCCATGGCTCGTGCCGGTGTAGCTGCTCTGCAGTTTTACAATGTCGACGCCAAGAAATGGGGACAAGCACACATGCAAGCCCGTCACGCCATTCTTAAAGTCTTCTTGTCCGAGCCGGAGTTCTGCAAACTGGAGTACACCAAGGATGATCTCAGCGATCTAACCATCAAGCTCGACAGAACCAAGATCGCCACTCACGGTCGTCCTGCCGTCGAAAAGTTCTTGCAGAAGCTGCAGGTCTACAAGGCTACGGCAGACCTCAAGGCTGGCAAGGAGCTGTATGAGGGCATTACCAGCGTGGACGAGTGGTTCGCTACCAAGGTCAGACCTGCTGTTCTGGCAGCAGCTCCTCCTCGCAAGGTCTTTGTGCAGGCAAACACTTTCATCGAGGGTGACAAGGTTGTCCTCAAGGAGTATCCTGCCACTCCTGAGGGCCTCATCCAGAGTTATGCTGACCGTGACTACATCTAAATGGTGGAAGATGGCACGGAAAATCTTTTGACGGTAGCATAGCGTATTCAAGTAGCCTTCATCTGCGTCTTTGTTGCTTCATACTGAGACTAGACACCTGCCACGAGAAACATGTAAGCAAGCCCTACTTCCTTCTCCCTTCCGTCCTGGCGTACCTCTTTCGAACTCACAATCTCCTCAACTGTCGACGCCCGAGTAGACAATGCAAAGGCATGTAGGGTGCCATGATCTCTTGTGTCTGCAAGAAGACAATGCTGAGGCGTCTTGACCACTAGACCACCGCTGCCGATGTTGAAATTGATGGATTCTTGGATGGTTATAAGGGTTGACAGTGGAAGTGAGGGATTCTGGCGTCGGGGCGCTGGGAACAGCCAGACGAAGGTAGGTGCTGTTTAAATGCGGCTTCCTTACTTATTGTATTGAAGATTTCTGAAACATTAGATTTGCTACCCCTCTCCTGCCTCCTGCCGTTGTTTTCTCGTGAAAGTCTGAACAATTTGATACCTAGCCAGCTATCGTGACACCAGGTCTCATGGTCTCTCGAATCTGCTCCTCGTCCTTCTCGGCCTGTGCAAGTCCTTTGCCGGCCAAGAATGCAGGACCCATGACTGAAGACTTGAAACCTTGAGGAAAGTACTTGTCGCCTTCATCGCCAGGAATGGGTCTTCCTGCCAGCCAGTCTGTCCATGATTGCAGACACCAGCGGTTTGCGAAGCTGGGCTTGACGTACCTGGAGAGAAAGATTAGTCAGAGGTTTCTGCGAAAACGTGCAAAGTGGGTGGTAGAAACATACCAAGGCTCTTGATCCCAGATCTGTTTGTAGATTTTGCCGTTTTCGTTGACGGTATTCGCGATAATTTGCTTGCGCCATGCCAATGGCCTTGGGAGAGTGAAGTGGCGTAAGAGCAACTTGCGAGTGGCAAGACCTGCGTCGACTAGCCATTGCAACATTGCTGGCGGGTCGGCATANACTGATACCAAGCACGTCAGTATCTCAACGAGAGAGCAGCCACAGCAGATAACTTACAGCATAGCTCTCCTCAACCGCTTGTCCATCAGTGCACTGACAACCCTCCTGCCAGCATCTTTATAAGCAGCAGGAACAGCATACAACAACAACTCGGTCGTACAATCCGCAGTATCCTTGTTACTCTGCGCCGGCACCATATACTTTTCCTCATACTCATCACACCACGCCTCCAACTCGCGAGTAAACTGCAATCCATCCTTCCACCCACTCTTCTCTCCCGGTAAGCAAGAAAAATCAATCCTCATGCCTTGACCAACTTTGAGCCAAAACAACCCCATAGCTGCAATTTCCATCTCTGTCAACTGTCTCCACTCAAACCTCTCAATCCAGCGGATAGGTTCCAACAAGAACAGAGAAAGCGTGTACAGCAAATCCTCATTCGAAATCTTGCCTCCATACAAACTATGCAAGAAATTCGTCCTGGCCAGCGCTTCCGCAGATCTATCGCTGGCGGGCGGATTGATGATGACTTCCATCATGAGGATAGCTGTATCCACCATCCTCTTTGACGCATGTTGTTTGGTAGACAACTGCTTGGTCTGCATGAGCAGAGAGGAAATGGAAGGAATGCCATAGGTGCGAAATAGCGCAAACTCGAGAGCCTTTTGCGCCAGAAAGGGAAACTCGAGTTCGAAAATGTAGAGTTGGATTTCTTGGGCTTGCGCGAGGGTGAGTTCGGAGAGGGACTTGTGGTCGTATTGTTGGTGTTTTTGGTGCTTGCGTTGGTTGCGGAGGTAGGCGACGGTGAGGAGGTAGCTCACCCCTATAGTGCCCAGGACTTCTGGTCGTAGGAGAAAAGACATCATGAGCAGCAGTGGTTGAGGGGAATCATAAAGTCGGGAGTCTCAAGGGTATTATAGGAGCAGATTATTTGAGTAGGTGTTTCGAAATGTCTGGTTCGTCTGACTCGAATCCTCGGCGGGGCTGCAAGCCTGACTCGTCTGGGGGCTGGCTGATTGACGTCAAGGGATATGGTATACATGGATCTATATGAGTACAATCAATGCATTGTCTAGACACATGTACTTGTAGGGATATATAGATATGTGTGTTGGTCTGACTTCGAAGACACGACCTTGGAATCGAAGACCAATTTTGGCACATGCGTAGAAATTTGGTGTCTTTTGAGCGATATCCGGTCTTGTGTATGTACACAATAATCTACATTGTGATATTGGTACAGAGAACATTGAAGCTGAAGACGACACCACACATGACTTGGTCAGATGACAGATCCGCCACCAATCATATATCATCGAAACCACCAGTTCACAGAGCCAATCATACCCTGTCCAACGCCCTTGATACTATGCCACCATCCTTTCGGAATGAATAGACCATCGCCTGGACCGACTTCACACTGCAGACCTTGAAATGCCCAGAAAGCGTTTGAGGAAGGATTCCAGACGGCCTGTTCGAGTGCTGTACGTTCAGCACCTTCCATCATCTCGGCGCCTCTGATGGTAGCGTTCGCAGCTCCTCCGATGCTCGTCTGAACATGATGAAAGATGGCGTTGCCCAAGTCAGGCTTGAAGAGCCGAACTTGCTTNTTGCCGGCCAGCTGAGCAATTAGATTCGGATTGGGGTCACGGTGCAGAGGTGTATAGGTCGGCGCTCGACCCAACCAGATACTGGTATCGTAGACATCGCCTTTGCCGGCCTTAGACACGAGTTCTGGTGTAGGTAGATCTTCCAGGAGGGAGGATGGCAGATCAGATAAGGAAGCCTGTGCTAGATAAATGCTAGTCTTGGTCTCGAGTTCTGAAGCACTGCTGATGGTCAGCGACCTGGCTGCAACTCACACTTGTGATGATGCAACATACTCGAGAAAGAATTTAAGAGGTTGATGGATCTGAGCGAATCTGCCATCTTCATTCGTAATTTCCAAGGGAACAACAGTTGACCCCCATTTGTTCAGGTAAGCAGTATTGAGATGGTAACAACCATCACGCTCCGAAGACTTATGGAACCATGTTTCACTAGCCGGAATAGACGAAAACGATCCTCGAGGTAGGAGAGATGGTACAGCAGGGATGAAAGCGTGGTCTCGAAATGTCGTCAATGAGGCATCGGGTAAGACGGGTACAGCACGATAAGACGATGTCGGTGTTGTGTAGAATCTACTAGGGTGCAGAAGTCGTGATGGTAGTGAGGCAGACTTTGCTATCCCGAGTAGCATGACCAATGTTCGTGGTCTAAGCAACGGAGATGGTTGATGGTCGAGCAAGAGTTAATCAAATGGCCGAGGCGCGGGAAGCTCCGCCAAACATTTGCGGCATGCGACAAGCACTTGCGCTCAACTTTTCCACATTGTTCGCTTCATCTCACATCGTAATTCAAGTCTTGTAAAGCTGTCAAGAGACAAGATGGTCTACTACTTTACAAGTAATGTGACGTCGCCGTCGGCGTACATCTACATGGGCAAGGACAAGGTCGAAAGTCAGCAACCACTCGTCGCATTCAACATACGAACTAGTCGCTGACTGGCCTAGANNGACGAGGATCTGATCGCTTATGGCTTCGAAGAGGATGTCTGGGTACGACTGATCGGCATGCGCACGTATTCAACACCCGCCGTCTAACCACTCTTCGCGACAGNNTTTCACGTCGACAACCTCTCCAGTGCCCACGTCTACGTGCGTCTCCCCGATGGAGAGTCTTGGGAGGACATTCCCAAGCCGCTCTTGGAAGACTGCGCCCAGCTGACCAAAGCCAACTCGATCGAGGGTGAGGACGAATGCGCAAAAGCTACAAGAGAATGGGACTGAGACGGCAGTGCAGGCAACAAGAAGGACAACATCACAATCATCTACACGCCATGGTCAAACCTGAAGAAGGACGGTAGTATGGCCACCGGCCAAGTCGGCTTCAAGGACCAGAAGAAGGTCAAGCGCGTCTATGTCGCAAAGCGAGAGAACCCCATCGTCAACCGCCTGAACAAGACCAAGGTGGAGAAGTTTCCGGACTTTAGACAAGAGAAAGACGACAGAGCCAAGGAGCTAAGAAAGAAGGATCGCTCTGTTATTGCTGCACAGGTCCGTTCACAAACGTCCACAGACAAAGAGGAGACACTGGCTTACATGATTGTCGACAGGNCAAAGGAGGAAGCTCGTATTGCAAGAGAGAGAAGAGAGCTGGCACACCAAAGAGACCACGCATACGACGACTGGAACTCCGAGGAGCAAGTCATGGCTTCCAGCAACCAGAATCGCGACTCGGACTGGGAAGACGATTTCATGTGAGAAGAACCAAATTCACGACAATATCTTTAGGCAGAATGAAGTAGCAGTAAGTCAAACGTGTGCTAGTCATGCATCGTCGACTCGTTCTCATATCTTCTATCTCGTTCATATCCGATTGACATATCCTGCCGTGCGCTGTATAACGTCCAAAAAAGATACCTGAACAACTTGTCTCGCATCTGGAACATCAATAGATTACCGGGCAGACAATCAAGGATACAGATCTCGTGGAATAGATCATGACCAATCTCGGAAAGAGGTCCTGGAAATCTATAGACCGCTCTGAGAATGTTGCAGTCGCATCAGAAGCCGCATACATTTTCCGCCATGCGGATCCCCTATGGTTCTTTCCTGGTAACCCAAACCCGCACTCTCAAAATATCGAACTCAGATGTTCTCAATACGGTTTAGCTCCTGCTTTCCCCCTTGGATACTTGCTCAACTTGATTCATCACAGAATTTCCAGGAAATAACTTCGATCAAGCGAATGGCGCAAACTTAGATGTACCAATCTGAATCGATCCCTGAGATCTAAAAGAAAAAAAGTGGTAGTAGTTCGTTCACAAGTCACATCCTACCTGTGAAACTAGTCAACCCTTGTAACAGTAGTGCTGGGAACTCTCTGATCATAAAGTATTGTGTAAATCTCTAGCTACGCTATGATAATGTTAGTTGACATTAAACACACGAGGACAGAACCTTGCAGCACCATTGGAGAAATGATGAGTCGAAGATGGCCAAAAGTCCTGTCATAAACGATCCATATTCAAGGACAGAAATGTCGGCCATAACAATCGCGTCGTTCTTTCCATATTGATTTGTACATTCTGGCAACACAAAACATCCGTTACCTCTACCAAGCGTCCCGACAGACCAGCCACACGACCGTCTGAGAGGATCCATTCTCGCAGAATAAGGAGCAGCAACATCCGGATCTGAAGATTTGTACTTTTACTTCGCCAACACCTTGAACAATGTTTCGCGTGATCACCAATGCACTTCGTCAAGCCAACTCGCTACGATGGCACTCCCTCGAGGCACAGCGTTTCTTCGCCATTTCAGTTTCTAGAGCTGGCTGGTCAAAGGATCCCGAGACACGTCAACAACAATTCGCCGCTAGACGAGAGAAGTACAACACAGATGCAGAGTACTACACTAAAGAACGGCTCCGGAGTCTATTGGCAGAAAGAGCCTATAGAACGAGATGGAGCGAAGAGTGGCGCGAGCGCAAAAATATCCTGACAATGTTTCGTGAATTTGTCAAGTCACGTTTGGACAGGGGCGAGTCACTATCTTGGAAAACACATGTTGTGGAATACACGGACGACAAGATGATGCACCGCTGTGCTAGCTGTGACCGTGCGAAATATCCAGGTAATCGGCTCTGGTGGCGGCGCAAGGCAGATGGCGCTCTTGAATGTCATCCTTGTTTCGTCAAGGACTTCTCCACAGCAATTCCAACAGGCCACGAAAGCCCGCTCTTTACCAGGATGAGAGAATACAAACACAAATGGATCCAACCAGCTGATGGACCACTTTCCAAGCCAGGCACCGGTCTAAGTCCGACTTCTTGACACGATCAGCCATGTTCCACAACCGTCAGACTCTCTCACCCTCTCGTGGTGATACAACCCAATAACTCAAGCTTGATTTGAGAAGAGCTTTCGAACGCATGTATTTGACCTGCATCTTTGACCATCACCTAGTCTTGGGTGAATCCAATTATCCTTGTTCAAGGATATCCACAAATCGACTCGTCCTAGACAAGGTCATGAGGTGTGCTTCGCTCACTCAACTCTCGATGCAACGCTTTGCTCATCAAAAGCTGAGACACAGATGTATCTTTTGCTTCGAGCATATGTCCACGCATCTGCAATAGCTCTGAATAAAGCAAAGGGGACTTGTTCAGAGGAGAACCTGCAACTAAAAAATCTCCCCCAAGAAGATCTCATGAGAGTCGGACAAGTTTGATTTGTCGATGATTGCATTTCCACTACAAAGTCTTCTGCAAAGCCATGCAGTCAAGCTGGTCTTGGAACCAAACTTCACGCACGACTTCATTGCTCAAATCTTTGGATGTCGCGCCTACTCGAATCAGACAGAAATCGTGAAAGCAAGTCTGTGCTACGATAGCTTCGTCTTTAGATGCTCGGCCAACTTGCAAATCGGCCAATTCCACGCGCTACTGTAGCTCAGCCCGAGACCACCGTGCGAGTGATTAGAACATAGCAGACATGACAACGAACAGAGTATCTAGTGACACTTGATACTGACGGGCGCTTGATGGCCGGCTTTCAAGAGGCAAGCGTCCTCAATTTTCCATCTTGATGATTCAGCCACTATGTTTTTAAAATTTACATCATCACTGACGGATTTTGATCTGCATAAAAGGCCTCACAACAGTGTCAGGAATCGACAAGACTTGCAAAGAAATACTCTGCATACCGATCCAGCCGGTAGCAAAGCAGGAAATCACATATAGCCCTGCCCACGGAGCAGAGAATAAACAATACAAATATCACTCTAGTTATCAAGTAACAGGATGCACATGAACTTCCCAATTTGGCGTTTGCTCCCTCTGAACCCTGACGCGGGGCGTTGCTCTCCCGCTCTCTCCATCGACAACACTAGCGGTTGCAAGATCGAAAGGCCCACTGCGTACACTCACGCTAGATATCTCACTCCTCGTAGGCGACAAGCTCTCGAATCTAGTGCTACAATCGCTATTGCTCCTCGTCAGAGGGCTTACAGTGCCATGCTGAGGATGCGTAGGCGTGGACGGTATCGGCATACGCGTCCGCAGCGGTGGAGGCGCAAGGAAGTCGCGGCGAGCGATGCCATCTCCAGGCTGTAGACATTTGGGTAGTGGTGAGTCTGGCGATGTGGAAGTATGAGTGATGAAAGGATCTTCGGGAATCTGATGACGGATGATAGTGTTACTTGACATGGCTGATTGTGAGGATATTGGACGGGACGCGGAGATGCCTGCGAGGATGGCTTCAGAGGGCATGGTGAGTTTATTTGTGTTTTTGTCCTGAATATGGAGAGGCGAGGGGTGTGCTGAAGGATGCGCTGAGGCCTGTAGATAAGATTCGTCACTCGCATGTCTGGGCACCAGGTCTTGACTCGAGAAGGAACGCTTGATGGAGAGAAGAGCTGCAGTGAGTGCAGTGCGTTGTCTTTGGAGGAAGCCGTGGGGGCTGTTGAGGGTCGTATCAGGAGATACGGAATTCGCAGAGGATCTGAAGACGACAGGAGGCGTGGGCGTGAGATCCGGGTTCATGAGACGTAGAGGCGAACTGTCATCTCGAAGATGGGGGTCTTCGTGGGCGAAAGGTCGGTCCCAGTGATGGAGGTCCATATGGATGAGATTGTGATCGATGACAGGCAGTCGGTCTGACCTAGATAGTGGAGCTACACTTCTTTTCGAGTGCCGTNNGTCGTACCTGCCGCTGCGACTGCAGGTGGTAACGCTTGCGATGACGATGACATTCGAGGTTCTGCGGCAGTCTCATCTTTCTCTCGGTACGGCGGTCGTCGTTTCCTTCTCCGAACGAAGAATAAGNAGAAGAAGACCTATGAAGGCGACTCCTGCAAAGCTCCCAGTCATACCTCCGGCTATAGCCGCCGAGTGTTCCGAACTTCCATCTGCGCTCACTAGTGGAGGACTATGTGCCCCACCACTAACACCAATGGCTCCTGTTGTCGTGCTTGCAGCAGAGGTAGAAATCGCTGACGTCGTACCTTGTATGGCAGAAGTCGACACTTTCGGCGGAGTAACTGACTCTGCTGGGACGACACGTGTACTTGTGATATAGACGATCGTCTTCACGATTTTTGTTGAGTGTGTAGTCACTCTCGCCGTTGTTGTCGTGGAGAAGGTAGTCGGCTGATACGTGAACGAAGGCGTCCAGGACAGCGACTTTGAGATGGTATGTAGAGAACTTTTGCTTGAAGGTTTGCTCATCGAAGAAAGACTTGATTCTGCTGATATCTGAGATCGACTCGTCTGTGAGTTTGAGTATATGAAGGTAGTGTATTGCGTTCGCGTGAGAATCAAGGTCGTATATCGTTGTCCAGCTCCAGTGCTGCCGGAAGTGACGATGTTCTGTTTTCTGGAATCAGCTACACTATCAGTTCTCGCGATCGCATTACATACTGCTGTTGTCGCTGATCCCGATGTTCTTTGTGGATCTGATGAGTTCTGCCACCAAGGTTGAGCGGACGAGGAAAGTAGAGCACGCCTTCTTCTCATAGCTAGTAGTTAGAGGGGCAGTGTCAGATTAGGCATATCATGTTCACCTGGGCAACAACAAAGGGACTCTGAAGAATCAAAAGGCCGACGTGCTCAAGTTGAGCGCAACTGCATATTTGTTCCACGCGCCCTGCCGGCGGCTACTCAACCTTGGTGAGCGAGGCCTGCATGGTAGCATTGGGACCTGAAACAAGGACACGGCTGCTTCAAGGAGGCAAAATGGTGAGTGTCATATACTTAGAATACCGAGGCTAGCCTTGATTCATATGGCTAAGAGTTGATGTGTAGAGATGCAGGAATCCGAAGCAAAGCGCGAATGGTTGGCGCCGAGGGGCGGGCGGCAAGCGAGAGAAAGCCACCAAAGAGCAGGAGCGTCTCATAGTGACCATCCCAGATACGACTCCATTGTAAGGAATGATAGGATGCGAGAGGTAGTAAATCCGATCAAGTAAAAGCAAGAAAGCGCTTTACCCATTCAGATCATGTTGTCACGTCGGCCACCACATCATTCGTAAATGCGACCACGGTAAACTCAATATTGACAGTTGCGATCTAATCAAGAACAGGGCGAAGAGAAGAGTAGTTTCATCATCATTGGAGTCTGATCGTCAATATCACCTCCGTACCCAAAAGAAAGACCTGGTACTCCCCAAAAGATTCAATGACGAAGTAAGAAAAATACGAAATGGTGTTGTCAGGTCAACAACGATCAGCGACGACCATAGACTGGGTCTTCGTTCCTGATTCTTCTGGCATCCTTCTCATACCCTCCGCGACGGTCAGTACGTGCTGGAGGAGACTCTCGCGGTGATGATCTCAAAGCGCCTGAGCCTGAATGTCGAGCAGCAGCTGAAGACGCACTGGATCTAGTAGATTCAGGGGCCAACACTTTGGTGTTTCTGTTCCAAGGCTTGTTCTCATCGGTACTACCGATGCTTTCGCGGCCGCCGACGGCACCAGGGTTGTGTCCGAACAGACTCATGATATCCTTCATAGTCAGCTTAGCCACAGCCTTGCCACCTTCGATGGCCGCCTTGGCCAGCTCACGCTTCTTCTCCTGAAGCTCGATGATGCGCTCTTCGACCGTGTTGCCAACGGTCAGCTTGAAGACGTGTACATCAACTGTTTGGTTGAGACGATGCACACGATCGATTGCTTGTTCCTCAACGAATGGGTTCCAGAAAGGCTCGATCAGAACTACCCGCGAAGCGGCTGTCAAGTTCAAGCCAAGAGAACCACACTTGAGGGAACATAGCAGTACTCGTGTCTTGGGGTCGCTGCGAAGTGAGTTGAGTGATGCTTCGCGAGCATCGTTTCGCATGCCGCCATCATAGCGAACGTAACGAATTGCAGACTTCTGCAGGTGTGGTTCAATCAGATCCAGCATGCTGGTGAACTGCGAGAAAACAATCGTCTTGTGTTCAGGAGTCTCAGCGTGCAAGATGCGTAGCAAGCGACGAATTTTTGTCGAGGCTGCCTCAACGCCTGTCGGGCCCGAGTATGAGATGTCACCTTCCTCCTCCTCGGACTCGGCCTCAGATTCGGAACATCCATCCTCATCCCCAGATACAGAGTCGATGGAACCCAAAGTCTCGCCACCTCCTTCTGCGTCCTCATCATCAGTGCCACCGGCTCTACCCAGATGCGGCGTGTTCTGCTGGGACGCATCAACGAGCCATTCGCCTTCACCTTCATCGTCTTCGTCATCACTATCGACGATGATCTTGCGGTTTCTTCTGGCAGGTGCGGCAGGAGCAGGCTTGCGTTCAGGCTTTGACTTGTGCTTCTTCTCCTTCTTCACCTTGTGGCCGAGTTTCTTGGGTGTGGCTTTGGCGATGTCCTCGCACTCGTTGCAACGAACAGCACCAGCTTTCACCTCTGCTGGAAGCAATCTGACACTACAAATATCACAGTCCTTGACCTGAACACCCATTCCACCGAACATGTCAGCAAGAGCATCGATGTCATTGTCCTGACTGCTAGCGGCAGAGATTTTGCGCGGTGTCTGGCTTGGGTTGGGTTGTCCTGTAGACAAGGCGTCCTTGTCTTTGCCCATGGATCCGGAGACAAGCTTTGGGTGGTTGCAGGCTTGACGAAGTCTCAGAAGCAAGACAAGAGCTCCAATGTAGTCAGTCTTTTCGCCGCCCATCATGTCGTCCAAACGCTTTTGTGCTCTTTCCTGGAGCTGGTCGTAGAAGTCGCGTTCCTTGGGATCAAGCTCGCAGATGATAGTCTCGACCTTGCGCTCAACGATTTTCATTCCAGTGCCCTTCTTCTCACCATTCTTTGACTTGCCGCCAAAGCTTAGAGCACCATCTTCCTTGAGAATGTCTTTTGTTCGGCGCTTCATAAAGCCCTTGAGGAAGTACTGGATGCGCTTGATGGCGTAGTTACCCTTGCCGTTCTTCATTGGAATCGTAATCTGCTCCTTCCAGGTAGCGAGGTTGTTGTATGGCTTGATTTGCAAGAAGCAGATCAGACTTTGGAGTTCGTCGAGGTTGTTTTGCATGGGCGTACCAGTCAAGCACCATCTGTACCAACTGCGTAGACCATAAGTAGCTTGTGTCGACTTCGCATTGCGGTTCTTGATCGAATGTGCCTCATCCAAGATGACACGGTACCAATGGACGCCGTAGCAGCCGACCTTTGCACCGTCAGGATGGTCAGAAGAGCCAGCGAACTCGGAAGCAAGGATCTGATAGGTGGTGATGACAACGTCGTACTTCTTGAGCTCGGCGGCAAATTTTGTTCTCGATGGACCGTGGTGGACCAAGACGCGCAATGCGTGGCTCTTCTCGACCTTTGTCTTGATCTCGCTCTCCCATTGGCGAATCAGAGCAAGAGGAGCGACGACGAGCGTACCCTTACCAACCTCTTTGCCCGGCATCTTGCGCTTGGGGTTCTCCGGTGGTGGCTTAGCATCGAGCTCTGGACGGGGATTGAGAAGGATCAAGCTGACAGACTGAACAGTTTTTCCCAGGCCCATGTCGTCGGCCAGGATACCTCCCTTGGGTAGTACACCGTTTTTCTTGCGCTCGCCGATTTCCTTGTCGATCATCCAAGAGACACCCTCGACCTGGTGCGGGAGAAGCTTGACGGTCAGACCTTCGACTGTGCCATCTTCCTCGTCTTCGTCTTCCTCCTCCTTGGTGTCAGGGTCCTCCTCTTTTGGCTCTTCCTTCACGGCATCCATGTCAAGCTTTCTAAGCTTTTCCTCAAGCGAAGAAATTTTCTTCTCCTCCTTGACCTTCTGCTGTTGCTTTTTGGCGGCTCTCTTGCGCAGACGCATCTTAGGCTTGTCGCCATCATCGTCAAAGGCGCCTTCAAGAAGGGCCTTGATGTTGTGGCTTGTCTGGCTAGGGTCGACATAAGCATAGGGATCGGCGGCGCCGAACCCATCCTCTCGCAGAGCGGCATCGGGGTCGAAGCCATCGTCGTCGTCGTCGGCGTTGGTGAGGTCGATGGGTTTCGGCTGAGGTGCAGGAGCGGGGTTGTAAGGTCGATGTATGGTGCTGGGTGCTACAGAAGAAGAAAAGAGCTGCCTGGGAGCGGGAGGGATGTCCCTCAGTGGGGCGTTCGAGGGCACACGAATGGCGGCCGAGTTTGCGGCATTACCATAAAGAGGGTTGCCGGACTGGGCGGGACGGGACTGCGTCGGAGGCTGAGGTCTTTGGCCAGGTAGATAGAAGGTCGAGGTCTTAGCTTGAGCTCCATTGGCTGAGCCCTGTGGCTGGCGGAACTGTGGTTGAGAGATGGGACGGTGTTGCTCAGGTCTGCGGTGGTTGGTGTTGAAGACGTTGGCATAGGGATTCTTCAGCGGGTTACGCAGAGGACTGGCTTGGCCAAATGTTGGTTGTGCTGAGAGCTTGGAGGCTGCTGTGGTGGGGGGCTGGACTGGCGCTTGAGAAGGCTGTATCTGTTGTGTCGAGCCATTCTGAGCAGAGCGAGACTGTGACGGCTGAGTCTGGTGAGTAGAAGACTCTGCTGATGGAACGCGTTCGCGAGCCATAGTGGTGGAGTTTGTTGCTGATTGGAAGTGGTTGATGTCGAGTTCTAAGCTGCCATTGGTCTGGTCGAAAAGAGAGCTTGTGTCGCCGATGATGCTG